GCGCGCAACGCGGCGCGGGCGCGGCAGCACTTCCGCCGCCGGACAAGGCCGTGGGCAGCGAGTGAAGAGGAATTGATGAAGGCTGTGAAGGATAGGGATGCGCAGAGGAATAAAGCGAAGGAGAAGGAGTTCACGATCATGCATAGCGGTGTTTTGGGGCTGTTGGCATGGGTACTGTGAGTATTTGGCTCCTTTTTTCCTTTTTTTTTTTTTTTTTTTTTTTTGCCCCCCTCTTTTGCCGTTTACTCTTCGCCTTCTTGGTTCTGCGCTTCATCGGTAAATGGCTGATGGTGGAGATGATGGGATAGGTTTATACATTTAATTGGGATATTCTTTTTTACGAAGGGTTTCCTGCTTACCCGGTTAGTACTGAACACCAAGTCTGAGTGTGCGGTGCTCCCGTTTGATACGCCAGATGCCAATGTGCGTTCTACGTCGTCCGACGAGGGATGCTGGCACCCGAAGTCATTTGATAAAGCCGTTATTGTCATCATCGATGCCCTTCGATACGACTTTACCGTTCCTTTCCGGCCTACCGTCGAGGGACAAGAACCCCATTTGTTCCACCATAACATTCCGGTGCTGTATGAGACCTCTGTCGAGAAGCCAAACAATGCATTCCTGCTCCCATTCATTGCGGACCCGCCCACTACGACCCTGCAGCGCCTCAAGGGCCTTACGACCGGGACACTACCCACGTTCATAGACGCGGGCTCTAACTTCGCTGGAACTGCTATTGATGAGGACAATTTGGTGGCTCAATTACGGAGCGTTGGTAAACGGGTTGTTCACTTGGGAGATGACACATGGCATGCGTTGTTCCCCGGCTATTTCGAGGAAGATCTTACGCATGCGTATGATTCGTTCAATGTCTGGGACCTGTTTACCGTCGACAATGGGGTGACGGAACACATCTTCCCACTCGTACACACTGAGAATGCGACCAAGTGGGATGTGGTTTTTGGGCACTATTTGGGCGTTGACCATGCTGGACATCGATACGGACCCGACCACGCGGCTATGGCTGCAAAACTGAAGGAGATGGACGGAGTAATACGACAACTCATGGAGAGTATCGACGATAACACTTTGCTCGTCGTAATGGGTGACCACGGAATGGACTCTAAAGGAGACCACGGCGGCGAATCGGACGATGAAGTCGAAGCAACTCTTTGGATGTATTCTAAGAAAAAGATCTTCGGCCGCAAGGGTAGCGACTCCATGGAACCCCCCAGAACAGCAAAGGAACGCCCTGTTCCCCAAATCGACATCGTTCCGACACTGTCTTTGCTACTTGGTCTTCCGATCCCGTTTAACAACCTTGGATCGCCTATTGAAGAAGCCTTCGCTGGCCCTGACGGCAAGGACTTGAGAAATCTGGTCGCTGTTAACAGACTTGCTTCTGCTCAGATCCAGCGGTACCAACGCGAATATGCAAATGCTCGAGGAATGGATCAGAGCCATACTTCGGGGCCGTTGTCGTTATGGTCCCAGGCTGAGGATGGATGGAGATCGATTGAAAGAACTAGAAACAAAGACTCAGCTGCCCTCCGCAAGATCTATGATTCTTATCGTGAGTACCAGAGAGACACGTTAAACGTCTGTCGGGCTCTCTGGGCTAGGTTTGATGTCCCGAGTATGATTCTGGGGATTGGAATCCTGGTCGCTGGTATTGCGGTCCTGGCATTTTATGCTCGGGCTATTCGGGGCGATCGAACAGATATTACTTTTCCAACGCTGAAAAACATTGCCGCTGCGACCGCAGTTGGTGCTGCAGGGGGAATAGGATCAAGTACAATGGCTCTCTTGCAGATGCCACTAATTGAAGGTGGAGCATTAGGGGCCGCAGTTGGGGGAATTCTTGCATCTCTGTCAACTGTGCTTTGGATTCCAAACAGAATTTCGTCACCGTTGCCGCGCTCCTTATGGAGTTGGTTGGCCGTTCTTTTCACCGTTGCTCAGTCTGTGGGATTCGCTTCCAACTCCTACACCATCTGGGAAGACCAGATCCTATTCTTCTTTCTCACCACGTTTGGTGTTTTGGCCGCAATTTCTTCTTTGAGACAAAAGGCAAAAGAAGACAGAATACTTGGCTTATATCATTCTATCATATTCGTTGCTCTGGGAAAAGTAGCATCCCTCTCGCGGCTTTGCCGAGAAGAGCAGATGCCCTTCTGCAAGTCGACGTATTACGTCTCCGCCACATCCTCAACATCGGCACCATGGCAGCTCTTAATCCCATTTGCCCTATCGCTCGTCCTTCCTTCGGTCATTCGATCCTACTATCAAGGAACGAAATCCTACGAAGGCTCTGCCATCTTTTGGATAGGATTCGCTTTCCGAATAGGATTACTTCTGGTAGCTACGTACTGGATGCTAGATGCGGCTGATGATGGCAACTGGCTTGTTATTAAGTCCAGTACGATTAAGTCAATCAAGGTCATCCTGGCTCAAATCATCCTTGCTATTGCATTTGCCGCTGGGACCACGACATTTGCCTGGGCGAAACCGTGCGTTAGTATTGCTATGACACCGAGTATCCAGTCTAACGCCAAAGCATCTGTGACAATTCTTGGATACGCTAATATTTATGGAACCCGCTTCTTTATCCTTGTTGTGAACTTCGCCCTCGCCATTATTCTCTTACAGAAGCCAATGGGTGGAGGCACAATTGCGCTTCAGCTCTGGCAGATTCTCTCCCTGCTCGAAATTCTCGACACCAACGGTCTTACGACGAGCAATTCGGCCATCGGACCCGTTATGCTAGCCATCCTCGGTTCGTTCCATTTCTTCACAACCGGCCACCAGGCTACGCTCAGCAGCATCCAGTGGGAAAGCGCATTTATCCCGCTCAACTCTGTCCGATATCCCTGGTCCCCCATCCTCATCGTCTTTAATACCTTTGGCGCTCAGATTCTTTCCGCGGTCGCTACCCCGCTGACGGCCTTGTGGAAGCGGCCCATCGATTCACGGGGTCCGCAGGTGGTCGATGGGGTGACGAAAAGGCCCGAGAACTCCACCAGGCGCCTTCTGGCGGACGTTGCCCAAGCAGCCACTACGCATATTCTCTATTATGCGACCATCAATCTAGCCACGACGATGTGGGCCGGATGGCTAAGACGGCATCTCATGCTCTATAGAATCTTCTGTCCGAGATTTATGATGGGAGCCGCGTTGCTTATTGTCGTGGATATTGTCGTGCTGTGTTTCGCTGTTGGCGGAGTGAAGTGGAGCACGATTAGTGTCAGCGATGTATTTGGCTGGGGATAAAGTCCGCCCAGATGGAGGACAGATTTGACTCCGGGGGCGATTGGGATAGAAGAAGCAATCTGCTAATACTATATACTCCTTACAAGGATATTTATTTTGGGAAGGATGCTTAGAAGGATTCTTGGATTGGCCCTGACTGGTCTTCCTTATATTGCTGCAAATTAGATGTGTGTACTCCGTATATATGGTTGCTTCACCCAGGTGTATAACTAAAATTTATTTTCTTCATCACTTTCACTTTGATCGAATAATTTCCTATGGCAATCCCCTTAAGACTCCGTGTCTCTCTCTCACGGTGAAGTCACCGAAACGTAATCCCAACCCTGAGTAAGCACGGACTTATATTCTCCCGAAGCCGATTCCTTCCAAGATATTACGTGAGATTCTCGGTTTGCCTTTGAGCATCGGTTCAAGCGAAACAGCGGCACTCAAGGAGGCTTGACAACAGCTCTCTAGTCGCGGTTTATTGCCTCTTATGCCTGGATATTGTTGTATTATACCCATTGAAACATACTCTCAGAACACACTTCCGTTTTTGATCCTAAACCAAGCGCGATAACCGCCCCGAGCACATCGCGGCTACATATCATATCCTGCCACTTGGTTACCTTTGCCCTGAGCATTACTGGACTATAAGCGAAAGAAAAGGGGGGGAAGAAAGGATATAAACTTAGATTCATCTCCAGATTCTGGGCATGTCCTCAAACGTCGGCCTTTCCACTCCGCGTGGAAGCGGAACTTCTGGATACGTCCAACGCAACCTTTCCCTCCTGAAGCCGCGCGACCGAAGCTATGGCGGTCCCTTCCAGCCAGACGCGGATGCCGACGAACGACCCACATTCAAGCAGCGACAGCCGGACAAGCAGATCCTAGAACATGATCGACGGCGACAAATCGAAGTCAAGATCCTAGAGGAGAGGGATAGGCTGGAGGAAGAGAATGAGGAGTTGGAGGAGCGTGGGGAGGAAGCCGACGAAGGTACCGATGGTGAAAAGGGTGCTAGTGAACGGAAAAAGTATAAGTTATCGGAAGAAGAGATCGAGCAGAGACTTGACGAGCTGCGCGCGGGGTTAACCAGGGAGCTGGAGGATGAATTGGCGGGAAGATCTGGTTCGGATCCGGGGGATAGAGATCGTTTCCGTGGGGAGAAGAGGAAACAGGGCGATTCTGGTGGTGATGGGAGGGGCAAGAGGCAGTTTAAGACGTACCAGGTGCATGAGTTGGCGGAGGCGAAGATCGAGGAGAGTGAACGGTTTAGAAGGGCGCTGGGAATCAAGGCCGATGGAGAAGATTCTCCGAGGACTGGAGGCAGAAGGAGAGATTGGGATAGGCCGGGTCGAGAGGATGGGGGAGATGGGAGAGATGGGAGGTATAGGGAAGATAGAGAAGAAAGAAATGGCGGATACAGACGAAGATATGACAGGGACGAGCCAAGATGATATGAAGACAGATTGCATCTTTTTTTTTTTTTTTTTTTTTTACGGCGTTGGTGGCGTTTGGACCGCCATATTGGAGCGGTCTTGCTGGCGAAACCTGGGGCGATTGGAATTATCTAACCGAAGTTACCTGGTGACACTCCTTTCTTTCCTACACCCAGAGTTGTGAGGACATGGAGCGGACAGCCGCTGCTTCACTGTGAGAAGACGACAGTGTTTGACGAATCATGATAATAATTTATATCTGACACTTAAAGTGACCACCTTTTCCCGTGCTGAAGAGCCTTATCAAAACCAAAAAATACAACCGACATATAAGCTTAATTCTATCGCTAAACAAATCGTTCGATCACCCATCCTTCTTTTCTATCCTTCTTTTGAATTACCTTTTTTGCGGGTAGAGGCCATCCTACGCTCCCGGGCTCTCCAACCATTGAAGGGATGACCCAGCATTCCCTTCTCTCGGGTGCACCTCCCAGAGAATCCGTCTTTCCAATAGGTTTTCCATATTGGATTAGCGGCGTACCCTGTGCTAACGCCGACAATTGCAAACCACTGACAGGGGTCAAGGGGAACATGCGTACTTTGGGAACGTCACCAATGTACGTCGGCGTTGATTGCTGTAGGTGTGAGTACACCAGATATTGAGGAAGTTCGTTGGGTGATAGTTTGGCCAAATTGGATGAAGGATGAAGATATACAGCTTTCTCTTCTAACTCCTTTGCCCGTCCCTCTCGGGATGCGAAGAGGGTAAAGTAGGGAACATCAATGGCTCGTTTTGGCTTCCGTTCCATTACTGGAGGTACGGGTGCTGTATCTGCACGAATTGCTATTTGATCAATGAAACCCGCTGCAGTTATTTGCTTTAACGCTCGGATTTTCTTGTCTGATGGCTCGGGCAGGCGAGATTCGAAGGAACCAAGCAAACCAGGTTTATTCACGCGGACCAACTCCGATAATTGGCGACGGAGCTGAGCGGCTTCTTTCATTGCATTCGAACGGAGGAACATCTGTGAGCAGAATGACTCTCCATCAGGGGCGTATGCGTATGCGCAAACCGCAGCAAGGAACTTCAAAGTATCAGCTTTGTCGTCATACTTGCTAAAAATGCGATGAGCTTTGTGGTAAGCTTTCTTTCGGTGCTCTCTAGCGGTGTCTTCAAGTCGGTCAGCATTAGTATACACTTTCTTATCATCATCCCTGGACAAAGGTGACAAATCAAGTTGACTTTCTTGAACGAATAAGTCTGAGACAGCTAAAGCTGCGACCATCGCAATAACGTAGGGCATACAGCCATGCTGGTGACCGATATGCAACATCTTGCCAAACCTTGGGCTCAGTGGATATAATGTTAAGTGGCGACCAATGTCTGTTATTTGACCGTCCGATGCCAACGCGCCGAGGTACCGAAGCAAACTTTCCGCTTTAGCTAGCGCAGCACGATTTGGTGGTGTTGGGAATGGGAAATTAATGACATGGTGCAATCCCATACATTTCATTTGCAGAACTACGCCCTCTATCGGCGTCCGAAGGATTTCCGGCTCGGTATATTCTTGGAATGCTTCCTCGTACAGCGCCGAGGAATATAGCCTGTAGCAATGACCAGGCCCAGTTCTACCAGCGCGTCCAGCACGCTGACTAGCACTAGCTTTACTGATCCATCCAATTTGAAAGCTCTGTACGCCTGTAGAAGTATCATACTGCTTCTCTTTGGATCGACCACAGTCAAAGACATATCTGATTCCAGGGATAGTCAAACTAGTCTCAGCAACGTTTGTCGCTAATACTATAAGTCTCGAGCCTTCTGGCACCGGTTCGAATATTCTGAGCTGTTCTTTCGTTGGCAGTTGTGAGTACAGAGGCAGGATATGGACTTTGGTCGTTGAATCCATTGCCCCCTCTTCTTGATCAAACTCATCTTCGTCCTCATTATCGTCGAGTCCTTCGATTTCGATATCACTTGCATCGTCTTCTTCGCCCTCAAGCCTCAAATGTTCTTCACCAAGCTCAATATCTTCAGCTTCTATAGATGCTTCTGCGGCGGATATTTGAACCTTTGCCTGTAAACCATCGGATGCATGGGTGGACTTTAATGCTTGCCTGAGTCTCTTTGCGAGCAGCTTGATCTCGCCCTGGCCGGTTAAGAAAACAAGAAAGCCACCTGGAGGAAGTTTTCTATGACCTCTGCAGATCTTGCGGTATGCCTCTTCAACGTAATCTCGATGAGTCCGGCGTGCAAAGTGGACAGTGACAGGATACTGGCGACCCTCTGCTTGAACTAAGGGCGGTGTTCCCTGTTTGAACAGATTCGGGTTTTGGATGAAATCTGATATTCGGAGGGTAGCAGACATAATGACCAGCTTCAGCGGTCTTACGGATGGATTGTCTGCACTCATGGATTTCCTCAGGTCCACTATTCGACTGACCATACCAATGAGTAGATCAGTATTCACACTTCGCTCGTGAGCTTCGTCAATCACTATAATGGAGTATTTGGACAGCGAGAAATCTTGCGCTATTTCTCGTATCAAGACACCGTCTGTCATGAACTTGATTGCAGTCTTGGTGGATACAGTGCTGTCAAATCGAATTTGATAAGACACTCGATCGGAAAACTGCCCTAATTCCTCACCCACTCGTTTCGCCATACTGACCGCTGCGACCCTTCTCGGTTGTGTTACACCTATCATGCCGGGGTTGTCACTTTCTGGGTTTCCATACCCTGCTTCAAATAGAAATTGTGGAAGTTGAGTGGTTTTTCCACTTCCTGTTGCCCCCCATATCACTATGCATGAATTGTTATGGATGGCCTCCATGATTTTTTGCTCTTCTCCGACTACTGGCAGCTTTAGACGAGCTTCCTGGATGTCATCGGGGCGGCTAACGTTCACAGAAAAGGCTTTTCTGTCGAGATTTGCCTGGCTTATTTGAAGTTCTGGCGGTAAAGGCTCATCTTCAACTTGAACGGTAGGCCTCGTCTCCTTAATTGCTTGCGACACTTCTTCCAGAATGGGGGCAGGGAGGTGGTGCGTTGGCTTGAAACCAGCGGCGTCGTTGATTTGCTGCACAGCCCAGGCCTTGAATGCAGACTGTCGCGGACGAATCTTTTTCTTCAATGTCCCCTCGTTTTCCAACCCAGCAGAGGTTTCATCGTCCTCATCGCTGCTCTCATCATCGGACGGAGAATCATCTCCAGACACTTCTTCGTCATCATAGTCACTGCTCGCCTTTTCATCTGCATTTGGCTCTGCGTCTACAACCGCGGCCGATTGTGACGCTGAATCCTCAGAATCGAACCCTTCCCACTCGGGCTCATCCTCCTCAACTGGCTCAAATTTTCGGACACGTTTCTTCCGCTTCTTGAGTATAGGGTAACCATCTGGGCCAATCTCCAAAGGCCGCTTTAAACCACTTCCCATTCGTACATTTGGAGCGACGGCTGAAGCCAGGACGTCCCTAGAATTCTTCCCTGCACAGAGGATGGCCTCATCTTCAGAATCGGTTTCGCCAGTACTTTCTTGTGTAGACTTCGGCCCTCCGACGCTAACGGCTTCCTCATGCACTCCATTTCGGATGTGGGTCTCTTTCTTTTTCTTGCCTAGGTTCCGTGAGCTCTGAAGCTGAGAGGTATCTATCTTGGATTTGGCGAGCTTCTTGATAAGTGCCTGATTCTCGTCCTTTTTTAATTTGTTTTCCTAACACATACGGCCAATGTTAGCTCACGAAGTTCTCAGTTTGAACAAAAGCCAAACGCACAATATATTTATCCAGGCGCTTCTGCTTCTTGCCAGATATTTTCGGCTGTTGCGCTCTCAATTCTTCCCTCAGAAGTCTCATCTTTTCTTCCCTCTCCACCTTTGAAACCGGCAGGACTTCGGCGGCATTTGTATCCTCTTGTGGGAGAGCTGCTTTGCCCTCCCTAGCTAGAACTTTATGTTTCCGTTGCCTTGGAACGAATTTCGGCATTTTGAAGAGTAGAGAGAGTTACGATCGGCTAACCGTCGGCCGTTGTCTCTCCGCCGCTTTCATCGAAAATTCGACATATTCTGCCAAGAAGGGCGGTGAAAGCTAACGAGTTAAGCTCAGGAAGCTCCGCGGGCCAGCCCCACACGGCCAAACCGCCGCTGAAGTTCCGCCACACCGCAAGCGAAACACCACGTCCAAGCCCGTCAACCGCTGTAGTTTTCGCTTTGCAGGCTGCGTTGGGTTGCTTACTTTGTCGGCGACTTGATAGGTCCTCATGGACGTCCTCTCTGGCAATCAACCCGCTCCGGGAGAAATGGAAAATCTCCCGTTTCCAGCACAAACGAGGCAGGCTGCTGGAGTCATAGGGGGCGTTCAGACAGACGTGATGGCAGTATCTTTTTCGGATAAGATTCTAGTGACAATATCGCAGAATGGGAGACTAGCGCATTGGGTGCGATTCCCAATCTAGCCGAATTCTCCTTGAATACTGACATATGGCAGCTGCACGTCCCTCTCGAAAACACAAACCCTGGTACGAGCGGCTACCATACGATACCCGACGAAGGCGACGATAGCTTACTTCCTCTTGCCGAACTGACAGCAACAACGGTGCTGGGCGGACGCTCTGGCGAGTTGGAGAGCATTGGTCATTTATATGCTTGCCAGATCGCCAACGCTATCGCAACGAAGAACCCGAGCGAGAAAAGGCTCCTCGTTGTGGGCCTTGGATTGGACAAGCTGGATGCGGACCGCGACATTTTCTTTGGTATTATCGACCTGGTTCTGCGATGCATATGATGATGGAGAAAGATTTCCCCAAATTTCACTTACATCTTCCCCCTTTAACGCCCACCGTTCGGTGCTTGAAATGTGGGGAGTTTAAAATTCCACATGTAAGATGAAGTAGATCCGCTTCCAAGTCGTGGAATCTGTCCATCTTTGAGGCTGGCAATTATTTACGCCGGGAGATGATTCGACATTCGACAGGCTTACATTTACGCACATAAGGAAAGGAAGTAATTTTCCAGCTTCCCGGTCGTACTAGTGCAGAAGCGTTATAAGTGGAAGCATCACAATCAGAGAGACTGAGCGCTACGAGATCTTAAGCAATCCCAAGGGTGTCTAGAGGAGATTCTTAACAATTTTTGATGGGAGTATTGGAAGCTATGATTAATTCTTCTACGATCTCTTGAGCTGTCTTTACTGCGATCGAGATCGAGTTGCACCAGAATGCGCTTGTCATAGAACTGCGTCATGGGTTCATAACTATGTATAAAGGTATTACACAGAGCAAGAGTAGAGTATTATCAACTATTATCGGTAGATTCATGGAAAAGAAACTCTAGGAGCAGGCTTTTCACGAGCTTTAGCACGGACTTTAGGCAGTCTGTCTCTTTTCTTCCACCAGACGACCACGCGGAAGCTTGGCAGTGGCTCGATCACGTGCAATGAAGGGGCGGAAATGGTGCACCCGCTCCACGCGCCTGGAGAATTGTTTGCCTGGTTAACACGGGGGTCCGGGAGTTTGGAAAAGGCGGATGTTTCGTCAATTCTGGAAGATGTCCCCATCACAAAACATCACAGTTTTTGTTAATTAGTCCTCTGAAGAAATGTCTTATCCACCCCCTGGCGGTTCTTTCTTCCCTGGCCAGACACCGCTGCAAGGCGCTCAACGCCAGCAAGCCCGTCCCGTCTCCTCCGCTGCCACGTCGCCAGTTTTTATCAAAGCAGAGCAGCATCCGCAAATACCGCCGGCTCACTATCCGAGTTACGTTTCGCCGCACCAGCACCTCCAGCCTCAGCCGTTTCCCGGGGGTCCGCCCGCCGGAACTTACCCGCCCCGTCCAGCGAACCAATTCCACCCCGCTCCGCCAAATGTGACTTTGCAGTATGGCGCGGCCGGCGCCGCTGTTCCTGCCACACCCGGGCCCTATTACAGCCTGCCAAATCCGTCCAATATATACCCTCCTCAATACCAACCGCCTCCTCCTCCTCCGCCGCCACCGCCGCCGCCGCGGCGACCTACACCTCAGGCTCAAGGCCAACCCACCCCATCTTCAACAGCATCGCCATATCCCCGAATTCAGATATGTCCGCGCCCCCCATCGCAGATACAAGGGCCATCAAGGAACACTCAGAAACAAAAGTCTCCGGTACCTCTAGCTGCCACTGGTGACCATATGCAAAGCATGCGCCCTACCCCCTCGAAGCAAACTAAACTAGCGAAAGCGCGCCCCAAGTGTGAGAACCAGTCAATCGACTATCAAGTACTCTTGCTATCCTTGGCAGACGAATACTTTGACGCGGCCCATAGTCAAGGGACTATCCTAGCTGCCTCCCGCCAGGAGGCCGACATCGAACAATATCATAAGCTGATTGCGACAGGGCTATGCTGCATTGAGGCAGTCCTGAGGGTGAGCTTAAGATTGCGGAATTCCTATTCTTCGTCGGTGAGTGGAAATGTACTAAGTGCTGTGTTAGAACTGGAGGCTGCAGCCCCGAACAGAAGCTCTTCTTCGACTTCGATATGCGCGTATACTGTATGAGGAGACACACAATGATTTGGAAGCTGAAACTGCATTGAGCAAAGGGGTATGTACAGCTTTGGCGCGTGAGTGTTGTCGATTTGGGTCGCTAACCCCGTTTTGTAGATCGATCTCTGCGAGAGGGTACGAGAAGATATCAGTTCGGATGTACGGGTTACACGCTAATTCGTCAGCAGAATAAAATGTTTGACTTGAAATATAGCATGCAACAACTGTTATGTCGAATACTATATAAATCTAATCCTAAAGCCGCCATGAAGGCCGTGGACGGCATTATTCGCGACGTTGAAGCGTATGCATCTCCCAGACTATTTTGCAAAGCTATCTCGCTCTAACTTCTGTAGATACTGCCATACCGCTTGGGAATATGCCTTTCGCTTCCTACGAGTCACGCTGTCTCTTTCTTCTCCGTCCCATCAAGACTTCGTGGCAGCGCTGCATAACTTACAAAAGATAGCCTCCATAGCGAATCGCGTTAGGGACAGAGCGGTCGTTGTCGCTTCCGCAACAATTGAAGCACTTGTTCATTTACAGCAGTCATCAAGTGGCGACTCCATTGAGCAGGCGCAGAGAGCTATCGCAATAGCACGGAGCCATCAGCTCAACGAAAATGTCGCGGACGTGCCGCACATTAGCACGATGATTCAGATCATTGATATATGCTGTAGTGTCCTTGAATATGATATTGGCCAAGCTTCCCAGAAGTTACAAATTCTTCAGAAGAATATGGATCAAAATATCAATAACCCCCTTTGGCAGGATGATGGATCTTTTTCAATTCCCCTAAGCCGAGAAGCTGTTAAAAATTCTGTGGTAGAATTTGGGGATATCCTTCAGGCGGAGAATGGCAAGATGGTGCTGGTATTGAACTGGCTTCCGGAACTTGATCTCTATGCCTTGTGCTACTTTCTTAGTTCCGTGACGCTGAGCGCAAAGAACTCCCAAGATGGGCATAAGGCTGAGAAATACTTACAAGAAGGATTGCGGATGATCCGAGGTACGTGAACACTTCCCAATCTTGCGCAAGGACCCTGGCTGACGTGCAATGTAATCAGGCAGTTTTGAGTCTCCGCAAGAAGTATCTGAATCTCTCATGTTTGCCAGCGCCCGTCTTCACTGGCGGAGACTGCTTTATTGCCATATGCTCCTTCAACAAATATTTCTTGCCTGTGCCCGGACGGACTGGCAATTAGCAAACCGTACGTTGAAAGAAGTTCAAACTGCTTCTGCAGAGCTCGGCGACGGCTCACATGAGACCATCTACTGTCTCATACAGTATGCAGCTGGCGTAATATCTCAAGCCACAGGAGATTTGACCAAAGCTCTCGCAATTTTCGAACAACCTATCTTCTATTTGTCGCAATCTGTCAACAAGTTAAGCCGTAACGATCCTCGTCGTGATACTGCAATTCTTGCCGGCCTGAACTGCGTGCTTATTCACCGTGACCCCTCTCGACCATCATATTCAGATGCTGCCAAGACCTTGAGTGCCCTTGATCCGTTTTGCCAAAACAGTCCGAACAGATACGTTCAGGCTGCTTATTCTTTGATAAGCGCCACTATTCAGACGGAATCCACCATGCAGACAAAACGCAATCTTCATCAGTCGTTGCAAGCTGCTACAGCAATTTGCAACAGCCAGGTGACTTGTCTGGCCCTCACCTTTATGAGCTGGAAGTACTTCCGCGGTGTGGTTGGTGAGCAGTCGGAGAAAAGCGCTATGGCTGCCAAGGCTATGGCAAGAAAGACGGACGATAAATTATGGATTAGCGTGACGGATGAGCTGCTCGCAGAGACGTTGGATCGGCAAGGGAAAGCAAGTGAAGCTGTTGCTTTGAGACAAAAAGCAGACAACGATTTAGCGAAGCTTCCTCCAGTTTTAACAAAAACTGATAAACAACGGCCGGGCCAATATGGCTCAACTACTGAGATGAAGATGAAAGCTGTTAGAATTTAAGGGCGCACCGGCTGAACGGAGTTCTAGGTTGGGAGTTACTGGGGCTTTCACAGCGTATCCTTACGGGAATAGGTTTTCCGAAACTATAAAGCACGGAGTATGTTCTGACTTGCCGAATCGAGTTGATATCCAGAGTATAAGTATATGAATCTTCCAGAGATTATTATAAGCACACGCAAGAGCGACGGATAACTTAGTCCGTGACCATAGATGCCTATTACTTGCAAATCTTCCCCACATCAATGTGCTTAATCTTGAAATGATATAGTGGCATCGTGAATTGGAAAAAAAGAAAAAAGGAAAAAAAAAAAAAAAACCTATATATGTACACACATTAATACATCGAGCATAGACGACAGTGCCGAAGAGTAACAATAGATGCAAAAGGCCCGCCAATTCCCAAAACGCCAATTCTTTTCGCCGTCCTCGGGTCCATCGACCTCGAATAAACACCATGCAACATGTATATGGGTAAACGGGTGCAAATACACACGCATACGCATACGCACACGCAACAATGGGGGGAAAAAAAAAATCGGCACAAACACAGAAAATGCAATGATTTAAGCCCCACGAAGAATCTAAATTAGGACAATGGGACGGGACCATCCCAAAATGCAAGTCCAACTCTTTTTCAAGTTCATCTTTGAACATCTTTTCCAAGTTAACCAACGCCACCCCAAGCACCCCGAATTCGTCTCGCAAGTTGCATATCCTTCTGCATAATGGTGACTCTCTTAGCGTGGATCGCGCAGAGATTCGTATCCTCGAAAAGATGAACTAGAAATGCCTCCGATGCCTCTTGTAGAGCCTGGATTGCCTGCGATTGCCATCTAAGCTCTTCACCGACTTCGGATGGTAGCATCTCCATAGCAACCTCTCGAACAAGGCGTGCAAAGGGGAGTTTGAGAAGAAGTAAATCCCATGAGCGTTGGTATCGTCGGATTTCCTTAAGGGCGACTGTTCCTGGATGATATCGGTGTCTTCGCGTTGGTGGGAGAGGATCACCCGCTAGAAACAAGAGACTGGGTTAGAAATATTTAAACCGGCCGGGGTGGTGTCCACGCCGGGAAATAAAGAGCGCAGCAAGGTGTCACGTACGTTGTACGTCCGACTGTCTGGAAGATGTCGCTTTCTCAGCTCTTCCAGGGCCTCCTCCTCCCCCTCCCCTACCCCTCCCCCTTCCTCTTCCTCTTCCTCGCTGTCCTGCTGGACTTGACTTTCCTCCCCGAGACGAGGACGCTGTCCCAGCCTCCGGTGCTGCTGGTGAAGAGGCGGGCGCTGCATCCTTTGAGCTTTCCGCCTGACCACTGGTTCTTCCCGTCGACCCTCCGGGCACGGTTTTACGCCCACGACCCCTCGGGGCCATTGTGTATGGTTAACCTGATATCTTGTGGACGTATATTAAAAGGTAGCCAGGTCAGGAGGTTTATCGGACAATCGCGTCTCAAATGTTTTCTTCGCGCATGTGCAGTAAACAAGGAAGGATCGCGAACTCGCGCAATTGCTGAATTGGGAGGTTCGGAGTTAATGTTAGTCAGCTGGAGCTTGCGCCGTGCTAGGTCAATGAGGGGATGGGTACGGAGTATGTTCTTAAGGAATTGAAAGGAAAAAAAAAGCTTCAGGCTCGTGAATTGCGGTGGTTGGCGATCCCCAGCCATCGCGAAAGAACGCGACGTTTTCTGCACTGCGCTGCCTCTGATTGGCCGCACAGTGGCTTTTCCTAATTAACGCGAAAATTCACGTGTAACTGCACTAGTACAAATATGGACAAGTGTTTCTACGGGACATTTTTAATCCGTAAGAACGGATAAATATTATACCGATATCCAATTAGTAAGCAAGAGTCTGCCATTACGCCATGCGGTGTTCAGTCGGAATCGCATTGAATGCCAAAGGACAGCTTGCTATTCTTTCGCATTTGCGTTTGGGCTTCTTGCCGTCTTCATATGCCATCTTCAGAGCTGGCTTCGCCAATTGCCTCGTTCTCTGTGTTTAGTTATAAGCTGTCGCACCGGCATACGTGTTTGCCCCTCAAACCAAATATTAGGATATCCGCCATGGCCGCGATTTGGGGGAATGCCGGGCAGCCAGGCCAATTTCCTCTGGAGCAATGGTTTTACGAAATGCCACCTTGTACGAGATGGTGGACAACTGCGACAGTAGCAACATCGGTTCTCGTACAATGCCACATCTTGACGCCTTTCCAGCTCTTCTATAGCTTCCGAGCTGTGTTCGTGAAATCACAGGTGAGAATTTCCCGCGTTTGCTCGATTTATAAAAGTGGTTAATTAACTGCGTGGTTTCCGATTAGTACTGGCGCCTTATTTCGAATTTCCTTTACTTCGGGCCACTAAATCTGGACCTCTTATTCCACGTCTTTTTTCAGCAGCGGTACTCCCGCCTTCTCGAAGAGTCATCAGGCCATTCATCAGCGAACTTCTCATGGATGCTTCTATACGCTACCATCGCCCTCCTTACTCTGTCCCCCTTCCTCTCTGTCCCATTTTTGGGACCCGCACTCTCCTCGAGTTTAGTCTACATCTGGGGACGTCGAAACCCAGACACAAGGTTGAGTTTCTTTGGTGTCCTTGTTTTCACTGCGCCATACCTTCCGTGGGTGTTGATGGCGTTCAGCCTTATTGTGCACGGTACTATCCCTAAGGACGAGATATGTGGCGTCATAGTAGGCCATATTTGGTATTTCTTCTCGGATGTTTATCCTCCTCTTCACGGCGGACATAGGCCGCTAGATCCACCCGCGTGGTGGAGACGATTGTTCGAAGGCAGAATGGGTACAGATAGGAGGCAAGAGGATCGAGGGACCCATGCCAGAAATCTCAACAATGAATTTGCAGCAGCCGCAGCACCGGAGGTCAGATAGTGTCGCCCTGAGACGATATTAACCTTCCAAGTACCCTGCAACAACTAGTTGTTCACCCCAACGCCTTGTAGGCGTTTGACTTTTGTCTGAAATTTTCGCCTTCATCTCGACCATTTCGTCTATGAAAGTAAGAGCTGCGTGGTCAAAAGGAAGGTTGGCATGGGGTCCTTTGTTTTTTAAGCAACGAGAATCTTTCTAAAAAGCGATTTCGATATCATACAATGGCGTTACCACCCTGGTTTTGTATCAGCACGATTCCCACCTCGGCGATGGCGTTATCCTGGGAGTCTGGCTTATATTTGCATCCCTCTTGACTTTGGTCATGCTCAACATCTTGCTATCAATAGAGAGAGTACCGTATCGTCTATTTTTGTTTCTTTCTTATTTTGGTTTCTATTATGGAGTACAGGGAAGTAATCGTGCACTAAATCATTGCTTTAGCACTACGGAGTGTGAATTCTCCAGGTTTTGGGGTTCGTCCTGGAAAATCTGCTTTATATATATTGCTTATCTTTGAATTGAAGGGTTATCCGCTACGTGTTTCCATCTAGTTCGTGTCATTATACGTATGTTTGGGATTTCTCGCGGAGACGTAGCCTATCTATATGATTGCGGCGCTGTCCGTCAGATCCGAGAGGTGAGATTAGAAGTTCAAATCATCATTATGGTGTTTACGTTATTGGCTTTACGAGGATTACCCTGATGCAATGTTTAAACCGACGACCTACGCTTCGACGTCAAAACTGGAAACTTGGGCAGACGAAATGGATCCGGATTTACAATGCTTCGCTCGATTTTAATACAGATGCATGATCCAAGTACTGCTTATCAGACGATGGGGTATAAAGCAGATATCAACACCACGGGCAAAGCAGGCCCATGGCCCAGCTGAACACTACTCCAATCCCATGTAACAATGCCTTCCACCCGCAAATCCCGAAAACAAAAAAGAGATGGGTGCATGTAACAAAAGGAAGTACGAAAAGTGTTGGAATATTCGTTTTCTTCGTTGTGGCTGGATAAAAGAGAATGAAAAAGAAGAGAATACAAGACTTAGAAAGTTGAACTGATTAATATGCATGTACGGTAGAATATAATAGTTAGCGTGGATGGAGAGAGGCATTCGGATTAGCCGGAATCAGGGGGGAATCGCAGAATGCAAGAATGCTTTTGAACGAGGAAAGGCCGGGCTAACGAATTCAAAGAACAGAGAGAAACGAAAAATGAAAATGTGGCTCTTAACTTGTTTCAGCTGTAAAAAAGGGTTAGGAAGAATTGGAACTTGATGACCTGTTCGCAAAAGGCGAAGACTTGCAGATTCGGCCTGGAAGAAACTTCCTCCAAGAGAACTGCAGTAGAGAAGCCAATGTCAAATGCAGGACTCGTTATCAGTCTGCTTTGACAGAACTACATAAAGAGAATGAGGTATTAACACAGGCGCTGAAAGGAGAGAACTAGCTGACGTACCTATATATCCGTCGAACAAAAGCGTACGCCGTTAGAAATCCCACGGTTCCCGTCAACAAACCATAAACGGTGCAGCCGAGGAAGCTATATCCGAAGAAGAGCAGGCTCGAGACGAATCCTCGTATATGGAGTCTCGTTAAATAGTACCAAACACACAAAAGGAAGATCCAAAGAGCGCTGCTTCCTCCGGTAATGAAGCTCTGCCACCACCACCGGTGATTTTCGGCGCTTAGCTGGCAATAGGTGGCTATGATCGTGACTTGGCTAACAGTGATTATCAAAACTGTGCACACCACGCTCAAATAACCGAAAACGTAGTAGTATCCACTCTTATCCTGCATAAGGTTCCGGAAGACAAAGAGCAATTCCACAAAGAGAACGGCGAACGGTGGGAGCCCGGTCAGAAGGGTACCTCGCACCGTCCTCAAATACCAAGACTGGGGTGGAATCTGCCGCGGGATGGCATTTGTGCGAGTAGGGTGTTCCCACGGTGTTGTTCGCTCATATCCGTACCAGCTTCCGGCGTAAACCAAAGGAACTTGGATGAGAAGCCAGAGGGCAACAAGGCCAACTAGCGTGCTAAATGGGATTGCCGTACTTGAAGCCTGGGCCCAGACAAACAGATTAAGGAAAAACACCAAAGCGAAAATCAAGCCTGGGAAGAGCAATGCCGTCTAGGATACATTTGTTAGTACTACACCAAACCAAGCAACATGATTTCATCGGGACGTACTACAAGCGTATTTTTTTGCCAATTCCTGCCACCGAATGTCTTGTATAGTCTCCCTGAAAAGTAACCCGAGAATGTGCCGGCGAATACGAATAGACCCATGCCGACACTGACGAACCCGCCTCTGAAGCTAGGATTCAAAACTCCGATACAGCTCAAAGCGAGGAGGCCGGTTGCCATGAAGAGGAGTTGCATTCCAGATCCCACCAGAGGCGCCAAAAGCCCGCTGTACGCGGGCACGCGGAACACATCGCCATGAAGGCGTTTCCATGAGGCCACTTCCTCTACCTCGTCATCGGACAAACGGTCCAAGTCATCGTCGCCGCCTTGCTCAAGAAGACCGCTAGACGACTTTTCGTCTATGCGTGGGGTTTTGGGAGTTCTAGGAGTTCGAGTCCCACTCCTTGAATTACGAGAAGATAGCTTTAGTTTCCCTTCTTCCAGGGATCCTTCTCCACGCCCTCTGCCTTCTCCCGCAGTTCGACCCCAAATAACAAGCACAACAAAACCCAGTACCGCGGAGATCGTTAATGAATTCAAGATCGCAAGCCAGTGCGTCATCTTTCCATCTTGATGGCTATAGAAATATAGATCCCATCGGTTTGACCACCTGATGCTCTCATCCTTCCGGAAATAAACGGAGTACGAATATGGGATCGTGATGGAGGCGCCGTCATCAACATCGTCGTCGTTTTCGGGCAAGTATGACGAACCTGGATATTTTTCTGCCAATCGGGTATTGTTCGGAGCGATATACAGTTCCAGACGTTCTTGCTTTGCGTGAACCTCTTGTGGGCATCCGTTGGCGGAACGCTGAACATCGCCAATGCTTTTAGGGTAAACTTCGAATCCGACAATGACTTTCCCACCATGCGCGCCCGCCTTTCCTGGTGCGCTCCGCCAGCGGATCACAAAAGTGAAATGGTTGTGGATAAAGTACCGGGGCGAACGGCTAGCGGGGGAGAAATCCTTGTACCCAAGCTTGAAACCAGAGGAATAATATCTCTTCGATCTATCGACCGAAACAAAACTCGTTGCACCTGGTAGATTGTCCATGATCCATTCCACCATATAGCCGTCTGAAATAAGATTCTTTGCGCGTTTGACGTCCGTGCGGTCGATCTTGCGGTGACATAGGAACTGGCAAGCGACGTCTTTCCCCATGATCACTTCAAAATCGGAATTCCTGATGCGATCGCCACGCAGAACCTCGCCGAGATTGAGAGAGATACTGTGGCCGCTGGCAAAGGGGGAGCTGGTGTGTGTCTTGCCACTCGGGGGACAGACAAACGGGAGATCGAAATACGCATACTGGAATGGGGAGTGATCCGAAAAGATCTTGTTCACGAGGACGGGAATTCTCTCGTTATCGCGGTAGCTCCGTATTGAATAACCTTTGAGGATATCGCCCAGTCAGCCATTCCCGTCTCGTGTGCCAGGGTGCGGAACTTCCAATTGGTACTTCGCAGTATGAATGTGGCCCTTCTCACATACCAGGAATATAGAAAGCTCGAGCAGTGGACAGGAGAAACACGAATGCAGCCAGCATGGGCCATACGCGAATATCGAGTGCCATTTCGATAGGCTTTTTTTTGGTGGGTGCCGGGGCGGAACGAAGTTCAGAAATTCGGCCCGTGGGCGGTTGAGGCCGCTGAGATATATGATGGAGTAACTCAAGCTAGATGTTGGACACAAGTACAGGAAGACGGAAGATTGGACAATAAGGGAAACGATCAGGTGTTTGGGCGAGAGCGAGCAAGAATTGAGCGAGTGTAATCGGCGACAAACGCCGGAAGTCCGGGGTAAAACGATAGAGAAAAAGGGAGGATGATCAACGGTGGTGTCAACGCATCAACCCGATGGCAAGATGCAAGATACCATTGCCAAATATCTGCCGACGCGGGAGGCCGAGGGACGGTGACGTGGGTTACACGGCGGTACTGAATACAGGGTTCAAAGACTGCAGACCCGCATGGAGGGACGGCCGCTCTCAGGGATGATGAGGGTGAAGGTGTATGAAGCAGTAATTAATAAGTTATACAAGCGTAATTTGGGGAGTTGGCGACAAGAGCTGAGACGCAGCCATGGATGCGCCCATTTACCAGCGTTGATTCGTCGGAAACCGTCTCCAGCCCGTTGAGCGAATCATAAGTGGCAAAACATTACACTAGTAACTTAAGAGTACTGTGATTGGCTGGAGTCGCTGCCAATTACGGTCGTGACAGCGTAACTTAGATTTTGAGGCTGATAAATTTCGACATGTGGAGGGAGCAAACGGAGAAGATAGCTGGAGGATGACAACAAGCATGCTGATAATACACAAGGGAACAGTTGGAGGGTGTGCTGCAGCAGGGACACTTGGTTGCAAGCATAAGATGAAGACATAACTCGTAAAAGGACATGGCAAAAATGCAACAAAACCAAGATCATACTACCACTTCCTTCTGATACACAAATTCGAGGGGGAAAAAGAAAAAAAAGGACAAAGGAACAATGGTCGCTTATGTATTGTTCAGAAGATATTCAACCGCTCCTTGGACACTTCCGCCTGTTCTTCTGAGTGCCTCAATGTTCCTTTCAAACTCATAAAATCCCATTTCATTTAATTGCCGAAGTTGCTCGGCATATCTTTCCTCTGGTGGGCGGTTATCTTGTGGAATTGAGCTGCCTTGGCCCATCAGCCCAGGGAAGAGCGCCGCAAATGGGTTGGCACCGGCTTCAGCATTCGAGCCATTTTGACCACCTCCAACAGCCTGCATTAGCTGGTTAAACAGGGTTGGGTCTTGTAAAAATGGGTTATTTGCAAGGGCCGCATATGGGTTCTGACGTTGCTGGCTCGTGGTCTGCCCGGCAGGCGGTGATGCAAGTAGCGCCGGGTTAAACAAGGCCGCAAAAGGATTTTGTTGATTCTGGCCTGGCTGGGTACCTTCGGCGGTTGACGAAGGTGCAGTGGTGCCCGTCGAAGCGCCCTCTCGAGGTTGATTCTCTTGCGTACCTGTAGGAGCAGGGCTATTGCCCGTTGGCGCACCCCCAAACGCTGCGTTGCCAAAAAGTGCCCCGAAAGGGTTTCCCGCTGCACCCTGTGGAGGAGGAGGAAGGCCAAAAAGAGTAAAAGGATTGGGGGCGTTTCCGGCACTATTTCCAGTATTGCCCGTCTGTGTATTCTCTTGCTGGCGATGCTCATCTGACGTCGTGTTTGTGACTCCAGGAGCGGGAAAGGCCGCATTCTCCCCGCTTCCGCCTCCAAACGGACTTAAACCAAACTGCGATTGCATCTGAGCCATCTGACGAAGCATATTAGGGTCCGTCAACATCCTACGGAATGCGGGCGATTGCATCATTTGTCGCACACCGGGCCCCATATCGCGCAACATCGGGTTTTGCTGGATCATCATATCTAGGAGCTGAGGGTTCTGGAGAGCTTCGTTCATCATGGATTGGAATTGGGGATTGTCAAGCATATTTATCAATTGCTCGGTACTAGGAGGTGGGCCCATCTAGTTGTGGTGGTTAGAATTAATCAGTAATTGGCAGGATGCTTAAGAACTTACTCCTCCGTCAGGCCCAAAAAAGGATGCTCCTGGAAGTTGCATATTGTAGCCAGCGAATCTTGCTCCGGTTAACCCGGCCAGAGGGTTGTTTCCCGTGCCGGCTGCGATATTGGTTGGAACTCCGGGTGGCGGTGCTTGGGGTGCCGAGCGGCCAGCAGTTGTCGCGCTGGAGCTTTGCGAGCTTTGCTGCGGGGGTTGATTACTGGCAGCGCTTTTCACCAAATGAATTGTATGGCCATCTTTGACATTATACGTTGCAAGTGTATCGTGATCCTTCAGGACCCGGCCAGAGTAAATAAGACGTTGGCGCGCAGGAGGGACATCGGCGTATTGTGGCTCTGAGAGCTTGACTTTCAGATTCCCAATCTTTGTCGACGGGGCTAGAGTAAGAGAATATTTTGCATCACTTGAGGTTTTCACAAGGAAGGTAATCGGCGACTCTTCTCCAACCTCGCCGTTGTCCGCCATCGCTACGCTTAGAGATGCCGAAGACCGTGGAAGTCCCACGCGGGGAAGGGAAATAGCAGATGCTTGTGCTTGTTCACAAAGACTGATGATTTAACAATTAGGTGAGAGACAGTGTTAGAATGCACAGCCTCCTATAACAGAGCACAGGAGAGCAGCATATCAATGGAGCAATGCAGATTATCCAAAATGACCGGTTGAGACGAGTGGGTGAGGTGATCTCACTCAAAGGTGGCTACGGGGGCCCAGAGGTGCTGGACGCGCATCGAAGTCAAAAGAACTCCCAACCTCAAACCACAACGAAAATTTCACATCCGTACTCACTTGTCTCAATTTTCGGCTCCCAACCTCACTTGATCTAATTGTACAGGCTTGCCTTGTTGCTCTTCTATTGTGCAATGAGAGGAGTCTTCCCTATGAGATTGTGGCAAATTTTATGAGCAGGTAGTGCACTGCTGCTTGCCCCTACCCAGCAGCCATGGCGACCACTTCGTCCATGTTTATGTACTCTCTTACCATCCAGCCACCAACAGCAATTACTCAAGCAATAATTGGCCAATTTTCGGGTGTTAAGGAGCAACAGATCGTGATTGCATCCGGCTCTAAGCTGTCAATCCACGAACCAGATTCACACCAGGGCAAGATTCGAACTCTCTACTCCCAGGATGTCTTTGGGATAATCAGATCTTTGGCGGCGTTTAGGCTTGCGGGCAGCAGTAAAGGTATGTTTGCACCCAATACAACTGTCAAAAAGACCAATATAGTGATTCTTCAAAGCTTTGGGAGCAGCATGACGTCCTCTTCGTCCCGCGCAAATTACCTTCCCCTGCGAAAAGGACTGGCACGCTGTATCCTTGCTTAGTACCTTTGATGAGTGATGCTAAGTACTTGTATCGCTAGACTATATTATCATCGGCTCTGACTCTGGTCGGATCGCAATCGTCGAGTATGTCCCATCCCAGAATCGCTTCAATCGAATTCACCTAGAGACCTTTGGTAAATCTGGCATTCGACGAGTTGTTCCAGGCCAATATCTCGCTGTGGATCCGAAAGGCCGAGCGTGCTTGATAGCATCGGTGGAAAAGAACAAATTGGTATATGTTCTTAACCGAAATGCTCAAGCCGAGCTCACAATATCTTCTCCCCTCGAAGCACATCGACCTCAGACCCTAGTCTTCGCGCTAACCGCCCTCGATGTGGGCTACGAGAATCCCATATTTGCAGCACTGGAGGTGGATTATACAGAATCTGACCAAGATCCGACGGGGGCAGCTTACCAAGAAGCTGAAAAGCTTCTTGTTTATTACGAGCTTGATCTCGGTTTAAATCATGTTGTTCGAAGATGGGCGGACCCTGTCGATCGTTCTGCAGCGATGCTCTTCCAGGTACCTGGCGGAGCAGACGGCCCAAGTGGAGTTCTTGTTTGTAGCGAAGGTAACATCACATATCGTCACTCCAATCAAGACGCCTTCAGAGTGCCGATTCCACGTCGGAGTGGTCCCACCGAAAATCCTGAAAGGAAGCGGTATATCACGGCGGGTGTGGTTCATAAAATGCGGAGGGCATTTTTTTGTCTTTTACAGACAGAGGATGGAGATTTGTTCAAAGTTACAATGGACATGGTGGAAGATGAAAATGGGCAATTAACAGGCGAAGTACAGCGGTTGAAGCTCAAATACTTCGACACCGTGCCCGTCGCATCAAGTCTTTGTATCCTCAAAAACGGTTTCCTTTTCGTGGCAAGCGAAACCGGTAATCATCATTTCTACCAATTCGAGAAGCTCGGTGACGATGATGAGGAAACAGAATTCTCAAGTGATGATTTTTCAGCAGATCCGTCAGAGCCACTCGCTCCAGTATATTTCCGTCCACGGCCAGCGGAAAACCTGAATTTAGTGGAGAGTATCAATTCACTTAATCCTCTGATGAGTTGCAAAATCACAAACCTTACAGAAGACGATGCCCCTCAATTCTATACACTCAGCGGGACAGGTGCACGGAGCACTTTTAGGACCTTGAAGCACGGCTTAGAAGTGTCGGAAATTGTCGAATCCGAGTTACCCAGTGTTCCCTCCGCTGTTTGGACGACAAAACTCACTCGCAACGACCAATATGATGCATATATCATTCTATCTTTCTCCAATGGAACGTTGGTTTTGAGTATTGGCGAAACGGTGGAAGAGGTGACGGACACCGGCTTCCTCTCCTCTGCGCCAACCCTTGCTGTGCAGCAACTTGGTGAAGATTCGCTCATTCAAGTTCATCCAAAAGGCATCCGACACATCCACGCCGACCGTAGGGTGAATGAATGGCCCGCGCCACAGCATCGATCGATTGTGGCTGCAGCTACAAATGAACGACAGGTTGCCGTGGCTCTAAGTTCTGGCGAAATTGTCTACTTCGAGATGGATACCGATGGTTCTTTAGCAGAATACGATGAAAAGCGTGAGATGTCAGGAACTGTTACGTGCCTTAGTCTCGGAGAGGTCCCTCCTGGTCGCGTGAGAAGTTCGTTCCTTGCCGTGGGATGTGATGATTCCACAGTTCGCATTTTGAGTTTAGATCCCGATTCAACTTTAGAAAATAAATCGGTCCAGGCTCTGACGTCTGCACCATCCGCTTTGTCAATAATGTCAATGGTTGACTCCACGTCGGGCGGTTCGACGCTTTATCTTCATATTGGATTATACTCGGGCATCTATCTTCGCACAGTGCTCGACGAAGTTACTGGCGAGCTCTCAGACACGCGCACACGCTTTCTTGGCCTCAAGTCTGTCAAGCTATTTAGTGTGTCTGTTAAAGAGCAGAGGGCTGTCCTTGCGTTAAGTTCACGTCCATGGCTAGGATATTCCGATTTACAGACAAAGAATTTCATGCTCACACCCCTGGATTATGTTCCACTAGAATGGAGCTGGAACTTTAGCAGCGAGCAATGCGTTGAGGGAATGGTGGGAATTCAAGGCCAGAATCTAAGGTATGTTAAGACGCATGTTCCCCATGCATACTCCTTTGTAGTGCTTCATGATGACAACAAACTATCCGAGTCGACTTGACATTGCGGAACTACGCTTTTATTTTTTCCAATTGTTCCTACTGAAAGCCATATTTCAATTTCTTTTGGTTATTGCCTTTGTCAATGCCTCACCATGCTAATTTTCCCAAATAGGATTTTCTCTATTGAGAAGCTCGACAACAATCTCCTCCAAGAGACGATTCCACTCGCCTATACCCCGCGCCATTTTGTCCGCCATCCTGAACAACCTCTCTTCTACGTTATCGAGGCTGACAACAATATACTCTCGCCTTCTACGAAAGCCAAGCTCCTTCAGGATTCCAAAGCAGCTAATGGAGAGGTGGCCGAACTGCCACCCGAAGATTTTGGCTATCCACGCGGCACCGGCCATTGGGCATCATGCATCCAAGTTGTTGATCCAATCAACAGTAAGGCAGTTATTTCCCGTATTGAACTAGAAGAAAATGAAGCGGCCGTTAGTGTGGCAGCGGTCCCATTTTCCAGCCAAGACGATGAAACGTTTTTGGTGGTTGGAACTGGAAAAGATATGGTGGTGTATCCTCCGTCTTCGTCGTGCGGGTTCATCCATATCTATAGATTCCAGGAAGATGGCAAAGAGCTCGAGTTCATTCACAAAACCAAAGTTGAATCCCCACCGCACGCACTCTTGGCTTTCCAGGGACGTCTCCTCGCCGGCATCGGTCGCAATTTACGGATCTATGATCTGGGTATGAAGCAGCTACTCCGCAAGTGCCAAGCTGAAGTTGTCCCACGATTGATTGTTGGACTTCAAACACAAGGTAGTCGCATCATCGTGAGCGACGTTCAAGAAAGCGTCACGTACGTGGTCTACAAATATCAGGAAAACCGCCTTATCCCATTTGCCGACGACGTAATAGCCCGTTGGACAACGTGTACAGCGATGGTCGATTACGAGACCGTCGCAGGTGGAGATAAGTTTGGAAACCTCTGGCTCCTGAGATGCCCTCAGAAAGCATCTGAAGAGGCTGATGAAGATGGCTCTGGAGCACATCTCATCCACGAACGGCAATATCTCCAAGGTGCACCAAACAGGCTCAGCCTGATGGTTCACTTCTACCCTCAAGATATTCCTACAAGCATCCAGAAGACGCAATTAGTGGCTGGAGGACGGGATATCCTGGTCTGGACCGGCTTACAAGGCACTGTTGGAATGTTGGTGCCGTTTGTCAGTCGTGAAGACGTGGATTTCTTCCAGAGTCTTGAGATGCAGCTTACTTCGCAAACACCTCCACTTGCTGGCCGCGACCATTTAATCTATCGAAGCTATTATGCACCAGCGAAAGGTACCATTGATGGAGACTTGTGTGAGACGTATTTCACATTGCCGAACGATAAGAAATTAATGATCGCTGGGGAATTAGACAGGTCTGTCCGAGAGATCGAGAGGAAAATTTCGGTAAGCCCTTTGCTTCATCCCTAGAAATATCCATTAGTACGGGCGCTGACCAGGGTTCTGAATATAGGATATGCGTACTAAGGTGGCTTACTAACGATTGATCTTCGATTTTACCTAGTTGGCGTCCTGGTTTGAGGTTTTCATATGCGTCCAATTGAGTGCTAATAATTGTGAACTACGGGCTCCTTCCAATATGTCATTTGTTTTCAAGATTTTTTTCCAACTGTGGGCGGAATACAGGGCAGCTAAGTGGCGATTACGGAGTTCAGATTTGCAAATGAAACGATTCTCAACATGACCCCTGAGCTCATTTTCTTTTCTTCGCTCCTTTGTGGCAACAGCTTTTCCCCCGGTTTTATATTGGCCCGTAAACAAAGCCCGGGCATCGAATGGCCAAGTCTCTTGCCTCGCTCGGTCAGTTTGCGTTCCTATCGTCTGATCTTGAGCTGGATACACCTTCCTTTGTATTACATGTGAAGGGATGTATGGGACGAGAAGAGTGGAGGTCCTCCTATCGATGATTTTTGAGTACGATTCCACGGCCTGCACATCGCCTGGGATTGTAATTTATCCGTCGAGACATGTTCTTAGGCACCGGGTGCTACGGAGTGTATACATACGAAAGTAAGTACTCCGTACAGTACACTTATCGGTTCAACCCTATTGTTGCTAGCAGATAATTTTGGATAATTCGTATGTACTATTTTGGTGTGTCATTTTATATTTAAACGGTCAATCACGAATTTTGCTGCTTACCGGTGGATGGAGAATCCTGGTCTTTTGAGTACGGAGTCCCGAGTTACCGTGTGCCTCAGATCCTTGGGTTTCAAACCAAAACAGAAGGCCGTTGGATTACACGCCGCTATTCCCTCCGACAGCTGCGGAATGCTAACGTATTAATCATATTACTAATAATGGCCTTTCTTGAACTTCAGCCTTCTTGTTGATGGGAAGGGGGGCTCTCCTATCACCGGCGATTACCAGAGAAAGATGTCCAATGTAACGTTTTGTCCACCCTCCACAGGCCACTTGCTGGGCCCCGTCCCGTCTTCATTCGAATGCAGAGGTACGAGCTAGGTATGCCAGAGATATGCCCCGCCCGGATAGCACATATTTTTGAAATCTCAATCCTACCCCCTCAAGCCGTGCGAAGCATTAAATACTTTTTTTGAATTTTCAAAGCGCGGTCTCTTCACTGGAAGATGAACAATGGCTGAGCCCCAAAGGATACTGCTTGATAAGGCTAAGCTGAACCAGGGTGAGTAAAAGGTTTGCGACGCTTATTGAACGGTTATCTAACTGGATAACTTAGGACTTGCCGCACTTGATGCCGCAATGGGGCGAGAGCCAATGATCTATGCATTCTCGCCGATCACCATGATATCCCCAGGTGGCTATCCCGCGGTTACATATTTTCAGAATCGGAGTTCCACAGAAGATGTTGACGTCATCATTGATCCGGGGCATGCTGTTGATAAAGACGTTGCAACTGCCATTCGCAATACCATGAAGCAAGTAGGCGAGGATCTACTCTTTGGAAGAAAATGGATCAACGAGGATGTCTCCATGTTCCTTACACCACAGGCTCGTCAGTCTCTTTTCCAAGATGCAACGAAGCAGAACATCGTCCTCTGGGATGGACCACATTTAAGGGTGTTGGCAGCACCGCTGGAATGGGGCCTAGAAACCAAACTCCGACGCCTTTCTACAACGCCAAATCATCCAAAGGTGGTCAGCGATATGAATGACATCGTTGTGATTCTAAAATTCCTGATAGATCGAAACGGGGCCCCCTTAAAGCAAAATACCATTCAGTCATTGAACAGAAACGGTTTTGATGTTGCTATCAAGGATGATGTAATAAAAAAGGTCGCAGCAGAATACCAAGCACAATATGGAACGCAGCCTTTCTGCTAAAGGACAGCTTGACCAAATGAGTGGCCTCACGACCAGGGACACACAGCTCATATGTACTACATGATACAATGTGACTGTGGGACCACTCTTTAGTGTGAGTTGTTAGACGTAGTCGAGTAGGCCGCTGGCAATGGTGCCTGTTGTTGCTGTATGAGGGTAATTAACTAGGTTGGTTAACAAAGTAACTACTCTGTATGGAGTATGGAGTACTCCGTACATATTACATACTCCGTAGAAAACTTCAATAGTTAGGTAAAGAATTTCAGAGGTAAAAATATTACATTTGAGGTCTGTTACCGCACAGATACTATAAAACAACTTTTACTATCTATATAACTAGTTAGAGCTCAGATACTATGTCGGTATTATGTACTGTAATATCAAGGCAGTGGAAAAGTGGTGGCAGTGCCTGGGCAATTGTGGCTGACCACCTGACATGCGATGCCCAACAAGCACAGGTAACCTACCCTCAGCAGACAAATACTGCATTCCTGTGCTCTCCTCCAATTTGAAATTTACCAGGAAAGTCCCTCTCGCTCTCGCGACCAGAAGGCTTTGCTCATCTCACTCGAATTTTGCTCTGGGCTGTTACTCTCGGATGGGATCATGGCCCCTAGCCCACAGCGGCAACGCCCAAAGATAAGCTGGTGGACGCGAATGAAATGGCGATTGCGATCCATGGAGAGCCCACTGGTTCTTCGAGGAACTGTTAAACGTCTTCGTCTCCACAGGTGGCCATATCTTGCTCTCCTTCGCCTATGTCTACCGACTACCTCCTTATCCTGGTCATACGCTGTACCTGAACCCCTCCCTCCTCTATCCCTCGTCAACGATCCACCGCTGTGTTGGAAACGTCGATGTGAGGGCGATATAAAAAATTTGCAAGCAATTCCCATCTGGCGCTCTCGCGATACACCTCTCCGCTCGCTTTATCGTCTCTATGAGGCAGTGATGGGGGGAGATGAAATGCTACCCGTCGTTGGATACGAGACTGAATACTTCTTTTACCAAGGCCGACGGGCATGGGAACTACACCGTATTCCTGATCCATGTGATCCTGATCCTATTCGCTACGCGATCCTTGCTTGTATAGTCGAATCGTTGCTACATGCTATCAACTGGCGCTTGAGCATCGGACTAAGGAGGAATGGTAAGCACATTCCACCAACAAATTATGATGGTGTGAACAATCCATACGCTCCATATGACCCGGTTTCTTTACCAGCATGGACACAACGTGTTCCGCCTGTTGATAAGCAATATATTGCAAAAGTTATGCCCGAGAGAATGATTGATCCGAGAGGAAGGTTGGTGCTACATACAGATGCGGAGAGCGACATCTTCGAAAAGAGAAATATAGTCGCATCGGAGCATAAATTCTGGACCATTTAGCTCCTGCGTATATTTTGGTACCTGTTCAGCCTCTTAATCCAACGACAAGTATTATATTCCGCCCATTTCTGCCCCTTTGTGCCAGCATCTCGTATTATAAGGGCGGCTACCAAAAGACGAAAGCACTATGAAAGAAGGAGATGCCTAAAGAAGACACCTACAGCCATAGGGTGTTGAAGACAAGGCTTTCAATCCACCAAGCTGTGCTTAAAGCTGCGTCCTCGGCCGGGAGCGTATCGTTTTCGAGACTGTTAGCCCTGTTGGTGTTTTGAAAGGTCCATCAGCCCCTCTGCTCAAGCTGAGAGATGGATTTCAATAAAATCATATATCGGAGAGCGTTCCGAGAACAATTCCAAATCTACCTCTAGACGCGAGCCTCCCATTTGGATTCCCAGTTCCATTAGGGTATGCTGCCCCCTAGCCAGCGGCTTTCAAGGTGCTGGACCAATTGCTGCCCATAACATGCAGATGAAGGTGTGCATGTCTTTCTGTGAACTCTGCTTTTGTCAAAATTTATCTGCCAGCCATGCAACGTCTCATTTCAAGGTTATCCTGACCCCCTTTCCCTGAGCTCCAACGTTGCATATTGGTGGATTTTGACCGGCCTTCCAATCCAGTGACTCAATGGCCTGGTATTCTTTGTGGCCCTTGTGGATTCATTCAGATAGCCGCTTTGGGCAAATCCCATCCTTCCTATATTCACCGGCTATCTATGAAACCAGCAAATAGCTGATTGGGCGGAACAGCCTAAGCGTCTGTAGCAATGCAGATAAGTCTCCAGAGAATGATGGATATATTACTGGATCAGCGAATAGACCAGTCGCACGTTCAGCTGCCGACCAGGCAATTGAAACTGTTTTGTGTCGCAGCAACCTTGGACTATTGTGCTGATTCGCGAGATATTCAACACCATCCTGAGTACGAAGCTTTTACCATATCACCTAGTGGATACACAATAGCAATCCCTCAACGGGATATATCAGCTCGAACCCCCCCCCCCGACCGTCTGCTCGCGGGTCCGAATTAGGTGGCTGGGTCTGCGCACCCTATTCAGCTAGCCACCCCAGATGTTCAAATCAAGTTGTATGTACGGAGCACAGTACATCCAAATTTATATAATCTCCAATGGAACCCACCCACTTCGTCCCACAGCCTCGTGGCGATCTGCAGGAAGCCAGTTAAGAATCTCTCTTCCCATGTAAGTCTCCAGGTATGTAGCCAAAACTGACATCCTACGCCATCCTTAAATTAATAACCAATGCAATCAGTATCAAGTCAATGGTGTGGAATTACATCACCACATCCTCAACCCCAATCATCCTGGATATTGGGCAGTCATATTAGGAAGAATCACATCAAAGCCCCGAATGTTGGGCATACAGTCAGATGTACACATACCCCTTTCAATGTGATTTATACATCACAGTCCCTGAACATGAACATCCAGTGGGAGGCTAAATATGCAGTGAACTGAGCCGTGGTAAGTTTTGGGAAAGGTCTAAATTCCTGAATTGATCCCAGAGTTGGATGTGTGTGCTCATCCTTAGATTCTTAGGATGTACCCACACCTGGTGCAAAGGTCACGTATAGCGGCGAGCGGCAGGTGGTTAATCCAAATGAAGTCTGGGATCTGAACAGAGAGGGAGAGTGCAGAAATCAACAAATGATCCAGTTCCTAACTTCTTTACTCTAAACAACGGCTACCCGAATGCTGTCCACTCCTTGATTGGTGCCAAAGATTCCAGCGGCCACTTTACTCCCATTTACATTGATACCGAACAAATCGAGAGCACCTTCTCTGTCAGTTACGAACCTGTTGACATGGCGCAATGGTGGTATCAATACAGGATCAACACAGCAACAATGGTTGAGAATGTAGTATCCAAAAAGGAAACGCAAGATTTCTCTGCCGATGACCGAAATCAAGACAAATCCTTCAAGTGGCAGTCCACTTACAAAGTTAACCTGGGAAAATGGGAATCTAATCCAATAATGTGAGGCTGTTGTGATACTTTCCAGTGCTTTTCTTCTGGGCATAAGGCTTGTTAGTCAGTTAGTTGGACAATCTAACGCTCCTAGGAATCAATTTCAGGAATTTTTATTGATCTTATTTCAAGCACACCATAACGCGGATTGAAAGCGTTGCATAAATAGTGTACCCACAGGCTTTCAGCCACTCTCCTCAGCATCTCTAGTAGCCCTCCTTTAAGATGTTAGCATCTCTGTTTCGGCAGTCCTTAACCACTAGTTAACTATATGGTGGGTGCCAGGGATATTTCTCCGACCAAAGAGGTTTTACCCACTGGGTTGTCTCCAGGATGGGTGACAGACGTGGAGGTAATAATAAGCCAGGTACCTAGAGAAATGCTGTTTGTTGCCTACTCCATAATTGGATGCCGGCTTCCTTTCTCTGATCTGTGTATAGAGTTCTCGGTATCTTAACTGTTTGTGTGCAAACCCCCCTGGGTCTTGCATATACATAAGGGAAAGCCGCAGAAAGGTGGGAAGACTCTGATCCCCTTGTAACTTTGTTATGAGGTCACTAAACAAGCGAATTGATCCTGAACTAGGATACTTGGGCTGGAATAGGGCAGCGACTTTGCTATTGAATGGAGCCAAGTTTGCTTTGGGGGAACCGAACAATTCACTCCTCTTTTGATGTTTTGGGATCAAGACAAATTTATGTAATCCCGAGCCAACTGATGTCCACATCCAATGCAATCTTGTTCGTAGTCTCAAATGGAATATATGCTGCTTTTGAAAAATAGATGAAAGGGTCCTCTATTTTGGTAAGCCTTGACACTACTGAAAATCCATAGTCAACCCGATAATTGTTGGGGGTGTAAGGCGTTGTGTAAAAGAAAGGCTCGGTTCCAGTCTGATTCAATAGAATGATTGCGCGACATTTTAAGGTCTATGAAAGATTAGCAGATATGTCATCCCACAATCAGGACATTACATACTTCACATATGACACTTAGGCACTGGATTTCTGCATCTCTCACTTCAGATATCTCCACGACGAAGGGCTAAGCAGGATTGTTTAGAATCCAATGTGGTTGACCAGTTCTCTGTTCAAAAGCGACGTCCACAATACTCCATCAATTTTGAACTAAAAGGTGTCTGCTATTGTTAAGTGCATAGTGCTCCCACTTGTAACCCCCTGTATTGCCATCTGCAGGGGTAGACTCTATAATGAACAGAAAACCACCTTCCAATGTAAAGAAGATGAATTTGTATGAATGGTGATCACATATCTATTTTTCCAGCTGTGAATCTCTTTTTTAGTATGCTGATAGGATCATCCCTCTCATTTGCGAACGGAGATGCGGTTTTCAGGGTCAAAAGTAAGCAGCCAATATTGTACTTGAGAACAATGTCCTAAGTCTCTCCCGATAATTTGTGAAAAAGAACGGTTCGATGATTGTTTGGAAAGATGCAGCGCAAGTATCTGTGAAGGAATATCCATAGGTACTTTGTTGAACTTATTATCCAGAAGATATACAATGTGGTCTCTGATGATAATATTGGGTTAGATTTGATCAGCGGAGGGCAGTAGACGGTACTATCCACTTGTTGCTGGGAGATATTGTGAGAGATAAGTCGGTTCAACCAAATCCAGCAAACGACATAGGTTCATCATAGGGCGGCCCTGAACAAATTCAAGGCATATCTTATGTAAAAGCCACCCTCTTCGCTTGTAGCTAAGCATAGGATAGCTTTGACCTTGGCTTAAAACGAAGGTTTCAACTTCAATGTTAGGCATCGAGGAATTTCTTTCACAAGGGCTTGGTGTCTTTGATCTAGCGGTAAGACTTGGTAATTATCAGGCTGTGATTCATCCACATTTTGCTGTTGCAGCCAGACGCGAGCTTTTCATCAAACTGGTGGTGGAAGAGGAAAAGAGAAAAATGCCCAACGAAAAGAAAAGGAGACGCCTCAAAAGCTTAGTTACTAGCCTGCTAGTTAAGCCTGCATGAAGCTCCAGGAACCACAAAACCATTACGGAGTACTCCGTAGACCTTGACGTTCCAGCTAACTTTCTTGCTCTCAATTAGCCTGTAATGGGCCCTCGGAACTTACAGGCCAGACGGGCGTTGCTCAAGAAGCACCTGAGCCAAGAAGCTGGGGGCTAACTAACTATATATACTAGCTGGATACTACGGAGTACATAGTGTCTTAACAAGACGGCATGGAATGTCAATGTGACATGAATGTACTCCGTACGGAGTCCAAAGTAATATTTGCTAACTTACCTCTGATCGGGTGAAGGATCTGACTATTCCACTGCCGATAAATAATGTGATGTGACTTTCATTGTTCAGCAACTGACCTTCCAACCCGAAAGCTTTTTTTTTTTTTTTTAATTAAATATATTAAGCCCAAAAGGAATAGTATATACCGAAATATATGGGAGTAGGAAACCGAAAGCCCATTTTTCTAGGTTTACGAAACATTTTTACTCGAAGAATAATGTATCAAGCAACCGGTTCGAGAACATCTTCCGAAGTTCTTCAACAGTCCACCCCTGTTCGTTACCAATTTTCTTAATTATTGAGGTGAACTTAGCAATTTCCTTGCTGCAGCTCTTCTTCTTCAGATACTCCGGCCATGGCTGACCATCAACTCGGAATGCGTCCCTGTAGAAAGTTGTCAATCACCCGCTTCATTTCATTCCGTCCCTCTGAAGTATTCGGTGTAATCTGATGGGTAAAAACATACCATTCCTTGGCAAAATGGGGGCGAATGTTAAGATCTTGACCATTCCACTGCCTGAGAGTCATCCATTTGTCAATCATTGCCTGTGCAAAGTCGTGCCATTCGGCTTCCATAAAGCGCGGTGTTAAAATCTCCATAGCACAAGTTCCTAATTTGTTACCGTACTGTGGTGCCATTAAAACATCGCTGCCGCCCATGATGCGCACTTCAAGAGGCATCCGCATCGGGCATGTGGCAATGTTCTCGTATGTCAGAAGAATTGCTTGCCACCAGGCCTTTCGGACAATGCCAAGGTCCGGGGTGTTTGAATTCGTTTTCGAGCTGGGAAGCTGCAACGGCAGTATTGTTTAATCATATGAACTTCAAGTATATGGAGGGACTTAAGATGAACTCACGGGTATTTCAAGTTCGACGTCTCGAACCCGAACGTTGTGGATACCACGTCGAAAATGCAGCGCGTTTGGAAGCCAAGTTTCAATCGTGCAGTCAGCAGGCAAGGCATCCATAGCCAATTGCGCTTTTCATGATGTTAGTACAGCATTGGTTTCGCCATAACATTGGGAGATATTACTCACAGATAAACTTTGTTGCAGATTCGGGTGACATAAACCTGTCTTTACGATAGGATTCCTGCAAAAACTCCAGCGCAAATGTCTCATTCACCTGTTTCAGTATCTCGTCAGTATCAGGGTAATCCTTAACGGAAGCCGAGTCTTGTGTCAGAGACCATGTGTTGATCCAGACTTGGTCATGGAGTGGAAACCAGAACCACTCCGCGTAATATTCATTCATAGCACGTTTCTCGAAGTCCTGTACGAACTTCTTAATTTGGTCTGGCTTGTATTTGTCGTATTTATCTTTGAGCTCCTTTGGCAAATCTTTTACCATATCTTCTGGAGGTGGGATAGCTTCTAACACAGGCACCTTCAAGGGTTTCATGGCAGCATAGCTCATCTTATCCAAAACAAGTGTAAGGTGGGTGACAACCCCTAGCAGCCCAAAGCATCCGCTGGCAACTGAAAGAAACTCCTTTTGATCCTGTGTTATTTTCTGGAGCTTGCCGTTCACGTCGACATATTCCACAGCATAAACAAGATCACTGAGTGTTTTCTGCTTAATTCCAGCACCATGGCTAATCAAAGATGACCGTCAGTGACTTGAATTGAGAGCCAGAATAAACCACTCTTACCAAATGGGAGCATTGCTTCCTCCAAGAGTAATTGCAACCATGATCACATTTAGTGGTAAAGTTAGGAGCTTCTTGTCTAAACACCACCTTCGTAGGTCCTCGTTGGTAGCAGAACAGCCTATGCGAACAAGAGTTTGGTCGGAAGAGATAGAGCTGGGACGCTGGTCCAAGGCTTCAATTTTGTTCAGCTCAATTTTTATGTTGCTCCATTTTCCTAGAGCCTCTTCATTTGCTTGTGCTCCTAAAATTGCTCTTTCCAATGCAAGGAGTGAGATGAGGATGAAGGGTCTATCCTCGCTCTTGTCACGACCAAAAATTGACGACCATGAATGCCCTGAGAATATTCTGTTAGCGCATAGACGTAACATCCTCGCGGTAGTACGTACGGTATCCAGCGACGCGAACACCGCATCTGATGCTCTTTGCAAGAGTCACAATGGATTGTACTCCAAAGACTGTCTTGGGAATACAAGTATACAACGGGCCATTGAGGATATTCTGCCCCCAGTTGTAGAATGTTGCGTACTTGTAAGACTATTCGATATTTTTTTTTGTGTTCATTTTAGCAAGCGACAGGAGTTTGTTAGCAGAAGATGACTCACCTCAATTGGATCTTTTTTCTCCTTATCATTGTAGATATCCAGATCGATCGGAATGAGGTCCCCGATACTTACTTTCTCTTGGTCTGCTTGCTTTGCAACGACGTCGAACCGATCAGTTAGGGATTCCTTTGTTTCACCTGTTACAAACTTCTCCAGCAGTAGCTTCTGCCTTGGAGGGTAACCGTTGAGAGTCCGATCAAACAGCTGCTTGTCCGCTGCCTTGCAACGTCTCAATGCCTCACGGCAGGCTCCTTCATCTTGCATCACCTTGCGCTTATTAATGCACCCATCCTCCAGAATCAAACCGGGGGCCATCTTGAGAACCTTAAGTATTTGTGATGGTAGAGGTCTCAAGCTAAATGTGTTCCGATGCAAGCTTGTCAAAAAGGGCTCTTTTTCAAATCAATGTATAATCGCCACTCCCACTCTGAGGCGCAGTCCCTCACAGTCATAAACCTTTTCGGTAGGATTGATAAACGGGGATGGGTATCTTCAAATAGCCAAAAAGAAAATCGAATCCGCGGTTCAAAGACGTCATATATGATATCGAACATGTTGAATGATGTAGTTGTGCGAAACCGGGAAGGCCTTGTTGGATTGTTGTTGAAAGGTGCCCACTGCAAGAAGTCGATCGGTTCCGCTTTAGTACTCGCCGAATATACGGAGTATTACTCCGTATCCATTTAGCATTTAACTTAACAGTCCGGATATCAGCCTTTGGAGTGCTGAACATTCGAGTATGTGTCATTCAATGGCGGAGTTACTCTGGAACAGCTGTAACTAGCGAAAAGGATTTGCTAATAATGCTATCATTGGTTGCAACCAACTGCTCTCGACAGCCTACCAATCAAAACCTGCTGAACAACTCCTTTCTCTTAACCTTCCAGAGATGAATAGAAGAGCTGAAGAAAAGGTGTCACTTTATATGAAAGTAAGGTTGGAGAGTAAGACATACTTGCAACCCCCCTCCAACTTCCAACGTCTGCTGTCTTTCTTGTAAAAGCACTTGCTCATTGCCTCTGATATCCAACCATTACACGATGACACGCGTCCTCTCCGTATTATGGACGGCGTGGGTTGACCCGTGGAACGGTGTCGTTTATACATGTTAGACGGCAGTTGGGTCCTAAGCTCGCAGGCCTTACAGCCGCTTCAAAAACACAATTGCCTGGTCGCAGAGCCTTGGAATAATTGACGAGGAGATGTTTTGCTCTCTCGGCCCGGCCGGTTCATCAAGGATATATCAGGGCATGGATGTCGGCCGTCAAGTAGAAATGGGGGCTCATTTCAACTGTCTGCGCTTTTCTGGGATGGCCTCACGTTCGGGAAGTTTGGGAGTGCTACATCACAGAGTTTGTATTGCTAACTCACGCGAGGCCCGGAAACATGTTGATAGTGTACTCAAGGACTCCGGGGACGTTTTAACAAACCCCAACTCCAAACCAAAAAAAAATAAAATAAATTTAAAAAAATAAAGCTAAAAATAGAAAAATGAAGAGAAAAAGGAAAAACTATTAATCGAGCCGAAAAGAGTGTCCAACTAACGCCAGCTTATTTGAACATCCTTATGTAGCACCCAGAGACAATAGTTGGAGGGACATTTCTTAGTAGATCTTCCCAATTTTTGCTTGCAGAATAGTCCTGACAAATGAAATGGGGTTCTGCCCGTTTCATAGGATCCTCGTCCTCCTCCGTTATTGAAACAGTATCTTCATAGTCAAGGATATAGCTCCCGGGAGGGAGTGGGGGATTTAAGTAGGGGCACCGAAGTAATACTTCGAAGTAATTGACTGACCATTTGTTTTCCTTATCATAGTGGACATTCCAGAGCTGCTAATCACGAGGAGATGGGCAATGGCAAAAGACTTCCCTATATTCATCGTACAATTAGCAAGGAGGTACAATGATGATGGGGAGATACCGACAAATTGTCTCAGCCTGGGAGAGCTGAAGCGGGTTCTGGCATCCTTGGCGACACCACGAAAAGCACCGCGTATTTGTGGCGCTCCTCAGTGGGACAATCCCAGAAGTCCTCCAGGCACATTCCAGGGTCTTCTTCCGCAACGAGGTTCAATATACGTTTCGGAAATGAATAGGTTAGTGCCTTGCCATGAATTTTCCCAAGCCAAAGGTTTTGGGGTGGTGGGGCGGTCTCTTCTGTCGGGGTAAAACTAAGTTAGTTACATACGGAGTACGGATGCCCTCGCAACGGATAACAGCAGCCGAGGGCATCCGTCCTGCCAAAATTGTAACTTAACCAAAATTTCATAAATACATTCACCAGACACGCCCACATCAATAACAGAATAGTCATTTCATATCAATAAAGTAACTCTATTTAACGATGTGACGGTTAGCTGGCGGCCGAACATGGCGGATTTTGCTGCCATTTTTTGGCGCCTGCTAACCGCTGCCCATAATAATGCTTAGTATTTCTTGTTGCCATTGAGTTGATACACAATGGATTTCAAAACATAAAGCAATGATAGTCAATTGACACCATCTAGACTCCTAGCACTCATTTCCAACCCTGCCCCTGCTTCAGGAATTCTTATCAAGAGGTTTAATACGTGGCCTACACATGGAGCGGCAGACACGCTGGGCCCAGGAGTGGCAAACTGTCAACAAGGGATGGGATACATTTCAGCTCACACCAGCGCCTACACCTACAGTCCTACGAGTCCATCAAAACTTACATCGAGCCCTGAGCACAATCATCACCCAGGTGCGGACAGGAAAGATTGGGCTACGCAACTATCTATACAACCATGGAGTGCCGAATGTCACAGATGGGAGATGCAGCACGCTGGACAAGAGCAGTTGCTAAGCTCTTGGGATGATGAATTCTTACCTTCTCATGGTGTCCGGTGTGAGTACTCCCAGTATGGCGAGGAAGCTAAATTCATGGTGAGTGCTGAGTGGTGGGTTCGCGGACGCGTCATACCACACTCACAGATCAGAGGATTTTTGGGTAGGAAAATCACCCAACTATGATCTGCCTTACTCGTACTCAGAGCCTGAAACTGAGCTTACCTTCTCAGTGGACGCAGTATCGCCCAGATTTGCAGAAAGGACACTTCTGAGCTTGAACACATGCCGAAACAGAGTTTCACACTCCGAACAAGCCCAAGTGTTAGAATTTGTTGCTTGGCAGGAGCCTCATGTGTTGCGATGACTATGCCAGGTTTCCTTGGGAGTTCTCATATTGTATGCACATCATGCAGTGTGCATTGTATGACAGCAAGATTCCACAAGTTGGGTATTGGACTTCTTGCTTGAGCGACCGGGTCCGTTTTGCGTCGATAAACAATGTCAATTCCACGCTAGCCGTGCTGGGTTAACTAGTAAGTACGTTTTACATAAAGCCGCCAAGTTGCGGACCTTTTTAGTTGATGCTGCCTGCTCTATTCCCTCGTTTTCTCATAAAATATAGGACTTATCTTCTCTTATGCGGCGCCTAATATTTTTTCTAGTACTCTGAACTGTGAATGATTAACTTTAGTCAAATTTTTTCTAGTCAACATGGCGGGCTTCTCTCTTGATGATATTGTAGGGAAGTATTCGCTTCAGAACTCCCTTCAGCCAATATTTAGTCGCCTTCAGGAAGCTGAGCAAGCGTACAAGCCAGGTGAGCCAGGAAATGAAGATTGTCGAATAGGTGTTCTAAGGCTGCTTTCTATCCTACATGGGCAAGATGCAGCATTCAATCTTCGCTCCAAACAAGGTGGCCAAAGCGTGGCATCCGAATTGGCTGGTTTATTTCGGCATGTCGAAGGTAATTTTAACTATGATATCTACCAGCCACTTGTCCAACTCGTCCTTGAGAAAGCACCTGATACAGATATCTGGAAAGCCGTCCTTGACCTCATTGACGTCGTCACACAGGCCACGAGGATTACGCCTCCACCGCGAATTAACTTACCGGTCATTCAGACACCGCGGTCACATACCACCAGCAGTCTTGCCAATTCGTCAGAGTACCGAAAAGACATCGATAATGTGCTAAAGGGAGAACTTCTTAGATTTCTCCATGCGGATATCCCAGGATTTTTTGAAGCATTTTTCGGCGAGATTGAGGGGCTTGGCTCGACCGCGCAGGCTGTTTTTGACAGATGCAAAGCCGGAGAAGAGTCTTTATACACTGAAGAAGGAGGTTGGACTGGTTGGCCGGAAAATGCAGAGGAGAAGTGCGTGTTGGACTGGCTGGTGGAGACCATGGGCACACTTGTGCAGTTCGCTGAGGAACATGATCCAACTCAAAACATCGACCGTAGACCGCTTGCCCAGCCGTCTCGCCCTGTGGGCGGGTCTACTGCAAAGCGAAAACTTGATATCGCGTTTGTGGACGATCCAAATGCTACAGAAAACACCCGTTGCCACTGGTCGCAGATCCTGGTCCCGGGAGAGTTGAAGAATGACCAGATGTATGATACCCCTTTGGGAGCGCGGGTTGATCTGGGGAGATATGTCAGAGAGGTCTTGTCTGCTCAGGATTCCCGCCGCTTTGTTCCCGGGTTCACCCTCTGCGGCCCATTCCTCCGTGTTTGGCACTTTGACCGGTCCGGTGGGATTGCATCTGAGAAATTCGATATCAACAAGGACGGCTGTCGGTTTATTACGGTGATGCTAGGGTTCCTTCGGATGGACCAAAAGCAGCTAGGGTTCGATCCCACTATTGTCACGGTGGATGGTACACGCTGCATTGAGATTGAGCGAAATGGCGAGAAGGAGCTTCTTGTGATTGATGAGGTGATTGGGCGGGCACACTGCATCGCCGGCCGGGCCACTACCTGCTGGAAAGTCCACCACAAAGGATCATCGACACAGCTTGTGGTCAAGGACTCTTGGCAGTATCCAGAGCGCGACGAAGAAGGGAAGTTTCTCAGCGAAGCGATGGAGAAGGGTGTGATCAACGTGGCTCGGTACTATCACCACCAGACCATCCGCATCGACGGCCGGGATGATACTACCGAAACTGCGCGGAAGGGTCTTGGTGTCACAGCGGATGAGGAACCGAGTAAGTCAGTGGTGATAAGAGGCAAATCCCGCAAGAAGAAACAGGCCACCGGAGAAAAACGGTCGTCCGACAGCCTCCAAGCTCCGCTACCCCCAAGCAAGCGCACGCGGTCGTCCTCTCCTACCAAGGCCACTGCGACAATACAGTATCGGGTGCACCGCCGTGTCGTTGTCCAGGATTACGGCAAATGTATATACAAGGCTACTTCAAGGGTTCTCCTACTTTCTGCATTTGATGGATGTATACGTGGGTATCAGTCGTTGCATGAGAGAGCTGGGATGATCCAAAGCGATATCTCGCTGGGGAACCTCATGGTGAATGAGGAAGATGATGATTCTTCTCAAAAAGTCTTCTTGATCGACCTTGATCTTGCGGTAAAGGAACAGCGAGAGGGGTTCTCAGGGGCGCGTGGTAAGACCGGCACGAGGGCCTTCATGGCCATCGGCGTGCTCTATGGCGAGAAGCACTCCTTCATGCACGATCTTGAGTCCTTTTTCTGGGTCCTCTTCTGGATATGCATCCACTACGAGGGCCCGGGGAAGGGAAGAGTTGTTAAGCGGTTCGAAAAATGGAACTATATGGACACAGAAGATCTTGCTGCTGCCAAAAAGGGGGTAATAGATCATGAAAAGGATTTTCTCAGGACTATCGAGGACAATTTCACCCCATTCTACAAGCCCTTAGCTCCGTGGGTCAACAGGCTACGACGGTGTGTTTTTCCTGGTGATAAACGGTGGGAGAAAGAGTATTCAAAGCTGTACTCCGACATGCTTACTGTTCTTCGGGATGGACAAGAGGACCCAGCCGTTATAGACTAGGTTAGAATAATCAGAAGAGCTACAGCGGACTATGATCGACGTGCCTGCCCTGACGTGTGACATTCGATTCGTTCGATCCATGTGATTTTCCTTTGTGGCTATTCTTCAAGGTTCAATAGTGTCACCACACTCATCCAAAAGGAGGAATAAATGGATAGTAACTGTCTTGTAAACCGTATATAATATAGTCCTAAGTCAGAATATACAAGGTAGCACATGATCTACGCCTTCAGCCTTAAAATAATATGATCACGACAGCTTCTTGAGATAATTCCTTATAATGTCTGGTATAAACTCCAAGGTTCTCTGGCTTCTTCGTAGATGTCTTGGCAGACAAGGCCACCGGCGCCAAGCAAAGATGCCATTGGTTGACATTCTCCATAGAGTTATCCTTTCCGCCCAGAAGGACCAATAGATCGGGCGGCCGCGTTGAGGCGGCGTGAGGTGGCTGCAAAAGCGGCGATACCGCAACGGGCATGGCGCACGGGGCGGACCAATGGCGGTCGGGCGCGGCAGGCTCGGCGCCCCGCTAACCGGCGCAAAAGATAACTCAGAATTAAACTGACCACGGAGTACGGAGTACTCCGTATATCTTCTGGAATTATACTGTACTGATATTGATAACGTACCAGTATCTTTTGCGCCGGTTAGCGGGGCGCCGAGCCTGCCGAGCGCCGCTGTCGTAGGCCCGTTGCGGCAGCACCGTTGCCGCTTTGGGGATGGCGTCCCCCCTCGCCGCTTTTGCGCCCTCTCACGCCGGCTTCAACGGCCGGCCGCTCAATCTATAAAAACCTGTCCTGCGCCCTCACAATGACCACACACTCTCTCCTCCTCTTTCTCTCTCTCTTGCTTGCTTGCTTGCTCGCATCTGGATGCACTGCTCCCTCCCCCTGCAGGGAAACAGTGCCATCTTACCTGGTCCTTGCCCCTGTTTCTTCCTGCACCCACAGAGTCACCAAACAGATGTCTGATGACCTTGCAGGCTGCTGCTTTATTGGTTTCTGAGCCATCCACACCACCTCTTGTGGTGTTACTTTGCTGGATCTGGAGTCTAGGCTGCTGGGACATCTGCAGCCATGTTGCAATGGCCTTCACTGTGTTGTATGATCAGCAACTGTGAACTGCAGATTGCCAATGGTTTATTTTTTATTTATTTTTTAATTTTTAATTTTTAATTTTTAATTTTTTTTATTGGTTGGGAGGTCAAGAGTTTCCACTCCTGCCCTCTCTTTTTCTCTTTTTTCTTGTAGTTGTATCTGGTTGATCTGTTCTCCCATACTCTGTTGCCTTGGGGTGCCTTTCTCCATGAAGATCTGTGCGGAAAAGCAACAGACAATGATTTATTGAGGCCACAGAGAAGACCAGCAGGCAAGTCTTCTGAAGCTGGAGTGCTTGCTGAGCCCTGAGTGATGGAGGGTTGCATCACTCTTTGATCACTAAGGCAGACTGTCTCATTTTCTTTCCCTAGCCAGTAGCAAAATTGCTGCACTTCTTTTTTGGTATTAGTGTATGCCTGCAGGTTGGACCAAGGAGGGGTTTGTCAGGATTGCATGCTCAACATGTCAGGGTTGGAAGTAGCAATAACCATATATGATTGGTGCAGAGCACTGATTATCAATCTCCAGATGGCTTTCTGATGAGGATGGATGTGTCAGCAGTTTCAGGGAGAATTCAGGGATCAGAGGAATTCACCCCATTGCTTCCTCTCTTATGAGAGATGGTGAGGCAGTTGAAGCCTCTGCGCAGCAACTATAAAGAGTGGCCAAGTCTCCTGCAAAATCACTGGCACTTCAGAATCTGTTTCTCTCATCCACACACACTCTTTTCTCAGGCTCAATTCTCACTCTTCTACCCAGATGGTTCTTGCATTTCATGTGAACAACTTCAAACTGTGGATGTTGTGGCATCTCAAGTCATTCTCACTGCACAAATGCTCTAATTCTTGCACCCCAGAATCAGAAAATCCTCTTTTCAGTTCTATATTGTGATGTCTCCCCCAATACTCTGCTGCCTCTTAAGCATGATCTTTCTTCAAAGCTGCTGGCTGAAGTTTGCATGCCTATTAGCAGTAATACTCAGCCATGTGCACCATTGAGCTCCCCCTCTCAACCAAGAGAGATATCTATATCACCACCCAGTTTGGAGAATCTCTGGTATGGCATATCATCTCTCTATAATCTAGCACATCACACCCTGAATTTGCATCCCATCCCTGTCTATAATGTTCAAGATAATATCTCTAATATGCTGACTGGACTGCCTCCCCTTGGAAGAGATATCACAAGAGCTGATTCATTGTTGTTAAGTATAATCAGCTTAGATAGTAGCTTAGAAGATTTCTTCAGGCTTCTGGATCTCCAGAACAACATCCCCATTAACCCAGCAATCCTTGCTGACAATATGCCTTAGAATATTAGTGATCTTCACCAGCCTGTTCAGCAAGATAATGATCTTGCAAATCCAAAGATTATTTATTTATATTCTGAATCTTCTCTGTCTATGTTCTGTGACACCCCCAATCATCACCAAAGATCTGGAGAGAGGCCTGACAGCTGGAATAGAAATTCTCAACAGATGATGACACTTATGTTCTGGATTATTGGCAGATTCACCCTACCTGTTGCAGCACTGATATTGATGTGCCTTGCTTCTACAGCATGAGTGATGACTCCCTCAGCAACAAACAGTCCAGAAGACACAAGTGAGGGTCACAGCAGAAGAACCAGCTGCAACGCAGCTTCACATTGCCTCTGCATCATCTATAGAAGATTCCTCCACAGCTCTTTGCTTCCATTTCCTGTCACTACAGCTTGACAAGTGTCTGCAGTTCCTTTCTTGGCTGTTTGAAGATGCTTTGGCAAGTTGCATGCCTGACTCAGCACCAGCATGGGGAGATGAGGGTATGTGGCGAGCCAGTCACTCAGCTCCTTACAAGATTGGAAAAACTCAGTGTGAGCACAGCAAGAGAAGAAAGGACCACAGAGACAAGCTGTGGTGATGGCTCTCTGAGAATAACACACAGCTCCTGAGCATGATGGAGGAGCGCCAGCCCTGGTTTGAGATAGAGAGATGTTTTCCAGAAAGGACAGAATTGGTGCTGCACCAGCAGGTGTCTACACTTTGGAAACAAGAGAGGGGAATGTGTACAGCCGAATCTGCAACCACGGAGGGTGAGACGTAATGCTAATCCATGTACATGAAAGTGATATCATGATCAACCATAAGGTGGCCTCTCCTAGCCGTTCATTAACGGCTCTTGGTAGGCAGGTGAGGGTAGCCTTGATTGGCAGTGTCCTTATCATTCTCCTCAGGGGCAACCCACAGCTCGCCACAGGTATGTAACCAGAGAAGCCATGCCACCTGCCCATCGCACTGCCATGCGTTCCCCTCTTCCTACTGTACGCAGCCACAGCCGAATGATACCTACCCTCTTGTCCCCCCACAGTGATTCGCATGCGACAGCTGTGGAAGGGACGCCATTGCTGCATGAGTTCTATTTTCAGACTTCGTCCTCGGATATTGTTGGCTGCTGCGCCGTGCTTCAATGCCTGGAGAGAGCAACCTGAGACGAGCATCCCGTGACTGCCCCCCATTTCTTGGTATATATACGGAGTAGAGGGCTCCCTTCGCCTCCAGATCCATCGTTCTTCTCGCACAACCCGAGCTTCCCCAGTCCTGGTTAGCAACTGGAGCAGACCAACCTCAACACTGCACTCTTCGTCTGCGGCTAGCCTTCGTTGAGTCCTTCGAGATAATGAACAACTTGCGTCAACGGAGAGGTAAAATCGTGACCTCTCCTTCGGCTGTTGGGTATATGTATGGCCTCCCCCCCCCCTCTGACTCTATCTTTAATTCCTTTTCCACTCTCCGTCCACCGCCGCAAGAAACTCACCGAGGGCCCCTGTTTGCATGGCCCAAGGTGACCCGACATCAACGAGCGTGTTCAGCCATGTCTTCTACCGAAGCTGAACCCCGCAGCACCATTGCCATCAACGACGATACGGATGCAGAGACGGACGCACCTCGATCCCCGCCGCGAGAGCTACGGAGAACGAGCCGCCTTATGGACAATAGCCTCCCAGAGTATGAGGCTCTGTTTGATGGCCGGGCGATCCTCAATTCCTCCGCATCCACCCGTGGTGATATCTTATAGAACTCCTACTTGTTTCAGAAGATATATAACATTTAAAACCGCCAACTGTAGTTCAGACAATAGTAGGATCGGTTTTCGATGGGTAAATTTCCCTTCCTTCCACCTTCCTTTTTCTCAGAACCTGAAGGTAACACTGGAAGGTCGGGAGGTGTCACTGGCTGTGGTCATCTTTGTTTCAGCATTGTCCTTGGTCTGTAACTGGTAAACTTTCGGACCGCTTTTTAGATAAGAAAATGTGAACTTATTTCACTTCCCAGCCTTGCTGCCTATTTCCCTAACAGCATTAGAGGCATTAACAACAGACCAACGAGACTGGGCTTGCAACTCCCCATAAGCAATGTTATACGTGACACTGGGTAATTGGACAAGAGCAACACCCAGTTGGTGAATATCATTCCGGGCCGTCCGGTTCGCTGATCTGCTACGGGTCTTCCCTTCTGGCATACATTCGGGGGCAGGGATAATTTAAAATTTTAGGATTCAGCGAAGGGATAATAGATCACTGGAACGGAATTACTCGATTTGATTATCTAAATATCTATTTGCGTCTTTTCTGGGGCAACTTGAAAGCTTCTGAGGATTTCCCTTCATTTTCCCGCGGAGGACCTGAGGGGGGAACCTGTGAATCGGAGGGAGATGGCTGGGCTTCCTCTTCCAATACAGATGTAAAGCTTGAATCTTGTACATTGACACCCTCAATTCCTTGTGAAAGTCCAGTTGATTCTGAAAAACCCGGCTCGGGCTGCGGTAATATTTCAGGCTGCTGTGATACGTCTGGGTTAATCTCCGGTAGTCCATTAATAGCCGAGCACAACCTTTTGAAGTGAGAAGGGGCCCAGTCGTCATACACGCCCATCACGAACTTATAGGATGTCCATTTCTCTTTGCCATTCAGCGCTGCGAAACTAAACTCATGAATGGGGTGACGGTAATAGGTGGTCTTATTTCCATCAATCACTGGATATTGACCGTAGATCCTCACCATTCAATGATCATGCGAAATTGAAAAGAAAAGAATCTGTTGATTTAGCTCCTTTTCACACTTCACAGCCCTGAAGAGCTTGACAACACCTCTTACTGAGAGAGTCATGCTGTGCGCATTCTGTCAATCTGCTATATCAAGTGCCACCTTTCAACACTTCACTTCAACCATCATAAACAGAAAGTACATGTAAGCAGTACTTACTCATAAAGAAAGACATATCACCAATTTCACCAACAAACAGCGCAAGTTTTTCCAGTTGATCCTCAGAGAAGCATTGTCAGGGAAACCCAACCACATAATCAGGCTGTGGCCGAGATAATCAAAATTGTCGAGATTGTGGAAGAAGTGGAGTTGTGCAAGTGGTGGCAATTGTTGATCCTCATCTAGGGAAATCGAGCTATCCCAGCCTTCATTCACGCTAACAACCAAATGCGGAAAAGTGACATGGCTGAGGTTGATTGCACTCTCTGCTGATGGAACGATTAATTCACCTATGATGCGAATAACCCCAGCTTCGTTTTTCTTTTGTAGCCTTCGACATGTCAATTCAAAGGCACATTGTTCAAACACAGTTTCCCTTGGGGAACCTTGGGATTTGCGCTTAGTATTTGACGACAGGTAGACTTGCTGTCGCTATCAATACCATCATCATGGTCATACATAAAAGTAACAATCTCAGATAACAGTCTTAAGCTATTTGATAACGAGGAAAAAAAAAAAAAAAGAAAACTGATATTATGTTAAGGCTTATCAAGATTATCTTGACGCTGAGAAATCTGATATCAATCGGTCCTGTCACTGTAATCAGTCTAGTTGAAATAAATATTTTCAATGTAGCATTTTCAATTACTACTCAAAAATGAATTTTGGTGTGATGGACCGTAGTAAATCGGGGAATTCAGCCCATTCCTGCTCAGATGGCTAGTGAAAGTTTGGCTCCTGACTCCGGAATCTGGATTGGGATCAGGTTGATATGTCGGAGGCACCCTGCAAGCGATACACCAAGTGTTTGCTGAAATGTAAGAACATCGGCAGGGGCGCTAGGATCTTACTGTATCCGAATCTTCATGGTTGCTTTATTTCCAAGGGATTGACTTTTCGACTTGGTGCTAGTTGGTATACTACCTGTAATTCCGCCGTGTCCTCATGTGCTTGAAATTCTCTTGCAGGAGAGAGGTCTCTAAGAGGTCTTCTCTGAGACTGCTTGCCGACTTGGCACTGGGTTTCATCGTAGGGAAAGATAAAGGCTAAATCATCAAACCGATAATTTGTCCGTTTGACGACCCGGTCACTCATGTTTCTGGTACTAACGAACAAGAGAAAAGATCGATGATGCAGTGAATGAGAGTTGGATTTGGTTGACAGATCCGTATCCCTTCAAGATCGTAGTTAAACAAATCCTCCATATTATATTCTCCACCCCACAAACCTGCATATCTGAATTCGACCTGTCGGGGTTCCCAAATCAGCTATGCGAGTTCAATCGCTGCTTCTTGGATGATGGGCAGAATGTAAAGTTCATCAACCCGGGCCAGCCCATCCACTATTATCGATCAAGAAGAAGAGTTGATCACACCTTCAAGCAATAACTGTGCCTCCTCCAACTTGTAGCGGGAAGCCGTCTGTATTCACGCCGGGAATTTGACTATAAAAAGATGGTTAGTTACCTAGGCGAAAAGGCCAATCACCAAGAGTATGAGTTCAATTAACTAGTTAAGTAATTCTTATCAGACGGCCTTTCCGCTTGGGGACTGCGCCTTTCCCCACGTTCCCCCTTGCATGTGGGGAACCCCTTCCCCGCCCCCACGGAGCTCCAGAATGCCGAGCTGCTCAACTTCACTGGAGCAAAGGTGGTATATAGCGAGCTTCTGCGCTCCGGCGAGGCTGTGGCACTCCAAGTTGTCGTGCACCTACCATTGAACACTATCGCTCTGAAACAAGCAGATACCCGCATATCGACCATGTCGCAGAAGCTCAAGGTTGCCGTCTCTCAGGCCAGGACACGAGACACCCTCCAGCAGACCCTCGAGGCTCTCGAGAGGATCACCCGTGTTGCGGCATCCCGCGGCGCGAGAATCATTCTCTTCCCAGAGGGTTACCTGGGCGGATACCCGCGAACATGCACCTGGGGAGCGGCAATGGGAGGCCGCGATGACAGCGGTCGCGAGCAGTATTTACATTACTACCAGGCAGCCGTTGACATGGGAGATACGCCTGCTGGGGCGGGAGACGATTGGGTCTCCAGACGACTGCCCATCGCCGAAGGGAAGAATTATCGGGGTGACGGAACTAGAGAGGTCCTAGAACGCATTGCTCGGGAGACGGATATGCTGATCATCGTCGGCTTGATTGAAAGATGTGCCGGAAGTTTGTACTGTGCCGTTGTATACGTCGATCCCAAGCGTGGGGTTTTGGGCAAGAGAAGAAAGGTTATGCCGGTAAGCACATAGCCCCTAGATAACTACCCACATAAACGGAATTGTTCTCTCAATCGGACAGCTCTATCTTAAGCTGACATCGCTTACCCACCAGACCGGCACGGAGCGTCTCGTCTGGGCCCAGGGATCCGCTTCGACCTTAAAAGCTGTAACCACCGAAGTCGATGGCGTCAAGCTGACCCTCGCGGCTGCAATCTGTTGGGAGAACTACATGCCCTTACTCCGCCAAAGTCTCTACCAGCAAAATGTCAATTTATATCTTGCCCCAACCGCCGACGGTCGCGATACATGGCTCCCGCTCATGCAGACAGTAGCATTTGAAGGGAGAGCCGTTGTCTTAACTTGCAACCAATGCGTTAGGAAGAGCCAGCTACCCAGCTGGGTAAAAGGTGACGATAACGCCCAGAAGGACAGCAGCGATCCCGATCCTATCCTCACGGGCGGTGGGTCCTGCATCATAAGCCCGATGGGGAAGGTTCTCGCCGGTCCCGTTTGGAACGTCGATGATGATGATGAAGAGGGATTGCAGATATCTGAGGCTGATTTCGAGGATTGTGTAAGGGGAAGATTAGATTTGGATGTTGCTGGGAGCTATTCGCGCAACGATGCGTTCAAGTTGACTGTTGAAGGACTCGATTTGAGTCCTCCTCCGATCTAAGATGTATTTATACCCATATAAGTCTTGCTGACTGCGCTCTTGCTGGAAAGGCCAATCGTATTTCGATTAATATGATTATTCGATGATATAGTAACACTGTAATAGTTTCATGTTAATATAAATTTTTGAATTTTTCCCCAGCGTTAAATGCTCAGCGACCTATATGTGAATCCAGTTTCATCGACAGTACCCAGAAACATACACATTCTCCAAAACTCCAAATTTCACCAAAAGTGTATGTACCGTACTCACATGTACCTCTACGTCAACGTATCGTCCAGTTTCTCTCCCAATATGTCCTCAATCGACAACACCCATCTCCGCACCTCTCGCTCCACATTTTCATCATCATCCTCCAATAGTTCACTGATATACGGCAACATCTCGGGTAGTAACGCAAGCCACTCCTCTCCTAAACGCTCTGTCAGTTGCTGCTCGCATTTGACTGCAGCTAGACGCGTGTATGGATTGTCCGCCCCACGGGCATTGCCATGCCCTGCACGCATAAACTTCATGATCACCGTGTTTAGCTCTTTATGGTTATCTGGGGAGTCAGCTGCCACAGCAAGTTCGACAATGGTAGGAATTGCTTCGGCAGCCACGAGATCAAGGGTTGGGGAATTTGTGGCCATCGAGAGCTGCTTGATTAGAGGCTCTGAAATGGATGCCAGATGAGTCGGTGATTGCCAAAATTCTGTTGAATAATTGTCAGTACAGAGTATACTTTTGAAAAAGCTCGAAAATGTTCGGATAGGCCATACCATCTTGATCGTGTCCAAATGAATTACGAAGCATGCGTAGCACGGCCAGCCATAATGTTTTTGTAGCTTTATCGTTACACCGTGAAAACTTGAGCACTTCCACCGCACTCTCAATGATATAACTTGAATAACCAGTGACAATAGACTATAAGAAATCAAGAGTCATTAGCTGAAATCCAATATTAACAGTTTAATGCCAAGTGGGATTTTGCAAACCTTGAGGGTCCCGAAGAAGCTCTCCAAAAATCTGTAGAAAGTGGTTAACCGCGCTACGCGCCCTGTAGTATCCTTCTTTCCCAGTCCGCTAACAGCCCACGCCGTGAGATCAATAAACAGCGGACGGAAGACGGTGTCGTTCAACTTGTAAATCATCCTTACAGCGACATCATTGGCCTGAGACTCAATTTCGTCAACTTCAGCTTCATCAAAGCCACCATCATTTAATGGAGAAAGCTGAAGTCGGCGTAAATCGAATGCCTTGCGCAACAACTTCATCAGAACAGAAACATTCTTAACTGTAGCAGACTTTGCATGTTTCTCAATGGCGGTTCTCACAACATCAAGAGCTTCCTGAACGGCCTGCGTAGCGTATTTCGTTAGCATTACCTGTCGTCTTGGAAAATCAACGCCCAAACTTACCCTTGAACCCTGCGTTACAGCCGAATCCCAATTCCGCTCAACGCCAGCAAAAGCCTCTTTGACATCCACTCTCTTCGCGAGCAGCTGTAATGCTTCCAGACGATTTTCATCGGAACCCTCCGCCAAGTCTGTGTTTGAGGATATGAACGACAGTTGCAGAATGTTGTCTAGGTATTCGCCAGAAATCATCCAGGGAACATGAATGAGAAGGGCAGAAATCAGAGAATAGACAGCATCATGGAGCTGAGAATCGTCGTCTGATGCCCCAAGTGTGTCTCGTAATAGATCAAATGCTCGAGGAAGGGCTTCGGGGAGAGTAGGAATGATCCCTTCCCCAAGAATCTCCGACATCGATGCAAGACAGAGCAATCCCATCACCCTGATACGTCTGTCGGGTTGTCCAAGGCAATGCTCGCCCGAGATAACCTTGGCTGCCGCAAGAACCTGCGAGGGGTCCTTCTTGCCATACTTCTCTCCGATCTTTTCGATGCACGCAACGGCAGCATGCTTCAGCAGGATGTCGGGAGATGTCTCAAGGATATTAATCAGAACAGTTAAGAAAGATAGAACCCGTGCTTGCGATGCCTTGTCTCTGTCATTGCTCGAATCGATGCGGTTTTCAAGGAGCTTGATCACTTTTCGCCGAAGATCGTCACTTGGCCGCTGAAGTAGAACCTCAATGGTATCGACGAAATCGACTAAGGACAACGTTCCCAGCAATGTACCCAGGGTTTCACCACAAGCGCTGTTTACAGGCTTGACTGTACGGACAGATTCGGACAGGGCGAGTGTTTGCTCCAATATAGCCGAGAAGAGTCCGTGGGCTTTATCAACCTGTTGCTCGGTTCCAGAATCGAAGCATTCACTCATCTTGGTTCGTAAAGATGTAAATTTAAGAAGATGCGAAAGAGCTTGCAGTAAGTCCACCGCAATTTTCTGCGGGTCCCTTCCATCTTCGCTGCCCACACCCAGAAGAGTCTTCGCTAGCGTTGGCTTCGGTTGCAATGCATCCTTAACCAAATTAAGGTATCTTGCATATGTCTAGGAATATATTAGATGGAGCATATACAAAATCAGTGATTTCCATTCTACTTACAATGAGCTGTAATTCGGCATTGCAATCGGATGCGAGGGCGGTCATTGTCGCCAGAACGTCCTTATCCATGGAATACCGATTCGCAAACATAGCAAATACCGCGAACAAGAAATCTTCAGGGCCTAATTTCGTGATGAGAGCTTCAAAGAGCCTGAGTCGGCGATACGACGGGATATGTTCAAAGGCGGTTGTAAAGGAAAGAAGCAGCTCGGATGTACCTGAGACGACATCTCTCTTCTGGTTTCTCAAGGATTGGACCAAAGGAGGTACCACTTGGTCGATAGTCTGAGAGACTAATTAGCGCTGAAAACACCAAAAGAAGGGAATGTAAATGATTACTTGATCTATCACTAGAGCCGAGTACTCATCGTCTTTTCTTAGAACACTGGAGCCCATGAAGGTAAAAATCGGCATCACGCTATGCAAGACAAGCTCCGGCGCAACCGTTGCGAGTCCCGCAACCAGGAGAAGTGCAGTGTTTTGTACCTGCGGGCTTTCCGATGTTCGCACGCAATCTATTATTAAATCCGCCCTAATAGACGAAGTATTGATCTTCCGCGTGGGCATTCCTTTCCACTTATTGACAATACTTAACAGGATTCCAAGATTGAGACTTAGGAGGTAACTCATCTCTGATCTCGTTTGCAATTTCAGATGGTGGATAATGGTCAGCGTTTGGAAAAGCCCAGAAATAAGTTCAGGGTGATTTTCCGAGTGGGAACTGTCAATGAGCTCCAGAATAAAAGTCATCTTTTGCAGGACCGAGTCGGTTTCTTTATCTATAGAGCTCATCGGTACCATGTTATTCTGGCTGGTTCGTCTTTTCTTTGAGGGAGGACCACGAGACCCTAGATCTGGTACAGAAGCAGAAATCTTATTGAGGAACTCAAGGATAACAGGGCCGGATAGATCCACCGATCGGAGAAGGCCTTTTGCGGCGCCCGCCAACTTCCCATTCTCCAAGCTCAAAGAAATCTGGAGCAATCTATTCGCGAGGGACAACTCATGGGTTTCTTCCAGCGATGGCCAGACTTCCTTTAGACGGTTGAAACCTGCTGTTAAGAAAGATTCTCGATTAGACCTCGAGTTAGAAGTTAAAGATGAGAATAAAAGGTCAACAGCGTCCATGTCCTTGGGATAAATGATTGATAGAACTTGGTCCTCGAGCTCATTTATGGATATTCGTTCGCCGTCTTCAATACGCTGAAGGTGTTCTAAGCTCAAGAGTCGCCACTGATCAAAAACCTGTCGGAGAGCTTCAGTGCGATTTAAGGAGCCGATTTTCCCGACCTTATTGAGGAACTTTAGCAGCCGTAACTTGACAGTATAGAGTGCTGTTTTAGACGCATGGGAGCAGAGAAACAAGAAGAGATCACGACGAAGAGGTTTTTTGAATTCTACTCCGGTAGATTCCGAGCGAGTCCGGTCAGAATCATCCTGAGCTCGGGGTCCTCGAATTACTTGAGTCAACGTTCGGCCAACCTGATCTGGATCCAGGACATATTCCTCTAACGCAGGCATCAAAGCATGGTGAATAATCTTGTAAATATCCTTCATTGGTAAAAATTGAACGGATTCTGACCGTTCGTTTTGACCATAAAGGCACCCGCGACCCCAAATTTGAGCATTAGAATCATCGTTGTCCTTGCATTTTGAGGCAAGGCGGTCAATTAAGCTCAGGAGAGCCGCAGCCTCTCTCCGGACCCTCTCTGAGGGATCCGCAAGAGCAGAAATTATATATGGAAGGATTCCTTGCATATCAGCGCTTTTATCAGCCATAGCAGTGATGCAAGATGACACAATACTAATAGCAACCGTCCTCGCTGTCACAGGGTATGGGCCAGAAAAAAATCGGATAAAAAAGGATAAGTAAAGAGGGTCGTCCAAAGGCTTATCCGGCCTTAAAACCGGCAATTTAATGAATCTCGACACCCTGTCCTTCGTAGAAGCTCCGTGGATAAAAGCCTCAGCTAATTGGTCGAATAGTAGGGACGAACCGGGTGCCAGGAAAGATGACTCCGTTATCGCTGCCTGGGATAGAGGTTCCAATGCGACTGCGAACGCGTCTTGGGTCTGAGAGCTGCTGATAAAATCTAACAGGTCCGCATCTTCGATTTCCATAGGCATAATGTCTGCTTGAAGGACAGTTTCCAAGGTCATTTCCAGTTGGGTGATGTCAACGCCCGCATTCTCTATGGCCTTGCGGAGCAATGGTGCGAGTGTGTCTGATTCGTTAAACTGTAAAAGTAGGTCGGACAGTTGCTTTCCCATCCCGTCCGCCACGAGACCTTGTCGTTGCAAGTCGCTAAATGCCTGCAGCAAAATGGTTAAAGCTTCGATGGTTTCGCTGTCGCTGAGGATGGCGCGTTGTATTAATTGACCAACGAACGGAATACGAGCCGGGTCAGATCGCTTCCCATTCTCCTGAACACAGCTTCTTATTAAACCAATGATCAAGCTTGTCACCGCGTACCGGCCACTAAGTTCTTCGAAAACCTCGATAACATTGTCCAGCCTAAGGACCGCTTTAACGACTTTTGATGGTAGTGATTTCTCATGTTTCTGTTGAGATAGCACAGACAGGCAGGTAATACCTGAAACAAAATTTGTTTGCGTCCAAGAACCTGTTACTGCCTCCATCAAATTGTCAAGAACGTGATCTTCGAGGGATGCCTTGTTTGCGAGAACAACACACAACATGTAACAGCCAACGACAAGCTGAGGTGCCTTTCTCAGCATAAAGGCATCGTTCAATACTGGTAAAATCCGTATCAACACATCTTCTTTGTTCCTTCTCTCGATTTCCATCCTGCCAGACTTAGCTGAATCCAGCATGTTTGCGAGTGCCTCCGTAGTGATCCCAGCCCAGAATGAAACGAGTCCTTGGTAATGGGCCTGGGACTTGCTGACTTGTAAAACATAATTGTTCAAAGCCAAGAAGAATGACTTGTTTGTTGAAGCACTCTGGACAATCACTTGCCGGGGTGGGAGGGTCATACTTCTTTTATAAGGAAGAAAGACCTTGAAAGTCTGAGTGAGGTCCTCGGGTAAAATGGATAGGAGGTTTAAGAATAGCGGAGTGGTATGATATGGAAGGAATGTGAGGAGAAGGAAAGACGTATTATACTCGTGCACTCTAAAGAATGATCTGTTAGTTACTGGAAGGGATAACGCTCGAGACAAAACGAGTCCTACACCTACCGAAACCGTCGAATAAGCCAGTCAACAGCTTTGACCGCCGGTGTCAACAATAGACGGCCACCAACTAGGGAGAGGAAGTCCTCCAGCACACTGTCCAGCTCTTTATTCTGGCTCGTGGTCATTTGCCCACGGTCCTCCGTTTTGCTCTGATCGCTGAAAATGTTTCGTCTGAACGAGAGAAACCGTGAGTCCAGAGAGCATAACTCTTGAAACCCTTCGTGGCATACTTGAAAGATCGTATCAAAATCTTGGGAGCCGGCAATTTTCTTCTCGAATATCAGAGACTGAGAATGCGCTGCTCTCTGCGCTTTAAGGTCGAGCTGATGGGTTGATGTCGCTGCGATCTGCGCGAGCTGCGCAGCGAGGGACGACGCCATTCCGAAAGCTCGTGCGGATTCTAGACGTCACGGCTCTTAAAATGATTGCATTCCTAGAATGAACGTGTAAAATAAACCGTCCCCCGATCGCGAGTCGTCGACGCACTTCTTTCACAGTGGAATTGACAAACGAAGCTCTAAAAATTGATGTTCCATAAAGGGAAATTTTACCCGGCCGATGGAGGCAAGTTTACCCGGCTACGGTGCTCTGCGCTCCCCGGCCGGCATCGACGTCACGATAGGGACGCCGAATGAAGAGTAATCAGAGGCCACAACAACAGAGATGGAATCAAGGGAGGGGAAGGTACTCTTTACTACATTTGCAATCTGCTTTGGCACCGGAAGCTGACACCGACAATATAGGGAAAACCAGCGATACCTAGGTTTGCGAGCTTCAAACCGAAGCCGCAGCGCCCTTCAGAACAGCCAGAGGCAAAGAGAGAGGACACCGAGCACGAAGGTCGCGACAGCACTCGCCATTCACACAGGTCCGACCACAAGGAGGAACACAGTATCTCAACTAAAAGCAGCGATCGTAAAACTCGCGCACCTCTAGCAGCATCCAGAGAAGATCGACGCGACCGCGAATCTTCCCGTTACAATGAGCATAAAGAGCCTGAGCAGCATAGAGCAGACATTTTTAAGATTGACAAGCGAGGAGACAAATACAACGTGGAATATGGTTCTCCCCATCTCTATGATATACCTTCTTACCACAGGACTGGTGCAGGAAGGGTACTAGGTCTCCCAACAGACTATACCATAGATCGCGAATTGAGCTTCGGAACCAAAATCGTGATTCGCCCACGTGGTAGCAATCGCGGAACTGACAATGGCAGGCAAAGATACAATTCCTCTTTGTGGAAGAGAGCTAGTAGGTTCAAAGAATTCCGGCGAGTTCGACCGGTGTCCCAAGCCCCGGGCGATTTGGAGTCAGAGTCGAGTTTTATTTCTTTGTCCGCGAGCGGGGGTAGCAAGCGAAGAAGAGTTGACAACAAAGCTTCTTCTGAAGATTCCGGCCCTGATTATCGATCAATCGAGGGGAAGGCTAAGCCTACCGATAGCCTTGCTTTGGATTTAGACATGACCTCGGATTCAGATATAGAGTCGGAAGAGGTGGCGGCTCGACGCCGTAATGCGTCTCTTTCAGCACATGTGTCCGTGCATCCGGATGATATCAACGGTTGGCTGGACCTCATCAGTCATCAGGGCTCCATGGTTGGTACCGCAGATTCAGAGGGCCATCGAACCTACACGATGGCCGAGAAAAAGAGTATTGCAGACATTAAAATTTCCATGTATGAGAGAGCTTTGAACAAAATACCACTCAATGCTCCTCGCGACCGTCTTCTGCTTGGGATGATGGAGGAAGGTGCCACAATATGGGATACGAAAATATTATTGTCTAAGTGGAAGAGTGTCCTTCAGTTAAACCCAGGGTACATCACTTTATGGGTTAAGTACCTAGACTTTCAGCAGACTCGATTTGTTAATTTTACATATGAAAATTGCCGCTCAATTTTCCTAGAGTGCCTGAGAATCAATCAAACGCATTGTGACAACCTTAACCGAGGCGTTGTCCATCTTTATATCATCCTTCGGCTGAGTTTGTTTATGCGAGAAGCAGGATATTTTGAGCACGCCGTTGCTTTATGGCAGGCAACTTTGGAGTTTAATTTCTGTGGCCGTGCTGTTGATATTAAAAACAATCTTCCCAACGCGTTCCGGTCGTTTTCTGAATTTTGGGATAGTGAAATGCCCCGGTTAGGGGAGGTTGGTGCTAAGGGCTGGAATAGCAATGAGAATGAGCCACCAGCCTCCAAGTCGGACCCCCCTATTGCCAATATCGATATGAAAGCGATTTTTGACTCATGGGGTAAACTAGAACGCCGCCAGATGCGTCATTCTCGTCTACCCGCGAGAACATTGGATGAGGTTCAGGAAGACGACCCTTACAGAGTGATACTATCTTCTGATATCCAAGACTTCCTTACTTTCTTTTCCGAGCCGGGTCTGCTGGACTTACTTCTCGATGCATTTCTACTCTTTTGCCATCTTCCACCACACTCTTCCCGGGAAAATGCTCATATCCTTAAGGAATGGCGTGAAGACCCATTTATTCGCAACCTGATTCTAGAACAAGAAGCAGTTTCCTCACAATGGTTTAGAGATCCGTCCCATGAAATGGATGAGCCTGACTTACCTACGCCTGTCTCACTTCCTTATTCTAACTTCGCAGTCACCCACGACACCATTTTCAGCGACGGTTCGTCATGGTTTTCGGCATTCAAGTCCTGGAGGTCTACGTATGTTGATGATACCAGCTCTCTCGATGCTCCATGGGTTCGGCGGACCTTAAGACAACTGGTGGAATGTGTCCCTGAGAATGATACACTTGCGGAATATTCGGTCGGTCTTGAATATATTTGCAATCCCAGCGACGCAGCAAAATATGCCAAAAGCCTTCTACGAAAGCGTCCCTCGAGTATTACCCTGTATAACGCGTACGCGTTGATTGAGCGCCGCCGTGGTCAAGAAATTGCAGCCGAGAAGGTCTGGATGACGACCTTGTCAATGAGCAAATCCTTTCCAGAGGAAGTTAGAAAGGACTCTATAATGCTATGGCAATCTTGGCTTTGGGAGGCGCTAAGGAGTAACGATGCCTGGAAAGCAATCCGGTTACTTATCGCACTTCCGGAGAATGCTATCAATGTCGATGAGCTATCAAGAGACTCACAGGCGGCAACCGGGTTTAGCCCTGCAGAATTTCTGAAAACTCAAAGAGTAAGTTGATATTAAACACCAAGTCTTTTATTCAATCCTCCTTACTAGTTCTAGGTCCTGGTTGAAGCGCAGAATTATGGACTATCGTTTCGGAATTCGACCGTATTCATCAGCAATACGGAATGTCTTGCTCTCTTGCACTACCTCACGCGGACTTTTGAGATCGAAAGTGCTTTAAGCATATACCGAGCTGCTGAAGAGCGCTTGAAGGACAGCCACTTAGAACAGACTCCCCTAGCTGAGCTTCTCCATCAGTCCAAAGCTAAACTTCTCTGGTATCATATTTCCAACACCATGAAATATAAGCCAGCCCTAGTCCGTGAAGAGCTGTCTAATAGCCTCTCTCTTTTCCCAAACAACTCTATATTCCTTAGCATCTTCGCTTATAATGAATCTCGTTTCCGAATTGATGACCGGGTTCGCCTCATTCTTCGGCAGCATATCTCCTCTTCCTCGCGCCGTAGTCTAGACGGAAATATGGGAACTCCGGGACACTCTCCCCTTACACCCCATTTCTTTTCCATCTATAGTGAACTCCATCGAGGTGTTTCTGCTGGATCGACAGCTCATTCGGTCCGTGCAGCTTTTGAGACAGCAGTTAGCTCGCCCCCTGGCCAATATAGTGCCGCGATATGGAAGCTCTATATTCTCTTCGAGCTAGGTTGGGGTCGAAAAGAACGCGCCCGTGACGTCTTCTACCGGTCTATTCGTTCCTGTCCATGGGTAAAGGAATTGGTTCTTCTAGCATTTACAGAGCCCGGTCTAAAGGAGATGATGGGTGCCGACGAATTGAGAAAGATCTGGAATGTGCCTGTCGAGAAGGGCTTGCGAATTCACGTTGATTTGGAGGACGTGCTTGAGGAAATGGACGATGAAAAGAGCATCAGCGGACAGTCTGCAATTAACCCGTCTGGTGATCAGAGTAGCGATGGTGAAATGTAGAATATAGGTGTATATAGGTTTATTACATTCCACACATATATCAATTACCGTTAGGCACAAAATGCCTTTCCACTCTCTTCTGCTTTACCCAAGCTCCCAACTCATTCCATACCGCTTTCTTCTCCGCCAAAGACATGGTCGCAGCTAATCCGCTTGTCGTCGTAGCGACGAATACCCTCGCTCCTTTCCACTCCTCGTTGTCTCCTTCTCCCGGCTTTATCACTCCCATATTCTCACTTTCATCCTGCCACCCATACCTAAACTCCTCCTTTTTAATATTCTTCCCTTTCCTCACCCTCCAAATTGCTTCCCAGATGCTCTTCCCAACCAGACACACAGCCTCGGGCCTATTTCTCCTCACTTTCTCTTCAAGTACCGGCACACCCGCATCCATCTCCGCCTTGGACAACATACTCGCGTCGCGCGTCGGGCGCGCCACGATGTTCGTATTACCCACGCCGTACAGCTCCGGAAGCCGATACGTATCGCTAGGCGGATGTTGACGGATCGTTATGCCCGACCAATGAAGGAGTTTCCAGTATAGATTGGACGGGTGGGCGTAGACGAAGCCAGTTTGGCCTGTCATGATGCCGGGATTGACGCCGATAAAGAGAAGAATAAGGCCTTGGGGAATGGTGTCGTGCAGCAGGCTGATCGGGCCGCTTGGTGTGGCTAGGTCGGAGGCCGGTGGAGCGGATTTAAAGCTGCGGGTGCGTTTCGTGGGGGACGGACGACAAGGTCTCTCGAGGGTTTGGGCGGATTGAGACCGGGTCATTCGTCGGGTTGGGGATATCGGGGGCCGCGAGAAGGGTTCACTGAGCAGCGATGCGACATCGCCCCCGGGTTCACTGCCAGCGTCTTCGAGTTTTCGTTTCAATGGTGATGATCTTTTGGTGGGCGAAGCAGGCTGTTGCTCTGCTCGTCCATTCTTAGATGGCGAGATGTGAACATATTTGTCGAGGACACCGTTGAAAGAGGTCAATGGCGCGGAACTGGAAATGTCCTCGTTCGGCATTGCGATTCGCGAACTGTGAAATTATACTAACACCCCAAATCAGCTGGTATGGTTGTGTCAGGAGTTATATAATTTCCCAGCGGATTTGTCGCCGTGTGGCAAGAGAACAGGCGCAGCCCGCAGTCCGATCATTCTCGAGCAGGCAGAAGCTTTGAGAGGATGCACCCGGCCCGCGAATGGTGATCCTGATATTTAGCTCGTTAGGCATCAGCAGCCTTGGGAAGCACTTAGGAGTGCGCGGAACGTGGTTCGCTCTTGATGATCATCAAGTGGAACATCGTTGCTCCGACACGGTCAATCGCTTCGCCATCCCAAACATCATCATCGGCGGAACTCTTGTGGTGATGTTCAGGATATTGTATTTATTTTGTGTTACATACAACTATATACCTTTAACATTTGCGGACGCCTGGCATATTCAGTCCCCAAGATCGAGTGGATCTGTCAACATTTAAAAAGAAAATCACAAAAATGTCCTGTCCAGACGCTCTGCCGCGCCAGTAAAAAAGCTTCTCATAAATATACAGGTTGCTGGGAAGAGACTAAAACTGAACCGTTTATGGTACGGCACGGGCCAACTCGACTCCCTCAGCAGAAGAGTTCAAAATGCGTGTGCTCTCAAAGCCAGGCGGAAGGAATTAGTGAGGTCATTATACTTTCATAACTCGTGCCGGCCTCTTGGGCAATGTCCATGGTTCGGGGCAGACAACCTATACAGCGTCAAATTAGCCACAAGGTCCAGTCCAGCTTTCCGGCATAAGTAAATTTCGAATTGCGTACCTCGCCTTCGCTGTAACCCCAGAAATATACAATCATTCCCACGATATAATAGATAGCGGGATTCGTGCCCTGATATAATAGGGCCGCCAGAAGAGTGCTGACCGGAAGTACTAGCAATCGAGCTTCGATGCTACGGTGGACAAGGGTTCCCGCAATGGGCTTCAAAGGCCATTCCAACGCGATACCGATCAACCCAAATATTACATTGAAAATCTGAAGGACGGGGACAGGTTTAACTGCTCCATCGAGGTTCTTGGTGAGGAAGTCCCAGAAGACCTTCGGCCAGAAGAATCCGTGAATACCAGCGGCGAACTGGCCTGCAAAAGACATTAGTACTTGGAAAGGACTTGTCAAAGGGCGACACGTTCGGACATACAAATTGCTGCGGTGAGGACAATTAATCTTGCCAAGTGGTTCTTGATCAACTTTCCCATCTTGTCATGTCCCGTATATCACAGCGGGCTTTCCCTTCCTCCTCCTGCACTCCCAATGAAAACGAAATCAAAGTTATAGCGCTCGAGGAAAACAACGATACTTGTGCGCAAAACCGCTCGCACAATCGGGGTGTGAGCAGTAAGTTGAGGGATATATTGTGGCTCGGGAAGGTCAGATGTGCGGCTATCGGGACAGCCAAAAAGGGGGCGACATCGTAATGATAACGGCAGTATGTAAGATTTAAAGGGGCTGTGAGGAAAGCCTGAGAGCTGAGTGCCTTGTTCACTTCCTCTCTATTTGCTTCACGGATGACACAGTTCTGCGACAGAGGTACCAAGGCAGCATGAGACAGGCGAGTCGCACGATAACCAAGTGAGAAGACTATGATTCTAAAGTCGCAATCAGCATGAATTGATCATAAATAACGTAAGAGAAGGGGCCAAAGGTGCCCACCTGCTTGGACTGTCATCAGCTTCCTGAGCATTGTCAAAGCTCCTGAATTATTGTTGACAAGAGGCCTGGTCTGAGCGATAGTTATTCGCCCGTCGAGGTCGCACGTCAACAAGACAGAGTTCGAAGCGATGTGATCTGCAACTAAAGCAGAGAAGTTGAAAAAAGAGGTCGGTATCAAGAAAATAATATTCTGGCGCCGTAACCGGTCTCTTGTTTCGCTCGTGAGCGATGCAGTTGTCAACGACTTTTCCTTCTCAAGAAGTACTTGAGGCGGACCCCATAAATGCTTTTCTCCGAAGTTCAGTTGACAAGGATTGGAGGACACAGCCAGCGGCCCCGTTCTTCTGCTCTCACGGCTCTGGATGGCTTTCTCGAGCCCATGGCCATCGCTGCCCACAGGCTGCATGCATGCATGCAAGCCAGTTGGCGGGAGCGTGAGCAAAGGCGGGGGTTCCAATGGACTTGTGACAATATTGGTCAGAAAGTAGACTGACCCTGCACAACTTTGAGACGCCAAGGGCCTTGGAACGCGAGATGAGGTCTATCATTCGCTGCTTTTGCAAAGAGTCAAGATTCGACCAATGTGTGATCGCAAGGGTTGTCGATGTGATGAGGCCTGGGCTTCCTGCATGGATCTCGACAGCGAACTCTGTGGTTGGACGGCCAGTGCAACGACTCTAAGCGCCACAAATTTTTCGTGCACTCATGGCACTTCGCTTGACGGGGGGGCCATCATGAAAAAATCGACTCTTCAATTGCGTCGGTACCAGTCAAAGGAATATATTTTTGTTGCAAAATACAATACAAGGGAAGTTGAGATGGTTACTCTGCCAACAGAAGAGGCTTCCGAGAGTCTTTGATCACTCCAGCTTGAGCCGTCCCTGTGCCCGCCCTTTACGCAAATCATCTTGCCAACTCCTCAGGCGGGCGGGAACCTTAACCTTGTTGACACCCCATACAAGACCATAGAAGAGTGTTCGTCACAGCGGGCTGAAAAGTGGCGTCTTCCGGCAGGAGGGCTCTTGGTCTTTGGACACCAAGTACTCCGTATCAGGCGGAGAAAAACTTAAGAGATTTTATGCATGAATCTCCCGTTTGTATGTTTACCCGAGACGACCGAAGTAGTGATACAGCACAATTGCCTCCATTCGCAAGAGATACATGTCCTAGAAAATGCAGTACGCTGGAGCAATATATAGCAACTTCCTTTTAGTCTTCCAACGGTCTGTCGCTGCCTTCGGTTGTCGGTCTGTCACACGCCCATGGCAAAACGCGTTCATGGCCGTGAGCTACGAGCGGCGGCAGATGGAACAAACTTTCCTACCCCTCTTGATACCGCCCTCCCAGGGGCCTCATTGGAGGGTATGCCATGTGGACCGGGTGGCGCCAAGGGGTGCGGCCGCAAGGTCAGTCAAGGACCCGGCGCTTGCAGAAGAGACAAAATGATAGGCCAGAGTCCCAGACTTGAAAGCAATTACTATAAATACCAAAACCTGTCAAAATGAATCGAGCCGTCCGGGCTTTCTGCTCTCGCAAAGGGCCGGGATGGTGTTGGACAGAATATTTCTCGCCTAATCAAGACTTTTCCAACAGAATTCGCAAGTGCTTCAAAGCCGGCTGCGGGAAACCGACTCGTCCGGTTGGGAAGAATTGATGCGTTCCAGTCCTTGCTCTCCGAAGCGCCGAATCACCACCACCGCCCACAGGTGCCTGTAGCCATAGCGAACTCAAATTAACCGGTCATTGATCAGATCATGATTCTCACCGTAAGCCGGCGCTTTACCCTGTTCAGCTAGGGGCTCCTCCTAGAGGACAGCAGAATCACTGAAGGCGTGAAGTTGAGTTGCCAAACTATGATTTGGCTGCTTGCTTAAATGAGGTGATTTCGAAAGCGAATCATCGCGTGTAGAAAGACTTGCCGACCATTTCGTTGGCCGGCACTATGCCCGGAGTGGTTTCTTCTCCGGCAGGTCTCGGTAGCCATATCGGACAGAAACATCCCCGACGGCAGCAAATCTGCCCAGGCTAGGGTAATATCACATCATCGCTCGTTGGGCTTTCACTTATTGTGGTTTAGCAATGTTCTCAGCAGCCTAGGCTGGCTGAGGGATCTCAACGGACAAGGATCCCGTTCATCATCGCCCCAGGCCCCCAGAAGCACCCTTGACAGCTGGGCAGATCATTCGGAATCCTTCATAGCCCCCCCTTGGCTCTGCAGTCTTTCTCAGCACAGATTCACGCAGCCAGGGTCGTAGACCTTCTGTGTGATAAAATTAGGATTGGCCTTTCAACACACCCTTGCCAGGTTTGCTCGTCGCAAACTGGGGTTTGCACCACCGACGCAAATTCACGAAAACATCGATTTCAAAATCGTCTCAACATCAAGGAAAACACAAATTAAACACTCGAAATAGCTGCGAGGGCAATCGGATCACTTGATCACCGAAAGCTGACTCGACTTTGGGGTTAGCAAGGAATTTGGAATCGGCTTGCGTCTCATCGCTGCCGCAGAAGCAAGACACGACCTCCAACGGACAACTGAGACACGAACCGATCCACCAGCTTGAATATCTGAAGCTAGCCAACACCCAATTCCGACACTTCTCAGACAACCAACGTCCACTTGGAACGTACTGGCTTGCTTAACGATTTCTTTCTTGGAATTATCTTGGATACATAACAATCCCACGACAAAACGGCGCAAGTTACAACCCGTGTCTTGCTCGTCAGTTCCTTATCAACGTCATAATTTGAGACTTCAAATCGAATCTGTGGCGAATAGCGACAAGAAACAGAAGTGATATATGTTACAGAAGAGGAGCAAAAAAGACAAGGCCCTCTAGAAGCCTATGTGAACACCCAGCTCCGCAACACATGGATAGGCACAAACGCTGGCGGCAACAAACTTTCAACGCGTATCCGATCAAGGGGATTGAATTGTCCAAATTGAGCCTCGCGAAACCAAGATAGCACCGGAAAGAGAAAGCTTAGTATCCCACAGACCAATTTCCTGTGGGCATCTCTGCCGCGGAGCCCCCTCTTGGTCTCTGCGTTACCGCTTTGGTCAACGTGGAGCCACTTCGATACTCCTTTAATATTGATGCGCCAGCTTTGCTTTACACTCGAAGATAACTATTACGATCGGACCTCTTTCTCTCGGCTTATCTCATGTTATTGGCCTTTCTTTCTTTTTTTCCCTTCATATCGGGCGTTCACTCACTTAATTCCTCTCAACTTCTCTGAGCTCGCAGACCTGAGGTCCAGCGAAGCCTTTTGGTTCTTTGTTTCTATCGCCAATCTTCATCCTGTTTGCTTTTTATGGGAATCTGCGTAGGTCAGAATCATGGAGCAATCAGCGTGGAAGCGGCATTTTAGCGGTTCTAAAATTATATTTTATATCCTATTCCATGGGATGCATCTGGGAGTTTTTATTTTTGGATGGTAGGTGATGGATGCTCGCGATGCTGTGGCTTGCTGGGCCGAACAAATACAAATGCTAACAATCCTCAACAGGTATAAACAGGCTGGCGATATTCGACTTGCACCACTTAACACCCTGCAGTTTTCAGTATGGATATCCCGAGGAGCTGGTTTAGTCCTCTCCGTCGATGGCCTTCTCATCCTGCTTCCGATGTGTAGAACCCTCTTGCGCGTTGTCAGACCGAAATTTAGATGGCTGCCGCTCGATGAATCGATATGGTTCCATCGACAGGTTGCGTATTCATTGCTCTTCTTTAGCCTTCTCCATACTCTCTCTCATTATGTGAAGTGAGTCTATGACCGCAGAAATAGTTCAATTCAGAAATCCTTGTCGCTAACAGAGTACAGCTTTTTCAATGTTGAAAAGTCTCAAGTCCGTCCGGAAACTGCGGTTCAGATCCACTACACTCAAGCTGGTGGTATCACTGGGCATATCATGCTCTTGTGCATGCTATTGATGTACACCACGGCCCATGCACGTATCAGGCAACAAGCTTTTGAGACTTTTTGGTATACGCACCATCTATTTATTCCATTCATGCTAGGCCTTTACACCCATGCTACGGGCTGTTTCGTGCGAGATACCGTCGACCCCTTCTCTCCATTCGCAGGAAAAGACTTTTGGGACCATTGCATTGGTTATGAAGGGTGGAGATGGGAGCTCTGGGGTGGTGGAATCTATCTCATCGAGCGGCTCTACCGTGAAATCCGTGCTGCTCGGGAAACACAAATTACCAAAGTTGTTAGACATCCCTACGGTAAGTCTGACGTCCATAAGATCGACTTACAATTTCAAATGCTTATACATGCTGCTACAGATGCCATGGAAATTCAATTCAGCAAGCCTAGTATGAAATATAAAGCTGGGCAGTGGCTATTCATCCAGGTTCCCGACATTTCTCGAGGCCAATGGCATCCATTTACCATCACATCCTGCCCTTTTGATCCCTACATCAGTATCCACATCCGCCAGGTGGGCGATTGGACTAGAGCCCTCGGCAACCGTCTTGGTTGCGGCCCTCAACAAGCCAAAGATATAGACGGCCTCGATCCCCTCGGAATGTACGAGATTGCGGTCCAAAACGGCCAGACCATGCCGAAAATTCGCATAGATGGACCGTACGGAGCTCCAGCCGAGGACGTGTTCGACAACGAAATTGCCATTCTCATCGGTACCGGTATCGGAGTAACGCCGTGGGCTTCGATCCTCAAAAACATCTGGCATCTGCGCGCTGGACCAAATCCACCTACCCGTCTTCGCCGAGTCGAGTTCATTTGGATATGTAGAGACACTAGTTCCTTTGAATGGTTCCACGCTCTTCTCTCCTCCCTCGAATCCCAATCTGCCGCCGATTCGAGCACTGGCCAGCAGTTCTTGCGTATCCACACATACCTCACCCAGCGGTTCGACCAGGACACCGCCGCCAACATCATGCTCAATTCTGTTGGCCAACAAGTTGACCCCTTAACTGAATTGCGTACCGGTACGAAGTTCGGCCGCCCGGACTTCAAGACGTTCTTTTCGGCTATGCGAACTGGACTTGTTGATCAGTCGTATATGCCCGGTCTGGATGCCTCATTGCGAACGGATGTTGGTGTGTACTTCTGTGGGCCGAACGTTGCAGCTAAGGAGATCAAAAAGGCAGCCAAAGAGTGTACGACGAGAGAGGTGCGGTTCAGATTCTGGAAGGAACATTTCTAAACTCGAAAACGGGAGAAGAGAGGGAGGGAGAGATGGCCTGCAAAAATGGATCTATCTCGCTGTGATGTTTTCTTTTTTTTTTTTGTTTCCCCTTTCCTCGCGTATGCATTTGCCCCTGCTTCACTTTTCATGATATATGGCTCACGTCTTCATATTTGTATACTTACTCATGTCCCACCTGTAGTCTTGGTGGGAAATTCACCGATACCCGACTCTATATACATATTTTGCACCTGTCAATCAACGAAAGGATGCGTTCCTTGTTCACTCCAATATGTTCGTTGAGAGATGATCGCGGTTGGGCATCATGGCTCAAATGGAAATCAAGGTAGCAAAATGTATGTAAATATATAACTTCCAGGGCTATATAAACATAGCTAACCAGCCCATAGGCCACGATATGCCAATCGACCTGCTTCCACACATAAAGCCCTATATGGCGTATATCAATGTCTCCCTGCATGCCACCCAAAACGAGGCAGCCTTCCATAAGACCACTCCATCCGGCTCTTTAAATCCTCGTTGATACGGTATATCATCAATTTAGCGCCTTATATAGATTCCTTTGGAGTCATTCTTCGTTCCATTGCGTTCGTGATTCTACGCAGGAGAGTGTGTGTCAGCCATGGATTCTGTCCCAATGCAATATCAAGGTCAATTGGCGGTACTTGCCTCGGTCTCCTGTATCTCTCCCTTCTCCAGTATCTTCGATATGACTTCATCCTCATTCGACGTCCCAAACTCGCTTTCCAAAATCGATTTGCTCGCTCCGTCATATATTCCCTGGGCCCCTTGGCTGTCGAACCACACTTGCTTGTTAGCACCCCGAAAACTCAAGGTAAAAACACCAAAGGGCAGAGAGAGAGAGAGAAAGAGAGAACGAAAGGTGCAACTCGAACATACCGATGTGTAACATAAATCTTAAACCCATTCACCACCTGCGCTAGCGGAATTGAGCGGTCCTTCTTCCAGTTCCGCACTGCAGTAACATCCTCGACAAACACGACAAAGTTGTCGTAATCGCCCTTGTAGAAGACCTTGTACACATCGATGTTCCCGCGAGCCATTGTCAGACGCAAAGACCAAAAAGAGAGAAGGTTTCGAGTCTGCTTCTTCTGTTGCTACACAAAGGTGCTATTGAGAACTGAAGAGAGAAACACTAGGCGTGAACTCAACCGAATTGGAATAGCGGACGAAAGGGACTAGATACGATCGGTATTCAGGAAAGCAACTAGGTTAATCGAAGAAAGTATAGATATGTAATGACGTTTTTATCGCTTTGCTTGGAGTCAAAATGTTAAGGTTGAACCTCGTACTTTGTAGGCACCGAATTTTCTGGATTGAGATAGCAGGCACTCTCGTGAAGAGCCCCTTGTAGCGATATATAGGCTAGATTGGCCGAGGGATCTGCATTTTCGACATCATCCAGAAGACGGAATGTTGGCTAGCAAGGAGGGGAGTACTTGATGCCGCCATACAAACTGGCAGGTGGAGCTATGTCACCTGCAAACTCAACGACGTCATCTCTCCGCCTTCGTCATCGCCCAAACTCGCATAATCTACTCCGTACGCTCCCCGGAGTGCTTCTTGTCCCAACGACGCTAGATTTTACGATGAGCTCAAACCTAGAACAAGCAATTGATAACCGATAAAATCTCCGTCTGCTTTTTGCGGCTTTACTTATTCTCTATGCATCTCAGCTTTTTAAATCTTAACCTCAAAAGTCAATCTAGGCAATGCGATCGTTTCAACGTGCCGGGCAGTTTCCATCTCATCACGTCCACTTGGGAACTCAAGGAGGACCCTTTTACACCTAATCCGCGTTAGATGGTTCTCAGCCGGGGGTTTTCTAAACGCTTTTGTGAGCGTGAGAGTAGAAAGAAACGGTATGAATTATCATATCAAGCCTCCACCGAGTTGGATCGTCGTGACTTGCCGGGGGAGCTGGATTTAAACAAGGCTACACTTAGCCGTTTGCGGAGACTCTGTCTACTTCCCTTATATCGAACCTCGCTCGGAGCTTCACCAATGGCCCGCTGCACCAAGTTTGAGTGCTTCTTGCGAAGTGACATAAACCCTCTTCTCTGAGTGCTCGGCGCATCCATCGCCGCCTTTTGGAGGCCAGTTTTGTCGTCTCCTTGGCCTTGACCAGTCTCTTTGGTAGGGCTACTGTTGATAGAATCTTCGTCTTTAGCCTCCATTTTGTGATTCTCGGATTTTGGGATAGAAAATTGTTCGACACTATTGTTCTTTATCGATATACGGTTACTATTAGTGCGCCGCGCAAATTGCGGCAAACTTGTGAACTTTCCCATCAAGACGTCCGTTGATGTTCGCATAAAAGACTCCCCTATTCCCAATGGCATTCCGGGATACGGGACGACATCGCGAGTCCAGATGTCTACAAGGCGCTTCTCCATTTTGACCCTTTTTTGTCTCTTTGGTGCGAGTACGATATCTCGACGGGAGTTTTGCACAGACTGTGACCTCCCTAATGGAGGACGAGTAGCTTGGTTTGTAGGTAGAGCAGTAGTTCCCTTAATATGAATGGGCAGGTAATCTGGACTGCCAGTTGTGATCAAAGTGCCATGGATAGAGCTGCGTCGCGCAACGCTCAGCAAACGACCATTCAGTATCACAGCCTGTAGAGGCTTCAGAGCAAAATAAATGAATGAATTCCGCGCCGGCTGTCCGACGGTCTCCGACCGGGCTTCCTGTTCAGGGTTGATCTGAATTATTAGGTTCCGAAGCCATTCTGTCTCTTCCTTCTCCGAGCAAGCACTGAAAATCAATTCGACAAGGCTATGTTCGAAGGTGAATATGAGCTTCCAGGAATAGGGAGTACCAGAGCAATGCAAGCCTATCTTAAGTCAGCACCCACATAGCGTTAGCCATCCATTCGAAGGGATTGCACCTATTCCATTCGCAGGCTCCTCTAGTCTTGACCCACGGATATGAATGATGGCCATAACCCTGAATTTTTCGCGATCACTACTTGACGTGGCGAGAAGAATATAAGAGTCAAACAAAGCGCACACCATATAGCTCCCAGACACGGTTTCCCCGATTTGGTAAGCAACATGCAGAACACCGCATACTTTCAGTGGCCCGTACGTCTTGAGGATATCATGGTAGTCCTGGAGACATATGTTAACAACTGATTTAGTTTTAGCTCGTAAATTATACCCTACCTGGCTCGAGGGAAATTCAAGCCTTTTTTGGAGCTCCATTGTCTTTCTATAGCGGTCTATGGCGATAGGATCGTCGGAGCCGCTGTTCACCTCTTGAGCAACATTTACTGTTTCTTGGTGTGCTTGTCGAAGCGTTTCGTGTGTTACAAGGCACTGGGTTGCCGGAGTACACTTCATCAAGTCTGTTAGAAAGAGCTGGTACTTGCAGAGTCTCTGAACCGGCTGTTGTGAACGGCATTAGCATGTCTTCTCGTGATTGCTATCAGTGGAGTTGCAAACCTGTATCAAAAGATCGCTAATAGTGCGAGCATGGTTTGCGTACTTCTCACGTGAGCTGAAGGGCTGAACAGTCCGGAATAATGCTTCTAGTCCCTGGTCATACGCTTGCCAGTTCTGTTTTGTCTGGCGTAGTTGATCGATCTCACTTTGCACCGACGGGTACTTCATGAGATATTCTTTATAGACGAGAAATCCTGGCAGCTGTAACCATTTTACAGGTTAGCAAAGGAGATATCTCACGTTCCATGATGCTCCGGTTATAGACTTACATGTGCCTTTAAGATGCATGCTACGTCCGCTGCCTCTTTCGGTGTAGCCATAAGAACAGTTGGTGATCGGATACGTGGGCTTGCTTGCCAACGAAGTTTTTTCGGAGCCAGAAATATGCTATCCACCCCAATTGTGGATGGGTTTGGGTCGTTTTCGTTTGCATATTTCATTCGGCGGGTCGGACCTCGTGTATTGAGGTTTGCATTCGATGTAGAAACAGTTGGACGGTTCCGAAGGCTGGCTAGTAGTCGTTCATGGAATGTAATGAGCTTGTCGACGCTTTGGTGAACTCCGGATGGAGCTATAAGGACCAATGAGAGACCCTAAAGAAGCGTCAGTAGAAACAGGAAAATTTCACTACTTATATATGCCTTTTTTTTTTTAAGAAGAAGTCCAACCTGTGATAGATTCTTGAGGATAGAGATGTACGATACTTCAGTATCAATCAGCTCTTGAATGATCCGGTATCTTTGAATGGCGTGGCGCCACGCCGCTTCATCAAAGGGAGGAGTTGATCCAAGCCTGTTGCTGTCAATAGATTTTCGGGGGTCAGAACCGGAAAAGGTGCTGCTGCGATGGTGGCTGCTTGTTTGAGTATTCGACCTGCCTCGATTCAAGATACTCAGGCTAGCCAGACTCATGCTCGCCGTTTTCACACTGTGAAGGAACGAGGAAGATGTCACGAACGAAGCATCATCACCACTGATTCGCTCTTTAGGGAACATGCGATAGCTGTCATCTAGCCCCTCATCTTCTGGCCAGTCTGTCACAAAGCGTGATGGACCCTGTGGAAGACTTGCTTTGCTGCTTCGAATGCTCCTGATCCATTCTCTGAAGCTGTGAGTCGACGGAGTCTCTGAGATGGCTTTAGTCGCTTCAGGCGAGTACGCGTACTCTTCAAGTGTCTCCAAAAGCGCTTCATCTGGATAGTTCTCCAGGATGAAGTTGTGCAGTGTCCTATCCTCTGTGATTGAGCTCATTGTGTCTGACAAGTCCAGCCAGACCATAGATGAAGAGGAATCCAGTAAAGAAGAAAGAAAAGAAAGCAAATAAATAGGAGAAAGAGGAGAAGTTCCGCCTTTTCTCACGCCCATAGCATCGTGGGCCCGCGTAACACCCAAATTGTGGAAAGAGCAACAGAGGCTCGGCGATGAGTAAGGGAGCAGCAACGCAAGTAGCGACGTGCGTAGAGAAACTATTCTTCACATCCTCATGCTTGCACTTCTTTTTCCTTCAGGGGGTCTGCGCATCGGATACTACATTGTTATGTGCCCCCAAGTGCAAATGCGGTCCTGAATCCAACTCCCCATGGATAACCAAATAGGGATGCAAAATATCAAACAATAGGATCCCAAGCAAAGCTCAGGCAGTGAGTATTGCTGTGCATTGGATATTGTGAAGAAGGGAAGAAAGGGATTTGATAATGATATGTTGCGGGCAAGCAAAACCTTCATGCCTGCGAGTAACCTATTGTGGTTAATTTCTAACGATTACCAGTTTAAAGGGCATCTACAGTTAGCCCAGATTCTCTCCATTCTCCCCATCGATGAGAGAAAGCTTTAAAGTTAGCCCGCTCGAGTGATTTGTGGTCCTCCACAAGCATGGGGAGGTGTCTGGCATCAAAGTTGGAGAACCGGCAATTCACCCAAATAGACATTCCCAATGGCCGGCCTTGAGAGCTAGAGGACGTTCTCCATGCAAAAGAGTCACCAGGAGTGCTTGCCTCATTCATAGGTGGAACTCTAAACGGCCGTTGATTCGGTGTATGTTGTTGTCGGTCTCGGCAGCACCTTGGAATTCGGGGCATAAGATCAAATTCATCCATCCCAAGACAGTTTATCATGCCCAAAATGCTGCCCCCAAAAGAGATATACGAAATCTCCAACAGCTACTGTGGAATCATCAACCTTTTCAAGGAGGCTTGCGTTCTTGGGGCATTTTTACCTGGGAATCGTGTAAAAAATCTCTTTACCGGGTTTTTATTCTCTCTGTTTAGTCGTTGCTGACATTTCACAACTTGGGCTATTATGAGCCCTTCCGCCTTTCCGCGGAAATTCAGATGAGATAGGCCATTGGAAGTGTGTGGTGGCTGGAAGAGAATGGCCCGTTGCATCAGGGTTGATATCTTTCACATAACCGTTGCCATATAGGGTGACGCTCCGGAAACCCAGAAACATCGCAGGATGCACCCAAGCCACCGAACGCGCCTTGGCGATATAAAGAAACCTTTCTGGTAAAGTTCCGCGAAACGATGTTGTTTCGACCGCTCGGTCTGGAGTAGTTAACTGGCTGTTCCTTGGCAGCACACAACGGTTGAGTCAGCAAGCCAATCGGGGGACGCGTTCGAAGAGAAGCAGCTAACTGAGCGGCGGGGGGGCAGCCACACTTATGTCATCATCTCCAACTGCTCAGCAAGCAGAGAGTTGGCTTTGGGACTACTCCGTAGGACAGGAGTGTTTCCGCTTTTAATCCTTGTCATGACTTCTACTCGTTTGACATGCTAGATCTCTGACATGGGAATGCCAATGGATGACATCCACGCTCCCACGGTGCCGTCCGGCCCCGTCTCCCGCCTGGGAGCAGAGCGAGATATATCGAAGATGAGCATGCACGAGCTCTTCAAAGAAAAGGAACAGCTTGAAGTCGAACTAAAGGTCCTTAGTGAGGTTTTGCAGTCTGTAAGGATATTATTCTGTGATCCATGGAGGAGCAAAATGTTGGCTGACATCTCCTTTGTTTCTAGCATGGAGTGAACATGGAAACTCCTTTAACCACATTTGACGGATATCCAAGAGATGATCTTGACATTGCTCAGAGTATGTTGGTATCGGCTTCTGGTCATGTGTCTCTAGAAAAAATTGTCTGATGGTCTCGTCAATTACCAGTACGAACGACCAGGGCGCGGATTATCTATCTTCGGAACGACCACAATGCAGTGATGGCAAAGATTGAACAAGTGGTACACGCGTATTTTGCAGATATGAGAGAGCGCGAAGCCGGCGGTGAAGCGCCCGAATCCTCGCGTGTGCCACCTGTTGGCCCAGAATTTTCAGAAGAGACGCCGTCGAACCAGAATGGGTTGGCAGAAACGCCTTTTGCTAGAGTCAACAGTGTGGCAGAAGGTAGCCCGGCCGCAGAGGCGGGCATGAAAGTCGGTGATAAAATACGCGGCTTTGGGACTGTTAACTGGATGAACCATCAAGACCTCCGAAAGATTTCGGAGGTGGTTCAAAACAGCGAAGATGTGGGGAGCGCCTTTGATATCAACACATGCACACAAGCATTTGCTAACATCTTCATAGATTCCAATAATTGTCAGAGTCACAAGAAGTAGTGACTCTGGTCAAGGGCCCACCAACCTCAGTTTACGACTGACCCCTCGCCGTCATTGGGGAGGACGCGGTTTACTCGGATGTCATCTCGTTCCATTATGAACGGCACCATTCCTTTCCATTAAATTTATGGCTGGCTGTGCGAAGGATCGCAGATTACGTTGAAACTTCTCCAATGTGTCATCATGGCCGCATGCTCTATTATATCAAGTGATTTCTCAACATGACTAGGACATTTAGGGAAGAGTTGGAGCCATTCCGCACGCAGTTTACTGGCGACCTCCAAGGCTTCCAAGCCAATGATGGCGAGAGGATGGCGAATCGACGCCCAGCCTTGAAGCAAGCTCATGCTTCCATACTAGCATTCGGCTGTGCAAGGCTGCCGCGGAGATGTTTTTCTGACTCGTAGCCTGTAGCGACCAAGTTATGTAGCAGAGTGTATTTTCCATTTACTCGACGGAGTATTTCTCTGTCAAATTAGCGAAGATTAGCGATAAAATGAAGCGCTCAAGACTCCCATTACCCCACCCCCCCTTTTTAAACAACCCAAACCAAATCCTTCAGCCGCCTCACCGCTTTCGTTCTGCATTAGAGCTGAGTCAGCATCCCACATTGCCAAGCCATTACTCACGTGACCACAACAGCCCACCCGAAAAGTTGTTTTTGTTTGGCTGCTGCGAGCCGCTGCCTCAGCGAGTTACTCCTCCAACTGCCTGATAAAATTCCATCACCAGCCCAAATATCCATCATCACCGAACAACCCCCCTTCTCGCTAGCTTCAAGCTTTCTTTCCATCCTCCTCCCCGTCACATCCAAGCAACAAGCCCAGGTTAAGTCTAAGCGCTTATTTTACCTGAGCTCTGTAGATAGCCTTCTTGCAATTTCACTTTTCTTTTTTTTTTCTTCATACTAATCTCACATACTTACCACCATGGCTGCCCAACCCCAACAAGGTCCACCTGCATTCAAACTCGTGCTTGTCGGTGATGGCGGTACTGGAAAGGTATGATACCACTGCGTGGACGCGTTGAGCATCCCTTTCTCTTTCTCTTTGGATGTTAATGCTGTGCGGGCAGCCGACTGCCGACTGCCCCTCGTTGGCCACCCCGTATCTTATACCCCACAAATTCTTTTCCTGGCACTAAAAAAAAAAAAGAGAGCGATGTTGCTGACTGCTATAATTCATCCTGCAGACTACCTTCGTCAAGCGCCATCTCACTGGTGAATTCGAAAAGAAGTATATAGCCACGCTTGGTGTCGAAGTCCACCCTCTCGACTTCACCACGGTGCGTCATAGCCTCGGCTTCTGTCGTGTGTCCAGTTCCGAAGAGTCCTTTCTAACGGCATGAACAGAATTTGGGTCCTATTCGGTTCGATGTGTGGGATACTGCCGGTCAAGAGAAGTTCGGTGGTCTTAGAGATGGATACTATATCAACGGCCAGTGTGGTATCATCATGTTTGATGTTACCTCCCGCATCACCTACAAGAACGTTCCATCCTGGCACCGTAAGTTTATCTCCCGGTTGTATTTTCAACCTAGGCCAGAAACTAACCCACATCACAGGTGACCTCACTCGTGTCTGCGAAAACATTCCCATCGTCCTTTGCGGAAACAAGGTTGACGTCAAGGAACGCAAGGTGAAGGCCAAGACCATCACCTTCCATCGCAAGAAGAACCTCCAATACTATGATATCTCTGCCAAGTCCAACTACAACTTCGAGAAGCCATTCTTGTGGCTTGCCAGAAAACTTGTTGGCAACCAGACGTTGGTGAGTTTCTGTTCCAACCCATATTGCCCCAGGTCAGAGAGGCTAATATCATATGCAGGAATTCGTCGCTCCGCCAGCCCTTGCTCCCCCAGAAGTCCAGGTCGACCACGACCTTCTCGAACAACAACGCCTGGAGATGGAGCACGCTGCCCAGATGCCTCTTCCAGATGAAGAGGATGGTGATCTGTAAATTGCTTATTATATGGTAATGGTTGAATTTTCGGAGAGTGGAAGGAAAGGGGCAAAGTTTCTGTTGCAATCAAAAATCATGAAAAAATACAAAAGATGATCCACAATATTGCTGCAGAGTTTTTTTCTTCCCAATAGCACGAGAAATATTTTAGACGGGGGGATGCGAAAAAAAAAAAAGGAACCCATCACACCCTATTTGACTTAATGGATCTATGGATTTTTATGAGAATGACAACAGGAAAGAATATTTGAATATTACATGCCCAACTGACATTATGGGAGGTTTGCTGTGCTCCTTTTTTTCTCTTTTCTTTTCTTTCTTTCTTGGATAGCATGATGAGGGTTTCCTATCCTTTCATTTATTTTCTTCCTTCTATTCCGGATGGATTAACCACAAGTAATTGGAGCACGGTAGTAAAGTTGAAAATAATAATGGTTTTTCCAAAGCATTGGAAAAAAAAGCGAAGCAGAGTGAAGTCTTATTTTGGAGTTTTCGATTGGTGTTTCTTATCGCGCAAGGCGAATAAAATACCCACAAATAGGGCTGGAACTTGGCTTCGTGACGCCAGGGCCTTTTTCTTTTTTTTTTTTAAGCTATGTACTAGAAATTGCTGAGCGGGAGCAAGGGTGCGGAGCCTGGTGCTGACGTGCATATCCTTTGAGCCACTACCACCACCGCGCCGCCACCCCCCTGCCCCGGCGGATTCTATATTTGTTGTCTTTCAAAGAATAGCAGTGGAACAAGGACTTAAAAAGTACGCTATACAAACCGAATCCATTGACAAGTATCCTCGCTACCCATGTCGATACCTACACACCTTAAGCATGTATGCACCTATCTATGGATAGTGGGCAAAAGCCTAAAAAGAAGATTGGGAAGATTGTAGACGTAGAAAAATAAACAAACCAATAAGAGCAGCATTTGCGCAAGATTTTCTTTTTTCTTTTTCTTTTTCTTTTTTTTTTTTTTTGTTAAAAGAGCAAAACCTAGATAGCCTCCTCCGTCCGCCACCGGGTGTGTTGTGTGCATGAGGCCATACCCTTGGTAAACGCCCTCCGTCCTGCCTGTTCCTGGTGCCGTGTAATGAGAAGATCCGAGGACTTGGTGCTATGAGAATAAAGAAATTTCAATATAAAGGGGTCGTTGGAGGAAAGCACGGGAAAACACATTAAAACAAAGTGCATGCGATCTTCGAGGAGTGACCGAGAAACCTCTAGCTCGGGGAGCATGCAGTGCACCAAAGAGCAAACTGCCGCCCATAACCCGGAAGTGTATCGAAAAAAGAAAAGCCCGAGCATCTTAAGATTCAAGACGTAATATGTATGGACAAAGGGATAGAACTGGAACATGAAAGAGGCGTTGCGGTCTAAGATGGGTTGATAAAACCAGATAAACATGGCTGCAAGTACTTGGCTACTCTTGAAGACGTTTTCAGGCGGAGGTGGAGCAGGGAATCAGTTGGAAGAGACGTGTAGAAATATCGTCGTCTTTTCTTTAAAATAAGAAAGTTGAGATCAGGAGAATCTATTGTCGTCGAGAAGAGATACCCTAAGAAAGTCAGTATCACAGCCGAGAAAATCCGGCCAAAGTACGTCCGAGGTTAGACATACAAATAAAAAGGCAAGCTCTCGGGTTCCCAGACGGCCAAGATTTTGGCTAGCTCTTTCATCCAAAGCGTTTTCAATCAATTCCCTCTTCTTTTCTTGTAGTTCAAGAATACGATCTTCAACAGTGTCTCGCACAAGGATCCGATGAACCATGACTGGTCGAATTTGTCCAATGCGATGAGCTCGATCAATTGCCTGCTCTTCAATGTACGGATTCCAGAAGGGATCAAAGATAATGACTTGAGAAGCCGCCACCAAATTCAGCCCAGCATTGCCCGCTTTGAGAGAAACGAGCATTATTTTGCAGTTCTCATTGTCGGAAAATTCTAGCACCGCTTCATTTCGCTGAATAGGACTCATGCTGCCATCGTATCGCCTGTAATGCCAACCCTCCCTCATAATTGGCACTTCCAACAGGTCGAGCAAAGTAGTGAATTGGCTGAAGATAATAGTTTTCTCGCCATTGTTACAACTCTCGATTTCACGTAGGATTTCAAGTGCTTTGTCGATCTTAGAGCTTGTTTGCCAGGATTTTTCTAAGCGCCGTATATATCTCCTTTTGGCCTTGGCATTCTTCATAGATTCCTTCTTCAATGTAGCCAAATTTTTCTTGCCAGTTTTCTTGTCAGTGTTTCTGACAGATTTAGTATTGCGCTTTCTTTTTTTGCCTCTGGGGCGCTCTGCATCAGTATCATCGTCGACAATGAAGCTATTTAAGCTATCAGTATCCGAGTCATCCTCACTGTCAATATCATCATGGTCACTACGAGCATCAGCCTCATCCGTGTTGTCGCCAGTGACATGGACTTTCCGGAACGATAAGTTGTCGGTGATCTTTTTCGGATCGATCCTGGCACGGCAATTCGGACACTTGATCTCGACTGTTCCGTCGTTGCCTTGGGCCACGCCTTGGGACGGGTCCGATATCCGCGCAAAGCACTCTGCGCAAATATTGTGTCCGCAAGGAAAGAAAATGATTGCATTCTCCACGGCATCAATACAAACTGGACATTCGGAATCCTCGTTCTCCTTCAAACGTGCAACAACGTCAGGACCGAGTAATTTGGCGTTGGCTTTCAAATCAACACCACAGAGGTTGACATGACTGTCATCACTGAAGAGCTGTATCAAGTGTGGATGGCAGCAGGCCTGGCGAAGTCGAAGCAGCATCACAAGGACGTTAGAGTAGTGTTTTCCAACCGTACCATTATCAAGGTACCTGTTGAACTGGTTTTGAGTTTTTTGCTCAAGGGATTGATAGAAGGTGTTTTCATCTTCACTAAAAACAGTATGGACCTTTTCAGTCGTTCTTGATGGCAATTGCAAAATGGGCTTGCCGTCAATCTTTGATGCTTTAGTTCTACGAAGCAAAATAGCTTTCAATAAGGCTTGTAGCTTTTGCATGGCTTGTTTCTGGGTTCTATCGTGGAAAGTCTTTAGCGGGCGAGTAAATGTCTGCAAAGGTATCAGTATCAGGTATCAGGACAATGAATATCAACATTAAGCAACCTACAGCATCAAAAGTTTCCGATTTGTTGTAGGGCCCGATTCGAAGAAATCGAATCAAAGAATAAAGCTCTGTAACGTTGTTCATCATTGGAGTTCCACTCATACACCATCTATAAGTGGATCTAATGGCATAGCAAGCTCGAGCAGATTTGGTGTTCTTGTTTTTGATGCATTGAGCTTCATCGATTATAACACGGTACCATTTAGAACGCTCTCCAAGGACAGGCAATTGCTTAGCGAGTGGGTGACTCTCGCGCAGAGAAGGATTCTCATTTGCAAATTGGTCAAACTCCTCCTTGCGCTTGAACTCTGAAGACAGTGTACCAAAAGATGTCAATACGACATCGTATTTCTTTAATCTTAAGAAAGGGGTAGTTCTTTTGTCTCCATGGAGGATATAAACTGAAAGTTGGTGTCTTCCACTTTTCAGTTTCTGTTCAATCTCTCTTTTCCATTGGTGCATCAGGGAGACGGGAGCAACTACTAGGGTAGTTTTTCGCTCAGGATCCGTCGAGGGCCGCGATACAATGAGTGCCAATGCCTGGATGGTCTTTCCAAGGCCCATGTCATCAGCTAGTATACCTCCTTTATTGGAGCCTTCTTCCATTGCTTTCATCCACGCTAGACCGTATTTCTGATGGTCCATTAGCGTGTACTTCATAGCTTCAGGCGTACTTTCACCGTTACACTTGAGATCTTTGTCTGGGCGGATATTCTCTAGAAGGTTTTGCAATTCCTTTTTCATTTCAGTGTGGTCGGAGGCACCGTCATAACTGGGCACTGACGATCTATATGGAAGTCTCAGTCAGCAATCGGGAAAGCAGGTAAAGTAGGCTAAAAACGAAAGGCAACATTCAAGTGGCCTCACCCTAGGCGGTTGAACAGATCGCTCGAAACATTTGGCCAATCCGGCGGTGCCGTCTGGGAGAATTTGGCAGAGTCATGGCTATCCAACGAGTATGGGTTATGGATAGTTGTAGAACTAGGAAAGGCTCCAGGCATTTGAGCGTATTGTCGATACCTTTCAACCGTGGATGCCATGCTCGGGGAAACACCGTGCGTGGGTGAGGAACCAGTGAGGTCGCAGACTTGCTGGTGTGGTTGGAGGTGATGATGGTTGTAATGCATCATGCCATGACTCAATGACGTCGCATTGTAGTGATCTAGTCGAGTTTCCTGGTTGATTGAAGAAGTGAGGTCGATGATATCCAGGTGAACGTCAGCAGCAGTCCGAACCGCGGGGTTTCGAGGTCTATGACTGACGATCGGCTGTTGTTCCCTTGAATGAGGCGATAGGGACGTGAAGGGAATAATCGGCCGCGGTGGAAAATGCTGCAGATCCCTTGTTGACTGGACTGGAGGACGACTGGGCGACGGTTGTGGTGGGGACTCTGGTTCGTACAGGCTCTCTTGGAGAGCTCTGGCTAGAGCTTCATCACGGCGTTCTTGATCTCTGCGCTTCTCAAGCCACCGTTCTGCTTCAAATGCCTCCCGCTCAATTGTCAAAAGGTCCTCATCTTCAGATAATCCCAGCTCATGGAGCAGGTTACTCCGCTCCCTCCCGGCTGAGTTCATCTTCACTTGTCTTTAGTTGGGCTTGTCGCTCAGCCTTTTTTGAGGCCTGGGATGTGATTCTGAAACCTGGTAGGGTTATTCTGCTCAATCAACAACACCCTGGGTTCTTACTTGATGCTTAGATTGCAGTACGGGTCGCCACATCATTGCCTTGTGCCCATCAGGGTGTTGCCGGAGCGGCCAAAGGTGAGCTCTCAACAGGCTTCAGCCGCGCGATATCGGAATGCGTCAGGGGTTCGCGCGTCCCATACTATCGATTAGGCTCCACCGCGGATATACTAACCGTTAAAGGTCTAGCCGGTCTTGGCAGAAGCTTAGTAATTGGATCTAGCTAATCCGGAATAGGAATGGATTGCTTGGGAATTTCACGTCCGTCAAACCCTAGAGATCGCGCCAGTGAAGTAACCAGTAGCATCCAAAATCTGATGGATGACTGCTGGACGGAGTAGATCGGCATCTTCTTTCTTATCTCCATTTTCTCCTCCTTATTAACTCCCTTTGCCTTGTTTTCATCTCCCTCATTCACTCCTCTGTGGATGCTGACAAGAAGGACGAGTGCATCATAGGGAAAAGCACGTCCCTATTTCCCCATATCTACGGCTACCTCACAGCCAGCGACAATATGCTTAGAGCTCCGTTTCTTCTTGTTGAATACATAGAAAGGAACCCCCTTTGTTCTACAAATATACAAGGCCTGGAGAGAATTGGAAGAAAACAACGGGCGATGTTTGCATCCAACTTTATCAGCCAACGGTTCGACCGAGTTGCAGCGCTTAGCCTTGATGAGAATAGCAATTGGATATTTGAGAATAGCCGTCCGCTAACCATTGACATCCATGGGTGAAAGCTAGCGGATTGATACTTATCGTCTTACTCTTGATCTCACATTCGATTCCATAGTAGTTTATGTTTACATCCAATGATCTTCACTGTGGCCGGGTTGGTATTATAATGAGGATGATACCTGATGGTACTGCTATAGCATCTGTGCACGTCAGTGCATCTTGGTGGGGTGGGTTAAACATGAATACAAACATGGATTTTTACCATGATTTATGGGGGCCTTCGCCCCGAATATCATTATTGACAGCAACTTGAACATGTCAATTCTTGACTAGGAATAGTATCATACTATTCTAGTTCAAATGTTTGTTCCTCCATCTTAGCTTAGCAACCAAGGGGTTCCTCGGATTTCAGAAGATATCTCCTCCCATTGCTACCTTGCTGCGGTGTATACAACTTTACTGCAAATCAGGAGAATCTGTTTCGCGATCCCAACAAGCTGCTGTTGAAAGATGTCTCGCTAGCAGCACCTTGGAAGCCCATGAAAGGATCTGAAGAAGCTATAACTCCTCTTAAGCTATTGGCGCCTCATTATTTCAGGAAAACATATTAGGATACTTTAGTCCAGTGTTTTCATAGTCGGAAGAGTGAGGAGCGCATACAAGTTGTTTTCGGTGTTCGAGCTCCTGATCGACGAGCTGTGGAGGAAACGATGAAGGAGTCTGAGCCCTTTAAGGAGGAGAATCAAGAGCTGGCCATAGAGCAGAGACCAAGCATATTGATAAAGCCATCTGAAGAATTATCTTAATTGACCAAAGCATTGACAATATTTGGACAAAGTGAACATAAAAGACACGAAGTCATGTTCCGAACAATGTTTAGTATCGCGAATGTGTCCATCGCCAGATTCACCACCTAAAATACCGACCATGCACTGATAATGTCATCGAAAGGCATGGACTAGCAAAGCAATGGTCGTTGATAGGATTTAGCATAAATCTGCCGTGTACATCAGCAGCCGGAAGTTGAAAAAAGCGAGTCAAGGAATTATCGATCGCACTACTAGATCTGCTTTGGCTTTTCGAAACTTAACCCTTTCTCCTGCAACTTGCACCTCGGTGATGAAACCGTTTTCTTGTTTGAGATGGCCTTGATATCATCGAGAAGTTGTTGCTTGCCAGTAGCCATTTCGTAAACATGGTTGGGTAACTTAACTACTTACTAAATAATAAACTCAGCAGATGCGAGATGCAGCTGCTCGCTACTGTGACTGCTTTTGGCTAACCTGCTGAACTTCATAGATCCCGGGCCCAACAGCAGCATGTGCGCGTGGCAATGCAGGCTGCAGGCACCGAGAATGGAGGGTTGCCATTAGGAAATGCAGAAGCCCGTGAAACGGGTTGATTAACAATCTGCAGCACAGAGCATTCTCTCGAGCAAGCTCGCCATGACATACTGTGGTTTATGTCTTTTGTATTCCGTACTCCGTACTGGGGTAACACAAAAGAATATTCCCCATGCGTCATCCTCAAATGTCCCAACAAGTTACTAACGAGCAAAGCTCCCCATGACCCTGCCAAGTCCTGCTATTATAGTTCCATACCTTGCGAAGTGGAGATGTTGGCAATGATGCAGCGCACCCAACCGCCGCGCGGCACCCCGCGGAGTGCCTTTCTCTCCATCCATCATTGCAGATCAAGAAGAGAACCGGTGACGGAAAATCAACAGAGGCATCTGGATGGTGACAGCTGCCCTTGGAAACCGGTCGCAATGGTTGAGTCGACATTGCCTGGGTGACTTCTGATTCTGCGCTCCCATCGGCACCGTTGGCTAGTTCAACCCCCGGCCCATAGGCAACCACATACTCTTTCGTACCCCGTATCCGAACACTCTGCGTGCGTTTTCAAAACCCGCATCCCCAGACAAGTTGCAGAGACTCAGCGCCCGTGCGCCCTGCGGCCTTTCTCCACAGAGACGTCCATCTATGATCAGTATGAGCACCGTCGACCCGTCCAAATCATCCCTCTCAAGCGATCAGCCCGTCGCCCAAACGGCCCATTTTCAGCTGCAACCCAGCGCCGGTCCTGATGGAAGCAGAGACGCTAGCTCCAGCGGAGCACCGCCCAACGAGAGCGCCTCCGGCCACGTCCCACGCCCGAAACGGATAGCATGTATGGTTTGTAGGAGAAGAAAGCTACGTTGCGATGGGAGGAAGCCTAGCTGTGGAAATTGTGCCCGTCTGGGCCATGACTGCACATACAACGAGACGAGGAAAAAGAGCGGTCCCAAAAGGGGTTATGTTAAGCAGTTAGAGGCCAGGTTAGGTACGCTCTCTCAGTTGCGGACTTATCAAAATGAACGCGCTCTGGTCCTGTGCTAACATGGAGCCCGATTTCTACCTCCAGCCCAAGTTGAGACTCTTCTCAAAGGACAGGATGCAACCGACAGTTCGCCAAATTCCACGTCTGCACGGGACATACCTTTTCAGGGCTCGTTACAAAGTAAAATCCCGGAGCTGTCTGTCGGGTCCACTTCTGCGGCACAAGGGCCAGCCATCCCGCTTTCTCCGTTCGTAGACTTGGCTTCAAATGCCTCCGGCCTTGTTGAGCCCAGTTTACAGATAGGGGGAGACGCTTCCTGGGAAATGATAGGCCTCGGGTTGGAGGAGTCTCTTCCCGGACCGGAAATCATTGATGATCTGTATGTCTGCGCCCTTTTATTTTACATTGAAATCGTTCCGACCAAGCGGCTGAATCGTTCAGAACCGAGATCTATTTCCAAAAAATCCACCCGTCGTATCCCATGATCCATAAACCTCGCTATCATGCCGCCATGAATCTCTCTCCGTTGATGCGCCCCCCAATTTGTCTGCGATATATAATGTGGGCTCACGCAGCCGCCTGCACGGAGCGATATGAATCACTCCATCAGATATTTTATCAGCGTGCGCGGAAATATATCCAGCTCGATGAGATGAAGGGGCTTGGCGAGTCGGTCATATCTGCTGCGCACGCTCAATGCTGGAATTTAATCGGGAGTTATGAATTCAAGATGATGTATTTCCCCCGAGCTTGGTTGAGTTCGGGCAGAGCTATGCGACTCTCAATAATGATGGGACTGCATAGGCAGGATGGCGCTGGCTTAGACGTGAAGCAGTGCATACCAGCGCCTCGTGATTGGACCGAGCGGGAGGAACGGAGGCGGACATTTTGGATAGCATTTTGCCAGGATCGTTACGCTTCAGTGGGGACAGGGTGGCCGATGGCGGTGGATGAAAGAGATGTAGGTTCTCTTCGAAAATTTGCTGTAGTTCTCGTGTTTAAGCTAATCATCTCTTCGGTCAGATTTTGACGCATCTTCCCGCTTCAGATGAAGCATTTCTCAACTGCCGAACACAAAAGACGTCGTCGCTTCCAGACGCTTTATCCGGCCAAGCTACGTCAACGCTCTCTCCTCTGGCTGCCGTGGTGGTAATCACCTGTCATCTCGGTAGGAATCTCCACCATCTCCACCGTCCATCAGCCAACGACAAAGACCACGACCTCTACGGGGAGTTTTGGAAGCGTCACCGGGCACTGGATAATATTATTCTTAATACATCTCTCTCTCTTCCTAGCCACCTGCGCCTGCCTGAAGGAATTAACGACCCAAATGTCGCCTTCTGCAACATGTGCATTCATACGTCGACCATCTGCCTCCATCAGGCCGCCATCTTCAAAGCAGAAAAGAATAACATACCTCCTCAGATCGCTGCCGAGAGTAAGCGCCGTTGTATAATTGCAGCAGACCAGATCACCAATATCATGAAGATGATAAGTCATCTTGACTTGACACTCGTAAGTGTGTTTGCCCGGCCTCCAAGAGCAGTCGGGCGCCTAACAGGTGTAAAACAGATGAACCCGTTCCTCGCATTTTGCCTTTATGTCGCAGCGCGAGTTTTCGTCCAATATCTCAAGTCACGATCCGAAGACCTAACTGTTCGCTCGTCACTGCAGTTCCTAATCTCCGCTATGAATGCATTAAAAGTGAAGAATCCACTTACGCAGTCATTCCTTGTTCAGTTGGAGTTTGATCTTGAAACCTCTAATTTGGGAATCCTGGCGAATGCGTGCTCCGGGAACCAATATGGCGCGTTTGCGAACTCGGTTTCGGTATGTTTCCAAATTTATGATCATCATCTATCACTCAAAGAATCGCGGCTAACCTATAGAAGGGCAAGGGTCAAAGTGACTTGGGTGGTAACGCGCCCGGAAATACAGAAGATTCGCTGCACGCAGCCAATGGCTCTAAAATGCAATATCCTCGGTCTGGATTTCCACCTGACGCCTCTCTACCTTCTCGCCGGAAGCCTACCACCCAGCAACAGGCTCATCAGCAACTGTCACATTCAGCCCCGTATTACCCGTCAAACGACACTCAACCCTCTGGCAACTCTCCCTTTCCTATTTTAACCGATGAACAATTGCGAGCATTCGTTATGGAAATGGATATTCCCACAGACATGAGTACGACGAGCGACCGTCAACAATCTACATCTGACCATTCAACTCCCAACACCCATCAGACGTCGAATAGTTCCTTGTCACCTCACAACCTCGATCACCCTTCACCTCCTAAACACATGCACCAATCATCTCAATCTCGCGCGTACCTTTCCACACCTTCACCAAACCTTACAAACCTAGACGCAAGCGTTCCCAGCCGCGTTTCTTCTTTCTCAGACTCTACCTCCAACACCCCGTTCTCATTCCCTGCATCATGGAATTACAGTCAAGAAAAATCTACAATCCAAAGTCAATCCCAGGCCCAGTCTCAATCCACTCAAGGAGAAGGCTCACTTCCTTCTAACGTAAATGCTACAACAGTGACGAGTGGCACCATTGAACTTATGTCACTTGACGATCTCACTTGGATGCAAGATGGAGCTGGAGGCGTGTTGGACTGGAATAATTGGCAAAGTCACTGATTATTGGTCGGTTAACAGGTGTTTGATGACGGGTGTATAATTCTTGAACCTTTCTATTTGCCGCGCAGAATCGGTACCCTCCCTTTTGTTATAAGGAGCCCCCGAATAATAGCCGGCTATGGACACACAAATGGTTTGCTTGGAACGAGATAAAAGGTGTTGCATTACGTGGTTATTTTCTACTTCTCCCCTTACCAGATCGACCCGGCGTTTTGCTTTTGGCAACTGGATAGGTACACTGTATACCCATACTTATACATTAGAGTCCTCATTTGCGAATCTCGATTATCGAATCATTCATATCCCGATCCGATAAGCTCCATAATATCGTTAGCCATCACGTAGGAAACCAGTTCAAACAAGGAATATTCAACGAAGGTATGATACTGCTCAGCTTGACATCTCAAATCACAATCCACCACCACCAGCACCCACAATTCTCAACCCGTTACTACTCGGGCCCATCGCATCTGCATAAATGGAATACGCCAACCAATACCTCGACGGATGCCACGCCACAGCGGGAACAACATGCGACCCATCAACCGGAATCGTAAACACACTCTCCCCGGTCTCCGCATGGAAAATCTCTAACCCAACACCGCCGCAATCCGGCTCATCGCACGCGCCTACAATGAATCGCCCGTCCCAGCTCCAGCTTACGCCGCGCACTCCGCCTCCGCCGGAAGTCGTCACAGTGCGCTTGCAGATCCAGTCAGTGGTGTCCCAAAGGGAGATTAGAGAGTCTCCACCGCCAATTGCGAGGTAGCGGGCTGTTGGGGAGAGGGAGACGCAGTGACAGGAGGCGGTGTGGGCGTTGAGGGTGTGAAGTGGGTGGAAGGAGGGGTAGGATACGATTTGAACGGTGCCGTCGCCGGTGGTGAGGAAGAGGTCCGGGTTCGAGGGTGAGTAGGAGAATGCGGTGCCGTTGGTGCGGACAGGTTGTTTATGAGGCGAAAGGGATTTGTAGGGAGCCGCTGTTGTACCCGATTTGGAGGGTTCAGTGGTGGTTGTAGGTGTGGAGGAAGAGTCGACAGAGATGGGTACGAGAGTGTCGTCCTGGAGAGATAGGCGTTAGACAGCGCTTAACAGATGAGCAATAAACAGTGCACGCGGAGAAATACCATTCTTCCTGCGAGGAGCACGCTGCCATCAGCGGACCAGGAGAGAGTGAATGCTTCTCCGCCAACATCGATGCGGTTCACGCAGTTCTTGGATCGCACGTCCCAGAAACGGACGGTTCCATCGGTTGAGCAGCTCGCTAGCTCGGATTCCTTGACGGGGTTAAAAGCAACCTGCTCAATGCCAGAGGTATGCCCGCGTAGCTCAGTCGAATACCTCACATCGGGGCGCTCTGGGTTCCATATTCGTAGTGTTCGGTCGGCAGAACCTGTCGCGATGAGAAGGCCGGTAGGATTCCATGCCAGAGTGCGAATACTGCGAAATAGACATCAGAAGGATTAGTTTTAAAGGTCAAAGCAAGGTGTTTCCGGGAGAAAGCTCTAGTTACCTGTGCGAACCAGGTCCACGCGCATTGGGATCGGTATAGCTCTGTGTTCTCAGTCTACCAAACAAGTAGCCAAAGCGATCCTTGGGGATCAGCTGGGACGGAGGAGGCGGCGGCATCTTCGGCACCTGCTAGACACCGTGGTCTTGTGTCTCATTGATAGTGTGCTTCCATCGTCAGGCTTGAGAGGAAGTTGGTGCTGCTTGGAGTGTTTCTTTGACACGGAAGAAAAATACCCTCTTCGCCAACTCAAGAATTAGAAAAGCCAGTCTTCCCCCTCCCGCAGTATCATTAGTGACTATCTCTCATCCATCGCCTTCATTTGAGAGATATTAGCGTCTCTGGAAAGTTAGATCTGCATAAATAATAGCTTGTTAACACTGCCACAGAGAGCTCCAAGTTCTACCGCCATAAATATTTAAGCCGTGACTGTGATATCACGACCACAACCGTGTAAATAGCACCAGAGAGCCACAAGCGCCGTTCTACAAACACTTGTATGTATTTTACGGTTCAATTCTTTCCTATTCGCGATATCTACTAACTCATGCTATAGAAAGATGTTTGATATCGACGATTCGGCCTTGGACAAGGAAAAGTGCTATACGACAATCGGAGAGCTCCCAGACTACCTTGATCCGAAGCAGCCACCGACGAGAAAATCTCCCTTCTCAACCGTCTCAAGACACTGTTTTGTCCATTCGGTATGGCTTCAGCTCCCCTAAGGGATCGTTCTGTGCACACCCAAGAGTAATCTAGGCTGAACTACCTCTTCTACAGACAGAGCTTATCCTCCCGGAAGAAATCTATCAAGCTGCTTGGGATTCAATTGCAAACAAAATTAGCATCTGCCAGTATGCAAAAGTCTTCATGTCCCTCTCAGATATTCTTGATGGAGAATTCTTTAACAAGTATATAAAAATTGGTACGCAGATATGCTACAGTATGCTATCATATCCTCCTGCCCGGGGATATCTATGCGACTATCATCAAATAGGGCTGACCGTCTTCCCCAGGCAATATTTTGATGATCTCAGAGGGACAAAGCGGCGTAGACAATGTGTATTCTCTCAGAGATGGTATGTCTAGCTACACCCGACCTATTAGCCGGCTTCTGGCCGGAATAAAGCCCGGATGAAAGGCTAACATCCACGGTATTCTGCCCACCTCCTCAGGTATTCTTAGATTAGAACTAGATAAGAGTTCATACGAACGAGCGGGCCTTGTCGGAAAATCCGTTCGTAGTGGAGGCAAAAAGCATGTAGCATCAAGATATGGTACGTTCCGGACTCCTGGACTATGTCCTTTTTCCATACGCGTCTATATAGTAGCTAACTATACAAAACTAAGTTGTGGAAATCAATCTCCGCCTGCCTTCTATGCTCCACGGCAAAAAGGGATTCGAGCGCATTGTATGGGCTTTCAAAAATGTTCTTAACGAGTCCCTTACATGGCTGTTCAGCGATTTATCCCCGTCCTCAGATCTATCAGGTCAAGGTCAAACTCCTCCCCATATCTACAGGTTTACTTTGTTTCTTGAAGGGTGCCCGATGCTGACATTGTCTTAGATGCTCCCATCAAAAGGCATTCACCACAAATCTTCTCGTGCACCTCAACAAAGTCACCTTTCCAAAATGTCCTAACTCCACCACTTACACCATCCACTTTTCAGGCAGAAAGTGAGCAAGCAATATCAGAACTCTCGGATACCTGCGTTGAAATTCAGGAATGGCTTGCGCTGGCCTTCCTAGGAACTCCACGCCTCAACGCGGATGACTCGATAGATCCATATCTTAGTCGATACTCGGTGCCCAATAAAGAGAACTGTACTTCCTCGAACCTCGTGAAACTCACCTGGAAAGGATTGCTTCCAAGTCATTGGATCGCACAGTTACTCATCGCCACGCTGTAAGTTAAATCAAAAACCTAATTAAACTCGGAACCCGACTGATATGGACTTTCCAAAAGACGCAGTACTGCGGGGTCGGACTCCTGGTTTGCAATATCTTCACACGCACTTGGCAAGGAGGCGGTTGAAGGCAAAGATGGGTATATGATATTGGCACCTCCTTGTCATAAAGCTGATAATACAGAAGATAACGCTTTGAAATCGGACCAGAAACAGCCACGGAGGAAATTTGTTTGCTGGGAGTACGTTGGCTGCCCGTGGTCAGCCTCTTGATTGCGTTGCCTCGACTTTCGTATGATTTATAGTCACATCGATAAAGATGGCCGAAACGTGAAGTCAAGGTTTCATCTGGATAGAGCCCTAAAAAGAATAAATGGATTTGTCCAAAAGCCCCCTTTTACGGAGCGTCATGCAACCAAATGCGTAGTTACCAGCCAAAGTCCAACCCAACGGAGTACAGCGAGAAGAAATAGACGACTTATCCAAGCAAATCATGATATACATCCCTCAACACGGGTCTCCTCCCTACCATCTTCGCAGCATGTGTCTCCTTACCTCCAAGCTTTTCAGCCTTCCTACAGCCCATCCCAAACAAACCACTTTCGTTCCTCATTGGACCAAGCACCGTCCGAGACTGCCTCTTGACAGGACTCCTCTTTATAGGACTCTGCCCCTTCTTCTTTGGACTCACAGGTTTACTCTTTGTTCTCTGTGGACTCACCTGCGTAAACGCAGGTTCCTCAAAAACATGACTCTCTACCGCTGTCGGGGGCAAATCATAACACCAACCTTTCCCATCCATAAGCTTAACAAACCTATCCAGCAATTCATTCCCCTCTCGAAGCGTGGTCTTGCTGCCCACAATAAGGAATTTGGTCCGCGCCCGTGTGAATGCAACGTTAACCCGTCGCCAATCCCGGAGTAATTCGCCCACATTGTTCTCTGCATTGCTTCGTACGCAGCTCATGATAATCACTTCTTTATCGCGTCCCTGGAAGCGGTCGGCCGTATGCATCTCAAGCTCAGGAAGATGACGGCGTAGGTTCTGCCTGAGGAGGGCGAGCTGACTTCGATACAGAGTTACGACACCTATTTCTTGTGCGGGGATTCCGACGGAGATGAGTGCTTCGACGAGTTGGGTGCAGAGAGCGACTTCGACGACGTTGACGATGCGTGAGCCGTTAGCAGACTCTCCGGCCCGGGGGTTTAAGAAGTCTGTATTGACTAGGCGGGCTTTTGCGCTTGGGTCCAAAAGGTCTCGAAGCCAGCAGCGTCCGCGGGTTGGTCCTAAACACGGTGTATGAGATGACAGCACACTCAAAGGACTGATGTGATGTTGTTTCAGCCCACTCATATTGGGAATATTCAACGAGCGCGAAGCTACTTCTGGTGTGCCACATTTCAAATGTCCGAAGTAAATGAGCGTGTTAGAAAGTAGCATTATGTCTTCACACATTCGATATTGATGCTCAAGGTTGACAACGGCGCCCGGATGCATGTCGCAAAGTAGCTTGAACAAGCTCACATCCAGTCCACCTTCCAGCGCTTCTTTGTTTTGAACGAGAGGTGGAAGCTGATAATGATCGCCCACGAGGATAAATGTCTTTGCCATCCGAATTGGTCCCAGACAAACAGGAAGTGTAATCTGCGAAGCTTCGTCGACAATACAATAATCAAACGTTCGACTGTTGAAGATGAAATGATTGATTCCCAAGCAAGTGGTCGCGACCACTTGTGAATTCTCAATCGAGTCTTTAATCTCCTCAATCGATTTCTTCGGAAACCCCGCGAGATCAGCAAACTGTTGAACCTCCGGATGCACTTTTGCAGGTACCCCAAGTCTTAAAATCTTAGTTCCGTCATATCGAATCTTAAGAAGGATGTTATCCACCGCCGTGTGCGTGTATGAAGCCAGCAAAACACTTTTCCCTTGCGCGACAATGGCACGAATAAGCTGAGCAATGGTCGTAGTCTTTCCAGTTCCAGGCATACCAAGAACAAGAGCATAGTCGTCAGCACTCATAACCTTCTCAATCGCCTCTTTCTGATCCACATTCAAGTTCGCTTCTGCGAAAGCAGATAGGTTTGGCACAGACGATAATGGTTTGAAGGATGGTGGAACCCCTTCGATAATCAGGTCCCTCAATCGTTTCGATCGGAAGTGTGAGTTGTCCATCATGCAAACAAGATTATTTCTCACGGTCGCCATGCCGTTACTAAACTCATCTTTATCCACGCGATATAACACAACCTCCTCTTCCTCCGCCACTCTGGAATCCGCCAATTTGCTATCATTGACTTCCATAATTCCCATGAAAGACTGATTTCGATCCGCGTCAAAGCCCACCACCTTCCTCTGGGCATTGTGGAGCCTCCGATCTACAGAAACAGTGAGTCTTCTAGGACTAATTTGCACAACGTAGCCATTGGCAAGAGCAAAGTGGCCTTTCTCATCAGACACCACAATGGGCTCTCCAGCAGTGATCTGTGATTCCGCAAAAGAAAAGCCAGAAAATGGCTTATGCTTGACGAAAGTGTACCGGAAGCGATTGATCTTTGGGCCATCGGTATCCTTGAAGGCTGACCCTGGCTCTATCACGACATTACTGAAACAGCGGCCAACTCCTTCTCGCTCACTGCTTAGCATCGTCCAAAGCTCTCGACGGAATTTCATCGCTTCTGTTTCTTCCTGAGTCAACAATAAATCCCACTTTTTGAAGAAAGTTTGATGCAAGGGACTCAGATGACCGACGAGCTCTGTGAAACTCTTTCCTATACCACTTGTCCCTCCATCGCCATTATCCATTAGCTTGTGATATACAAAACACGGTGTCTTCGCGTAACATTGGTTGCATATCCGCGGATTTTTCAGCATAGGAGGAAGATCTAGCCGCTCTCGAACGTATCCAGCCAGTCTATTTCGTTGTTGTATCATCTGGCGTATCTCAGCCGGTATAGCCCGAACACGATGCGTCTTTGAAGCCTCCAAATAATACAGTATGCCAAAAGTAACGTCAATGTCTATTTCGAGCAGTTAGCATATTCATAACATTCCCTTCACATTCAACATACCATAGCGGTCCGAAAGGAGCAAGGTGTATAATGCTGTCTGCGCTCTATGTGTTTCATTGGTAGTATTTCTTCCAGTTTTAAGTTCCAAAGGCACCGTGAGAGTCTTCTGTTCCGTTTTATCCTGAAGAACTACCTGAACAGTTGCATCGACATTGCCTTTTAGTCCGTACATGGGCGACCAAATATGCTCCTCAACTTCGAGAAGTTTGTTTATACACAGCCGGGCTTTGGTGCCGTTTCTGTCCTCAATGATGGACTCAAGCTAAAAGAGGAGTAAGCATCAGCATGCAAATTGTAATACTCAAAATGCTTACACTTGGCCTACAGCGAAGGAAGACCTCCGCCCAAGCTTTCAGCGCGGGAATCTTAGCCTGAAGGTATGCCTTTGCCTCGGGCACATCAACCTGAATCTCATATAAACTCTCCAGGTATTTTGGTAATGTCTCGTCGACAAGTCCTCTCAGGCAGCCAAAATCCCATCTATTAGCTTGCATGGCTTCCTGAAAAATCTCGTGGAGGATATGGCCGTACACTTGAGGCTTTGAAGCTTCACTGGTGGCCTTGATGCGATCTTGAAGCACTGCCCGTCGCTGACATGTAAAAGAATCAGCTACAACGGTGGCAGAGATAAGATAGTCAGGATGGAGGATTATCATGTTGTTGGCATCGTCCACTATGCACTGTCCGGTGGTATCAAATTCTCCGATGAGATGGAGATAGAAACCTTTCTTGCAAGGCATATCAAACCATGATTCTCTTAAGGTGATGGCCCGGTTTTGCTTGGTCCTTTCTTCTTCAACAAAAAGTACCTGTCTCGACATTAGCAGGCAGCGAGGACCGCAAGGAACGCAGAGGAAACAAAAGAAGACTCTACCTTTTCGAGCTGCGCTCGGCCATTGCTTCTGGTATAGCTATTCTCAGCGCAATCAAGGATGAGATAACGTTTAATAGCTTGAGGATGCTTAAAATGCTTCTATATCTCTTAGCGATATATCTAAAAGGAAGGCCTCATGCATACAGGGGAAGACCAACTTTGCTAGTAGCAGCAGCAACTTCAGTGCCCTTCCGCATTGCATCCTCAATTGCTTCCAGATCAATATCATCATCAAACTCATCATCGGACATCAAAGTAACAGCCGTTTCCGCTTTCATGTTGGGGTCATTCTTCATTTCATCCTGCCCGTTAGTCTTACCATTCGTGGATTTTCCTGGCCCCAAATCCTGCATGATCCTTTCATCGCTTGTGGTCTGCCCAGCAGACAAATCCTTTGAATCATACTGCGCCATAATTTCTTCAAGTCCGTCATCCAATTCGTCGTCATTATCATTAAACTCATCTATAATATGAGAAACCTTCTCGTCCATAGAGTGTGGTGGGGGGTTAGTTGGGTGTAAGGTCGGGATGTCCTCGACCTTTTCCACCGGTTCGTTCGCCTTGGGCTTGTCCGTACAAAGGGGGAAAAGTTTCTTGGGCGACGCAACCGCAAGTTCAAGGAAATCGCGATCCAAATCATCATCACCAAATTCCGACGATGCACCATGTACGTCGAATTTTTCTTGGGAATCAGAATCAAAATTCGCCTCCACTGGCTGTCTTTCATATCGTAGAGACGGCGCGCATTTGGATGGAGTGTCAATTGGCTGGTTTTGGATCGATTCTTTTGGCGGCGACATAGGACAGCCATCGTCTGTATTATCGGAGCGGTCAGGCAAGGGGGAGGAACTAGAAGGGGCGGTCGGATCATCTTTTGGATACTTCAACAAAGTATCCTGAATTTTCTCAACTAGTAGATTGATCTTCGAAGATTTTGATCTATCGGATGCCAGTAACGACGTCCGCGAGCGGGTAAAGCCATCACGGATGTTATTAGTTCGTTGCTGGTCATAGTCCAGCCTCCTTCGTTTAGTGTTAGATGTTGGCCAGTCAGTATTGCAGCTGTTGGCCCTTCGTAGCCCCGATCCATCTCTAGCGGACCGGGACTGGGGCGCGGGAGTCTGGGGTGATGATGCAAGCTGGGAAAAATGGAACTTCGGAAGGTCGCCACCTGGTATCTCATTTCCCTTGCCAACGTACTTGCTCCATAGGTCTGCAGCTATGTCGTGCTGAGGGGTTTTCATCACCGACCCGGTGGGACGCAGTTCAGCCGGTACATCCTTGTTCAACGGCGATCTGGTGGGCGAGGAGCTATGGCTTCGCTTCTTGCCTCGACAAAGAGAGGAGCGCGGCTTATTCTTAAGGGACGGGCTTCGGTGGTCCCAGTAGACATGATCCTCTGGGGTAAGGACCTTCCCAGGTGCCTGATTAAATGCATCCTCCGTGTTGCTGATCAGATCGGCCAGGGGAATTCTATGCGCCGGTGTCTGGGGGCAACTGGATGCAGGTTTGACCTCTCGACCTTCAGAATGAAGATTTTCTTTGTTGGAGTCTAGGGCTGCTCGTTCGACGGACTCTACGGGCGGACGGGACCCGCCACGTTCATCCAGCCGGCCGACTGTCTTGCTCTCGTCATCGCCGTTCGAAGCAGACATATGGGACGGGGGAGCAGTATTGATATAGCGGAAGGAATTCAATTTGGACTTAGAAACAGAGAAGATGACAAGGGGATCGTCGAACATTGACAGTTGTGGTCCATGCCAAATGATGATATTCTCATTATCCACCAGTTGGTATCCTACTCAATTGGCTGGCGCGAAAGCCGAGAGCTCGCGTCGTCTCACCTCTGTCGCGTAGCCACTAAAAAACGCGTCAACAAGACGAAATCACGTGATATAAGATTATATAATCAATTTAGGTCATGTGATAGTATTATGGAACTAGCCAAAAAAGGAAAGGCCCCATCCCTCAGTTATCGTAAGAAGCTGCGACATCCAGTGTCGGTGCGAGCGGCCTTTTTTTTCCCCGCCGCCACAAGCGCACTGAGGCGGAATCCCGACCGAGCCACACCTGTAGAGAGTCACTCAAGTAGACCGTCGAGTCCTGTAGGCATGGAATGTATGTATGTACAGTATGTATGTACCTGTCTGTTGCAACGGTAGCTCGCTTGCTCGGGTCTTTGTCGTTCCCGAAAACCCAACGCCCGAGACCGTTCCTGATCGCATCGCGGAGAACGAAAACTCTAAATTTGGAGGCAAAATTAAGGGCCGCTTTTCTTGCCGAGCAATCTCCTCCACCACCAATTATTCCCGCCGTTCACCCAAATACTACCAACTCCCTCGTTGATTGCTGCTCTCAGTTCACTCTCTTCAGCGCTTGTGCCTGGTCAATTGGGATAAATCTCTCGTCCTCGTCCATTTTTTTTATTCTTTTACAGTGTACTAACTAGTCCTTAAATCCTCCTTTGTCATCGCTTTCGTTCTGCCTCATCTGCACGCACTCACACAAACCCCACAAAGATGTCAAAAGAGAAGAAGCCCCTACCATTTGCATACCAGTTTGCAGCCGGTGCTGTGGCTGGTGTCTCTGAAGTATGCAAGGCAACCCTTAGTATCTGAACCTGCCTGGCAATTGCTAACAGACATGTTTTTTGTGCCATTAGATTCTTGTAATGTGCGATGACCCCCACGCTCGATAACCCAGATGCAGGGTTCCACCATGAGAAAGCGCATGCTAATATTCAAGACAGGTATCCTCTCGATGTGGTCAAAACAAGAGTGTGAGTGCTGCAGCTCTGGTGTTATACCGCTCGTCTTCATTTGAAATGGCTTGCTGATACCCTACTACAGTCAGCTCCAACAGGGTACCGGAGCCGGTGCCGAAGCTTATAGCGGAATGGTCGACTGCCTCCAGAAGATTGTCAGAAATGAGGGGTATGTTTTGGATCAGATATTGTGCGCATGTACATGGATCTTAGTCCTAACGGCATGATATGCGACCAGGTTCTCCCGCCTCTACCGTGGGATCACTGCACCTATTCTCATGGAAGCTCCCAAGCGTGCCACCAAGTTCGCCGCCAACGACAGCTGGGGCGCATTCTACCGATCCTTATTCGGAATGGAGAAGAACAACCAGCCCCTGGCGATTCTCACCGGTGCCACTGCCGGTGCAACCGAGTCCTTCGTCGTCGTTCCTTTCGAGCTCGTCAAGATTCGTCTCCAAGATCGCAACTCTGCAGGAAAATACAACGGCATGATCGATGTTGTGCAGAAGATCGTCAAGCAGGAAGGACCCCTTGCGCTCTACAACGGCCTTGAATCCACCCTGTGGCGTCACATTCTGTGGAATGCGGGTTACTTTGGCTCCATCTTCCAGATTCGCGCTCAGCTCCCCAAGGCCGAACCCGGAAACAAGAGTCAACAAATGCGCAATGATATTATTGCCGGTACCGTCGGTGGAACCATCGGTACCATTTTGAATACCCCCATGGATGTTGTCAAGTCGCGCATTCAAAACAGCCCGAGAGTCGCGGGTCAGACCCCCAAGTACAACTGGGCTTGGCCGGCTCTGGGAACAGTCATGAAGGAGGAAGGCTTCGGTGCTCTCTATAAGGGATTCATTCCCAAGGTTTTGAGACTGGGTCCTGGTGGTGGTATTCTGTTGGTCGTGTTCACTGGTGTGACGGATTTCTTCCGCAAGATGAGAGGAGAATAGATTTCTCCCGGTTCAACTGTTCCATTCCGACAACTAGAACATGCGTGGTGGAGGGTAAAGGACCAATTAGGAATAAAAAACGAAGCTTCCAGCTTTGATCAGCCGAAAACCATCCAGTTCCTCTGGGGGTGTTTTGTTTTTTTTTTTTTGGGGGGGTGGGAAGGGGTTTGGGCTCACATTACGGACGCAGACACTATGGGCCGGCCTTTCGTTCTTTCACTGAATCTCAGTCCTTTCCCAAGGAAAAGCTTTTGGATTGTTGGCCATGGATTGTCAGGTGTGTTCCCACGCCCCAGCTCCGATGGAATCTCTCTCAGTTTGTCGGTTTTCCGATAAGTGTCACCTTTTTAGATTAGATACCAGGACATTTTACTATTCCGCGTACGTGATAGAATCTTTTGTGTGTCTTTGTGTTGTTTCATGCCTGTGGACATTTTATCTTGCTCTAGAGCGTGCATTGGATATGTGTCTTGATACATACTGCGTTATGCGCAGACAGACGAGGGCATTCTTTTAATGGAACTTGATTTGAGACTGTCATTCTCCAGTACCATTGAGATACATCGAATATTCATTGAATCAACCCGGTTACCTCGAAAAGAGCTATGACAAGGCTGCCCCTGGATCGCACCCTTGCGCCATGTGACCCCTCCATTGCTGGATGAGCCCAGGACATCGTTTTATGCGTTCGATACATGGAGAATATCGTCTTCGTTTCATGTATGCACACCCGTTATGACCTTTTTTGTTCCCCCTTCAACCCCTTCGACGGATCACGAGGTTCTCCCTGTGATCAAACTGCCGGGGAGACGTTCCACCTGATACACCTCTCTTGGGGGGAGAATTAATCCAAAGGCGCCACCCACATTCTCAAGTCAGATGATTAGAATGAAATGCGGGAAATAAAATGCGCCTTGCGGAGCCATCACGGGCACTCCTTACTCGAGAACAAGGTCACGGTTCAGAGCTCTTCCCAAACAAGTGATGGGTAAATATGGTAATTAGACGTCTAACGGGGGGAGCTGATCGGAGACAGCGGCTCATTTGAGAGAGTGACTCACTTAATTAGCGCTTAGGGGGTTGTCTCTTGACTTCTCATTTGATGTGGTGGCGATTGGCCTTCGTGTTTTTCAGCCGGTGGTTGAGAGGCATCCGATCGATCCTCATGGTCGGCCTTTCAAGCCTTGCGGCTCCTCAACGGCGTCAAGTACAGGTACTAGAGATTCGAGTAGCACAAAAGTGTCATTCTTCTCTCGCGTGGACGGATACTACCCATGATAACCGAATGAAGGGCGTTAGATAAAGAGCCCAACGGGAACTTTTGAAGTCGATGCTTGCTAAGTTTGAATCGCTTGCATCCTTCTAGACTGTCATAGCTCCCGCAGGGCCTTTTGAAGTGAAATAATGTTTCTGCGCACACTTTCCCGCGAGTATGCTCAAGTTCCTTTCACCATTTCCCGAGACAGTAAATTAATTTAAGGTTTATGGTGAAGTCTCCAGCAAACAGGTAACTAGTATATACTTCGTGGTTAACGACTTACCCTGCAGTAACTTCTCCGTAACTCCGTGCTGGTTCGGGTGATTTGGTCCAGACAAAACGCACGGCCCTCGAAGCCGATGCAGCACCCACGGCGCAACTGGCGAAGTGAAAGCTGTTGTTGAGCATTCCGAGCTTGTGAATCGCGAGATAGAGATCCGTACGGAGATCCTGGCCTTCTCAATCTCGCATGACCATGCTGCAGCGGGGACATATGGTTATCACGCACACTGATCTATGGAAAAGACGGACTACTTCCTACAGTCATGCGGTTCGCAGCTTTGACTTTATCGAATGAGATGGCCAAAAAAAAAAAAAAAAAAAAAAAAAAAAAAAAAAAGGAAGGAAAAAAAGGAAGAAAGAGAGAGAGAGAAAGAAAGAAATAAATGGACGGCCTGCAGATTTATACAGAGTGTATACGGCTGTGTGAATGCCAGCTCGATTCAAAAGAATTTTGCTCTACAATTGGTTAAATAACCACTTCCCGATATAGGTTATAGAGTAGTCTTAACACCGAACCCGTAACTGAGCTCGAGGAGTCAGATAAATTCAACGTGGTGATCCTAATTAACTACGTTCTGAAGGATGTCAGGAACAAATTGGACCCCATTAATTAGTATCTAGGTGTCCTATACCAGGTGCTCAAGAGGATTATGTGAATATGGTGTATAGATAGATAAGTCGTCAGGGAATATCAGGACAAATAAGTATAGATTTCAGTTTGGATCTATCCGCCCTCCAAGTTAATTTACTGAACGGGGGCGACATACCAACTACGCAATGAGTACCTTTCTCCGTTTTTGAGATTGACTCCCAAGACTCATCGGTGGTGCCGCTCTCCGAGGAAGTGTGTGTTTCTGGCGATATCATTTCCGTGGAGCAACATTTCTCTCTTCTCTCGGAGCTCTCGGCGACAAAACAAGTCAAATCCCCAAAGCTCGCCGCTTCAGTCAACGAGTAGAAGCACTTTGTCTTGAACTAATACGAGGCAATTATCTCGCGTGCTGTCCCCTTCTTCGGTACGATGCCCCCGGCTAGTCAGTTGCTGGAAATCTATCATCCACGTCCATCCATGCAAAAGCTTTGGCAACAAATACTACATCCATATTATCCGTACTCTTCCTCCGTCCACTGGGCATGGGTTGAAAAAGAAGGTTGCGGGAGCGTCGTGGCCCCAGCCTACACTTAGTGAAACCTACTCCGCATCTTCCCCTTCGCTTCTTCCCCCGCTTCCTTTTGTCTTCTCTGCCCTCTTCCCGCGCCGCACCCGCCGGCATGAATCCGTTGACAAGTTGACACCCCCCTCCAGGATGCCGACTCGTCTCTCCATCCGTGTGGAGAGTTATGCATCGAATTGTCGTCGGCAACTGGGTCCCGCACGATCGCGACAAGCCACGATCGTGATCTCCCTTGCACGAGTTTCATTGCAGATTCGCAAAAAAAAAGGCATTTGGAAAAGCCTCGTCAAGTCTTATCTCTATTTTCCTCTCAGGTTATCGTAAGTGAGCCAACTGAGTACTAACTAGCAGCTCGCCTCGTCAGGAGAAAGGCAAACACTATCCCCTCCTCACTCACTGTCCCTTCGCAAACACTTACCCCCCCCCCTCCCCCTCCCCCTCCCCCTCCTCTCGACCAGCCGCACCAACGGAGCCCAGCTGCGCATACAACCCAACCTGTGGTTGATGAGACAGCCCACTGGTGGCCGGTGACGAGAGTTAACTAACTGGTTAACCAACAGCCCGACTCCCACTGCAATGCAACCGAAACATAATAAATGTTCAGCGCGCACGCACCTCTCGTCCCATTGCTCCCCCAACCCTCCATGACGTCACCGGTGAGCTCATCCGGCGTTTTCAATGTTATTTTCTTTTTTCCCCATTTTTTCTTTTTCTTTTTTTTTTTTTTCTCGCTGGGAGAGACGAGGCCTTGGGAAAGCTCACTTTTCACCATGACAGTATGGCTTTCATAGTATGCAAAAATGAGAAGTTCCTTAAGATGGGACATCGTATTACCTCAGGGCTCTCGTGTCGCATCATATCAAATAGCGTCTAGAAAGTGAAAAATAGAAAAAGGAAGAATAAAAATAAGATCTGGGATTGCCAGGGTTTTCCCCAGAATCGATTACCTTCTTTCGTGTTCCGGCATTTGCTCTGTGTAACCCAAAAAAGAAAATAGAACAAGTAAAAAAAGGAAAGGAGAAAAACACACTCAGATCTCGGCGCCGAAAAAATAACGAGATAGTGGAAGAAAATAGCGGTGCAAGCGCTGCTGCTGGTGGTGTTTTTTTTGGGGGGAAACGCCAAGACCCGCACGCGAGGTTGAGGAGTCATAGTTTGAGGTTTACCGCTCTCGAACTATTGTAAGATTACCCCCAGGTGCTCGTATGGAACGGTATCTTACCCATCCTCAGAGTGTATGTGTGTATTGTCAGTACAGTACAAGTGCATGCGACAGCTCTTAATATGCAGTTGCACCAACAGTTTCGCTCAACATGCATATGTGCTGCACAACATAACATATGGACTCCGTGCCTTGTAGGGTTAAAGGCATTTGCAATAGATATATGTATAAGGCTATGGATCAGGAATTTGCATCATGTAACTGGCCGAATCTGGTACCTTGGATTTTGCAACACATTGATAAAAAAAAAAAAATAAAAATAAACCGAGTCCACACGGATTACAGTACAAATGTATCTAAGGGGGAAAAGCGAAAAAGGGATTGGCCATGAGTTATATAAATAGGACAAACAGGAAAAAAAAAAAAAAAAAAGAAAAAAAAGAAAAAAAAAGGGGTAGGGAGGGAAGGAGGGAAGGAAGGAAAAATCAGCAAAATGCACACAGAGATACCCATCAAACAAGATAAATGTCAGAGAGATAATCATTCAAATCGTTATCATACCTCGTTGAGCCCACGAGAGAGATAAGAGAGAGAAAGAGGAGGGGAGAAGGGATTTTAGGGCAGAGTCTAAAAAATAGATCATCATCATAGGTTTGTTGGCAGACAAACTCATAAAGGCCGTAACATGCATGTCTCAGGAAGCCCAGGCATCAGAAGCAGCTGACACGACTTCTGCTTCGCTGCCTTGTTAACTTGGGACTGTCTATATAGTGATTTCACACTGAGAAATATCTGGGAGATAGGGAGAGGCCATCAGTCGTTGAGCTGAAGTCAACCAAGGATTAGAATGGGCATAGTAACAGTATGGGTATCAATGGTCATTAAGTATGTGAGAAAAAAGAAAATCACTCAAAGAAAAAAGGAGATACATCATAACGAGGAAGGGCCGGGAAATGATAATTTGAAACAGGCAGAGAGCATAACCTAGAGAATAATGTCGAAACAAATACAGAACCGACAGCAAGCAAGGAGGAAATGGCTGTTGGGAAAATTAATAGAAAAAGAAAACATAAAGCAGATGCTCACAAACACCTGCTGGGTCTTTGAAGGCAAAACAAAAGACAAATATTATGTTCATATGAATCAAAAGGAAGAGGGTCAATATAAATGCGCAGGCGAACTCGGAAATGGACACAGAAAGTAAGAGACAGGTCTCGAGAGAAAAGGAAAGATATTAAATAGTTCGTAGAAAAAGGCCAGCAACCCCAAAGAGACAGACACGCGGCCAGAGCATGCGAGTGCCAACGCCTCCAAACCCCACTATTCCACTCCGAGAAGCGACGCCACCTATGCAATCTTGTGTTGAATCCGAAATGTAACGCGTCCCAGTGCTCAATTTATATCCATCGAGTACTCGTCCTCTTCTTTGAAGCTCATACCCGCATGGCCTGAAGTATTCCAGAATTGTGCCTGGCCGTTGCCACTAGTGTTGCCGCTGCCTCCGCTATGGAAACCAGGACTCAGGCTCTGCGAGTTCGCTTGTCCTTGTAGTGGCTCGCCGGCGATGTTAGTGTGCTTGGGAACCCGAAGGCCACTTCCTGGCGCGCGGCTATAAGCAAATGTATTTGCGTTGTTCTTCTCCATTGCATCGAGTAATTCCGTTCGCATCCGCTTATCCTCTTCAGTCTGCTCAAATGGCCATGTTCCACCGAGCGAAGTGATCAGTTCGGCCAACTGGTCTTCTTGCTCTAATTTGCGATGCAGCGCCCACATGAGATCTCTAGTCCAGCCAACTGCTCCGTTGAGGATGTCACCCTTGTTTGGTCCCTTTTCTTTCTCCTCGATCGGCAGTCCCATGGTAATATTGCCGCTCGTCGCGCGCCTTCCACAGCCCCCCGCAAGAAGAGATGTCGCTGCATTCGTCGAATTCAGTCCGGGGGTGCCCACGGAACCGGCAAGCGAAGAGTTATTGAGAAGCTGTTTCCTTATCTTCTCATCCTCTAAGCGATGTTGCGGGACAAGATGGGAAAGGTCTTGGATTCGCTCGTTGATATTGTCACGTCTGCGACGCTCCACCAGGTTGTGAGAGGCGCGACGACGTTTCCTTTTGGCTTCTTGTGACTCCAAGGCTTGCTGCGCACTCGTATGGTGGCCAACTTTGGTGGGGAGGGAAGCATGTTTTCCAGATTTCAGAATCTCTGAAATTCCAAGATGGTGGGATGGGTGTCCGGGCGATGAGATCGGAGATTCGATTAAGGACTGAGCACTACCAGGCGTGCCATCCCACTGGCTCGACATATTCTTTTGATGCTGGGATTGTAGAGATACTGCCCTTATGGGCTGTGACGGGAAGCTTCCGGATTCAGGGGTAGCGATATTCAAGCCCGCCATAGCAGGAGTCTTGGGTGACATGGGGCTTCGGGCATCCACAGAGTTCCTGTCAACCTGAAGGCTTGCACGCGTTTTTCCACCCAGGTAATTCTGATCAAAATGGACGTTTGTACCGTTCATGTGCGGTGAGGCATCCTGAGGAGTGTGCTGCTGCATCGGCCGGAACTGATCATAGCCAAAACTACCACGAATAAAAGGGCTGTTGATAGGGGCTCCGTCCGGTGTATTCGAAAATACGTGGGACATCTGGCCTTGGTGGCTCATGGAGATTCCAGTAGGCTGTCGCTGCTCTGGAACCAGGTTGTAAGACCCATCGCGTATCGTGTTCTGTCCGTTTATCTCTAAATCAAGCAGCTCTTCGGTATCAATCCCAGAATTCCCGAAGTTGAAACTCGAAGACAGGTTCTGGGGCGAGCTGAAGGGATTCGACATGAAGCCACTATTGTGCATGGTAAGTTCCGAGGGATCAATGCCATCATTCGTTCCGGAGTTTCCGAACTGATTCCCGAAGGACGGACTGGGTAGTCCGTATGTGGAGTTAGACATGATAAAATGACTCGAATTGTTCATTTGGTCATCGGGTTCCGTTTTAATAAACGTAGCCTCCGCCATGGTTTTGTTCCTTTTTTGGGGGGGTTTCTTTTTCTGGTTTTCTTCGAGGGAATTATAACCCGAGTATCGGCAAGTGTTAGTGGGACAAGATATCGTTTCTGTTCGTGTGCTCGCCTAACAAATATAGATGGCAACGACTGTTAAGGTAAAATTATCGGAGATCGATCGAGAGTCTGATAAAAAGAAGTCGGTCGACTTCAACTATCAATCAACCAAGGAGTTAGCTATTTATGTGTGAAAGTGATGAGGGAAAGCAAGGCTGCCGGCGAGTCATATATGCTGCGTAAGGCTCTAAAGCGTCGACTGGCGAGATCCCACCGACGTTTCCCTTACACAACACACACCTGAGACATCAAAAGAAAAGCGCCGGCAAATATCGATTTCGGCGACCTCGAATGCGCCTGGACCAATATCTCACGCAGCCACCATAGAAACCGCGAGATCACTCACCTTTGCGAAAGAATTAAACCCGGAAATACGTCCAAAGAGCGAAATACAGTAATCAGCAGCTCCAATCCTACCCGCCAGCCCTTTCGAGAGTTCTCGTCAAGGCAAGCGAGGTCGTTGGGAGGCAAGGCTTAAACCGTGGACGAGGTGGGCAAGGCTATCGCTCAACGATGACAGAGGATAAAGGCGGAATGGGAAATGAGTCAATTGACTGTGAGGCTATTGTGGTGTGTTCCTATGCCACTGGAAATGTTAGAGAATTGGCGGTGTTAAAAACAAATAAAATTATGATCTTCAGTAAGAATAGGTAAGCAAGCTTGAAAAAAGTTGAAGAGTCAGAGGAGATGTAACCAGAAAAATCCGGTCGAGGAGAAGGTTGTAAGTGACAGAGGTTGATTGATGATCGAGTATCTCCTTCCACGTTGATTGCGAAGTTACTCTGGGGATTTTGGACCCATGTCGAGAGAGATTGGGTTGACGAGGATGATGGTGGTGATGATGTCGGTGATGGATTGTTGGCAGGAGGAGGAAGGAGAAGGCCACAGAGACACGAAACAAGGGTACGGCAGAAAAAGTTGCGGTGGAGAATGGCGGTATGGTATGGTACGGTACAACGCTGTATTTTACCGGGCGGTTGTGTCTTGTAATGTACCGGCGCACCGCCCCAGAGCGGAGAAGGGCGGCAAAAACTTTGTTCGACGAGCGTTTCGCGATGGGGCGCTTGACGGGAGAGCGACACGAAGCAATTTCTCCCTGACCCACCCAGATGACAGGCCAGAGAGTAGCCAGAGCAGCAAGCCGAGAGGTGGATTCTCTTGATCAATTTCCAGCAAGGTAGTGTCAACGAGAAACGAAAGTTTGGTTCTTGGGTGGATGCGCTCGGACATGGTCCCTGTAGTTGGAGATATCGCCCCAGGGCGACTTTTGAAGCTGAGTGCAAACAACCAGGATTCACCTGGTGGTGTAATCTTTGGCGAAATGGCAGAGAAAAATAACAGTGGGAAAAGCAAACACGAATGGAATGAGCAGTTCATGATCAAGGAAACGAAAATACTAACCAGAGTCCTTTCAAAGATTTTCAAAGCTCTACGAGTCCGGGACGGGTCCTCCATTAAGGGTGAGAGGGCTTCGAGTAGATCGCAGTGGAAAGCTATGTTTGATGAAAACGACCTAATACTCAGACAGTATATGGGGAAGTGGTCATCGAGCGACAAGATAAGGAAGAAGAGCGTGAGATCGTGTGGTGATAAGGCTTTGGCGATGCCGTTGAATATGTATCAGGAGAGCCGTGACGGAAGTTGACGATGTTGACGGGTTCAAGTTGACAGACGCGGAAAACACTCGATAAATGAGATCGGCAGGCAGCGAGGAAAATTCCTTTCAACAAGGCTCTGCGCGATATAAGTGGTGCCTGCGCTTGTGAGTGATACAACGGCAAATATCCACCAACCAGATGGTGGATTAGACCGACTAATGACTTGGTGAGCTGACTCGATTTTAGCCGCAGCGACGAATCACGCAGGAAAAGCTCAGGTCAGACTCGAACAATCGGGATTAAAGCAAGGGGCTTTAATCGGGGCGAGGGTGACGGGCATTTATGGACTACGAGGACGGTGTCCTGCATCTCCTATTTGATATGTGATGACGATAGTCATGCAGCTCGGGTTGATCATGCAGTCCACGCGGTTAGTGCTGACGACCTTTTTAAGCCCCCGGGTTGGTGGACCTTCTTTTTTTTTTTTTAAAAAAAAAAAGGTGAAAATGCTAAGTTGGTAGCTATCTACACAAGGTTATATCTAAAGAGAGAGTAGGCCAAAGGAAATCTTGATTCCGCTTCTGGACCCCGGTATTCTGGGTGGGACGGGCGATGAGGCGAACCCAAAGGCTACTTTTTGAGTAAAGCTGAGCTCTCGAGGAAAGACATTGTTTCGAGTCGGCGAAAAGCACCGCACCAAAGTGCATTAGCAACGCCAGACCCGAGCCAACTTCTAAGTGGGAAGGGCAATGTGACTTGGTGAGGCGTTCATAAAAAAAGTTGGCAAAGTGAGGAACAGAAAGCTTAATGGTACATCCTCAAGAAAAAATTAAAAAAAAAAAAAGAAGTTATTCCGTATAGAGCTGTATAATAATAATGTAAGGGGGGAAGCTCGAGCAATATTGAATAGCCAGTCATTTATCGCGTCATGATGGTGGTGGGATGATTCAGATGCCACGGACGAATAATGTGGTCCCTTTTCAGGTGTGCTGAGGCACCTCCCAGGCGTGGGGCAAGAAGTCCCACACATGTACTCCGTACTGTACTCCCAGCGAGACACACATGAGTACTGCAGACAATGTGGGTGAACATGATCCGAATGTACACACATATTTCCGACCCCGGTGGATCTTGCGCACGAAAGCGTGCGTGCGGTTCAAGTTCCGGAGGTATGAAGACATATCCGGGGCAAACTCGCAAGGGGGGTGGTTGTCGTTCTCGATCTTATGCAGAGCCCATGTATTAAAATGATCGACGCAAGGAGTCGACATGGGGTCAAAATGTGAAGAATTCCAATGCAACGATGCCTGTCTTGAGGCCGTAGCATATCGACGGCATATCGCCGCGAGGGGTGGTGGGTGTTTCGTGGGGGTCCTGGGAGGGAACACGGCTCTACATTGATGAGCGACATATAATTCATAGAAGTAGAAGATTAGCTGGACACCTCGAAGTTGAATACTACGGGGCCACAGCGATGGGTTACTAGCGACGTTCTTGTGCGTCACTTTGGCAGCACCTCGTATTGAATCGCCACCACTTCCGGCGGGTCATCAAGATGGAGGAGTTATTATGCGCATCGAATTCTCAGCCAAGAAGTTTACTCAAGAGGAGACAGCAAAAGTGGTGCTACACATGGCAGCATCGCAAAGTTTGGGATGATTTTTAGATAAGGTGTTCCCGCGAGATCGACCTATTATGAACCATGGGTATCCCCGTTCCCATTCTCCGAAAACGAATCTCGGACTGACCAGGGCTCTATGATGTTATCTGATCATCTCGAAAGACCGCATTGAGATGTATGCAAGAGAGCCGGCTGCGCGAATGATGATCGTTGGTGAAAAGGAGAATTCGCCTGTAAGTTGAGGTCGACATTTTAACATTATAAAAATTAATGAAATTATAATAATAAATTTAAAAAAAAAGGAGAAGAAGAAGATAGCCAGAGAAAGAAACGCGAGAGCGACGGATAGCACTGAACGTCTGTCGCTGGTTACCCCGCATACGCCCCCCGGATCTCAGCAGAATTAACTCGGAGTCTTGAAGGAGCTACGTACAGAGTACAGGGTAGGGAGTACTCCGTACGGAGTACACACCCCTACTTATTTTCAGACGTTGAGGTGGTTACTATTCGACAAGCAAACAAGAAAGAATGGAAACGATTAAAAGCTCATGTTTCACAAAGGGGGCTGGGGCAGTCACATTCATGCGCGTTACTGGTGAAGCAGAGAATTGCTCTGCTCATCCAACATGAATGGCTGTGGTGACGGTGATGGCAAGCCCACTCCACACCGGAGACATGCAACAGGCGTGGGTGCGTCTATGATGGCACTCGCTCCTGTCCTTTGGCGGCCTTTCGACGCGGAGGTCATCGCTGCGTGCTGTGACCTGTCCAGTGTCGGGATGCATGCCGATGGGTGTGAAGCTGCGAGCCGGCGCTGTTTCTCCACCGAGCAAGGCAGCGGGCCGTCCTAGTCCCAGATAGGCTAGCGCGCCTGGTCTGTGCGCAACCTAGATCTATTTCTAGCCGTATTTGACCTCCGGCTTTTGTCTGTATCCAGAATACCAGTCTACCATACGAGTGCGGAGAAGCTTTCCGCCGCCAAGCCATGTCGGCGTGATGACTCAGCAGCAAGCTCACGTCCGACGTCCAACATCGCAGGCTGCCGGCATCCAGCGATCAAGGTGGCCTCGAGCTGGCAACCAGCACCAGAGTGAGCCCGTTTGGTTCGGTTAATCGAACACAAGAGGTACGGCTATCAGATGCAACGTTCTCGCAGTAGGCTTTTGTTCCTTTTTTTTTTTTTTTTTTTTACCATTTTTTTGCGGGAAACAATCCCTCCTCTGCAAACTCCTTGTTCTTCGTCATCCCAGGTTTATATTCCCGCTGGCCCCATGCCGAGCAAGCGAGAAAGCTAACCATGATCATCTGACATAGACACTTTAAACCCATTTTATCTCCAGGGTGGTGGATGTACAAAGTAGGGCTCTAGCCTTTTGTACAGCCTTTTTTGTCACAGCCCTAACTACCCTCCCTCTTCCCCGCCCCGACCACCCTCCATTTCAAACCGCCTCGTTCTGGATCCAAGCGCGACCCGTCCAAGCCGTCACCGTCGAAGCGCTCCGAGCAATCGTCGCGGCCGAAGAACAATATTCCAGCATACCAGTGACGTCAGAGTTCGAGAACAGAACTAGGCAAGGGGAAAGCTCGAAGCGTCCAGAGTCCAATCGTCGAGTTTGAAATCCTATCTCGTGGCACCGAGTCATCTGACCTGTGATCCCACAACCCTTGGCTCCGCTG